CATAGTTCATTTCGCACACTCGGTATACCATACAAAATGACATAAATCTCTCAAAATTATTGTGCATTTTGAATTTTCAGTTTTAATTAAATTTATACTAAAAATAAAAATCTAAATTGAACAATGATTTCCAGACGGAGAGAGTATTATCCAAGAAAAATTCTTAAACAGAGAAGACGATGAACATAAGTTTACAAAAGACCTACATCTATAAGCTTACTCGTGCAGAGACTATTGAGAATCACTAGTCTAAATATTTTGACTAATTTGAGGGTTGACAAAAGTAATAATCTACATTATTTTATGGTTATGTAATTATCAAGCTATCATCACAGCTCATCATAATATCAGGCAGGAGCTTGGTTTTCAGCCAAGCAATACACAGTACACACACCTATTACAATTCCAGCATGGGAAAAAACAAACACATAATAAGAAAACAGTCTTTCTTCATTAGATTTTACTTTTTACCCTTTAACTTTTTTTATTTTGTCAAAATCCTGGAAAATCTTTGGTGACTTTGTTGATGAGGGAGGGGTAAAAAGTCTATAATTAAGGTGGTCCTCTGTGCTTAAAGCGTTTCTCTGTCACGTGAAACCCTCCATTTCCAACACCAAAAAATAAAAATAAAATGAAAGCTCCAAAAGCAAATTAGCAAGTAGCCAAAGTATATAGAAAATTTAGGACTTTTCCTTTTGTTTTTACCATATATTGATATAGTATAATGCAGCAGGAGCAGGAAGAAGCACTAGTGAGTGAGTGAGTGTACTTTCTCAAGTTCCCACATTCTCTGGAAGAAGAACAATTCATCATGTGTTCCTCATCATAGTGTCTCATCTCCATGGCTCCATGCGTTGTCTCTCAACACGTGACATCTGTCAACCCCCATAATATTACTATAGTCTTCTTCATTAACCCTAGCCCATCACTGGTACGAAGAACGAATAATTGTACGAGCGATTTTGAACGTCACGTACATCTCTGGTGTGAAATTCACTGTATGAACTTAATTATTTGACATTTTCGAAAACAATAACCTTACTTTACATGATCGGTCCTTAATTGTTTATAACAAACAGAACAAATATTATGAAACACTGCAAGTATACATCTTATACAATTCATAAGATTAAGAGTCGTTTTTCAAAGTCCAAACATTAATTTAGTATGGCAAGCTAGACAAAGAAAGTGATGGGCTCAAATTCTACGACAAAGTACTACCCTCCTCCAAAGTGTTTCAGTTTTCATATGCAAAATGTCTTCACTCCCTTACGACTTTTTTTTAGGTATTGGTTCAGAATCTTCAGATCCCTTACACTCTGGCTCGACATTAAACAACGTTAGCCCGTTGACTTAAAAGTACAATAAGCTCCAACTTGTTGGTCCTTTTTTAGTATTACGAAAACTTTAGTATGGATTAGATGCGATCACATCTCGCCAAAGAACTACAAGATAAGTACACATTAAAAAAAAATAATTGGTGTTTAAGTTTAGGTAAGGAAAATGTTCTAAGTCTGTTAGTCAGTCCAAAGCAGATATGACCAAAGTTCATATGTTTGCTCTTATACTATATCAGATTCTTGCTCTTTGTTGAAGCAAAGGAAAAGAAGGCTTTTGTCTGACTTTATAATTAACTCTATTTTTTTCCTGGGCTTTCGCGCCAAAAAAAAAGTCCAAAGGAAAAAGATCGATTGTCACAAGACTCACAGACCTAATTTTGTCCATGGCTTAATCCGATTTCACTTGTGCACTGGGATATACGTACACTAAATTTGGCTCTATATCAAATGAAGAACATTGTCAATTAGTAACAAGAAGTTTACAATAGTACCAAAAGTTTTACTTGGTACTAAGCAATGCAGAATTCAATGAACATCAATTCAAATTTTAAATCAATTCGTCAAATGTAATAATCGGTTAAATGTATAGAAATACTGACAGTGAAAATAAAGAATGACTATAATATTGTCGACTAAATAGTTCAGTCAATTATGTAAATGTTTGGTCATGAGAACCACTACTGAACCAACCAATATACAACACCACAAAATTTACCATGCAAATAAATCTATAAATGTACGAATGATTGGTGTTAATTTGCTCGAAAGGAACGTATGTTTTGTACGAAAGTGTGAAAATTTAGTGAGAATGCGAGGATGGTCTGAAGAAGTTGTGCAGTAGGTGAAAAAATTCAACATTTCTGGAGGATCCATCATCACTCATCTCTATCGTCCCTTTCTTGGTCCCAAAATACCTAATGTTATTGAAGTTCAATAACTATTCGTTTCAACCTAAGAAGTATGTGGATTATTATCGAGATATCAAAATAAATAAATAAAAAAAAAATAAGTGGCCAAGTTGGGCAAGCTTTTTGTACTTTGATGGATATGGATTCTATTAAAGAACTTGAGATATTCAGCTGGGAGATTGGGACTAGGTTTAATTAATCAAGCAGCATGCACTATATCACTTTTCTCTTTTTAGAATCAAAGCTGTTGGTTGTCATTAATTAAATAGTAAAATAGAATGGATGAGATTTCGTGTCCCATTTGTTACAACAATTGTCCCATATTCATATATAAAGTTATTAGAATTGGATGCATGCTAATTTATTTTAATTTGGAATACGATTCTTAGGTTTTACAACGTGCAAGTTTGATTAGGGTTGGCAAATCTTGAGCTTACGATCATATGAATCATCGGTTCTGATTTCCATACTAATTGTATTCGAGATATTGTCTCATGTCGTAACATTACAAAGCAATTTAGGCTGCACCGACATCGTTCAAAAATATTTTTATTGATAATCTAGACTTTCTATATATATATATATATATCATGGAAGTCAGTGACTTACTTTACAAAACATCCCAAGAAAGAGGGGATGATGAGGCTCGATCCTTAGCTAATTTCACTTTAGCGTTAGCGGAGGGACAACATATGCTTTTCAATTGGACAAGAGAGGTCAAATTTCGCTAAAGCATCGGCGACTTCATTATTCCATCGCCTCGTATGTCTTATGGAAATTTTCCAATTGAGGCCAAGTAACAACTTAATTCTAGATTTTCCAATTGATAATCTAGACTTTAGTTGGTGTGTACAAACAAACAATACTAAATTTGTTAGCAAAGAAAAATTAGAAGCATCATACAATGTACCATTTCCATGTAGGTCAATTTTGGTAGTTATGGACTTGGATTAGAGGCTTGGGTTTGACATATTTTTTGGGCCTACTAACCCATGTCAACTTAATGATTAAACATATTATTAACGTGTCAAAAGATTAGCACTTAGATAATTGGGTAAATTGAGATTCATTATCTAAAAGAAATTACACAAATCATTTAGTATATCTCGCTATCTGATCTAATATGTTTTTTTTTTTTGTACACGTTGTTAATATGAATCTTTCGTGAAAAATGTCAAAACACCGATCCTTAATTGATTTTGAAGTTAGTTTCCACATTGTCACGTTATGTATTTAGGTGAAAAATCGTAAGTTTTTATTTGATACTCCCTCTGTCTCAAAATTATTGTCCAGTTTGAGATTTTATTTTTAGTGCAATTTGAACTAGAAATAAAAATCCAAACTGGACAATAATTATGGGACGGAGGGAGTATGATTTAATTCAAAGATCAATTAAGTTAAAGGCTTGTAAATCCTTACATAAATATGAATTATATGATATACGTATAGAATCAACCACTAGCTTACTCACATTATGTTCCTGCCACACAATTTTTAATAAGCTTTTAGTAAAAAATCTTATAATTGGGAACGATATCTTTCATGGACAACGATCCCTACCACGTCAAAGTTTAAGTGATACTACTAATAAGTTTTGTTCATTTGTATTAACTTCTACACGGTTAACTTAATTAATACCTTGATTTTCTTCCATCCAAAAGAAAATGAATGAAAAATGGAAGACAATGTATTGATGAGAGGGATTCATTTATCTCTCGGTTTGGTAAAAAATTTACTTAATCGACATTATATGATTTATTATGTTTGTTAGAGAAACTTAATAATATAATAATTATGTTGATTTGCACCTCCCAAAACTCAAAAGATACAGATACTCGTATGTGCCCCCCTTCACACAATCCTATTGGCACCACTTTTTGCAGGTTTCTAATAATGTACCTCTTTTGTAACAATGTGATTTTTTGACTAACATTTTTTTTAAAAAAGGCATTATAAGTGAGATTATTTTGAATAATTACAAATACTTTTTGTTGCTCGAACCGTTATATACTTGTACTGCCACATGTTAAATGACCGCTTTGAACGTAACTGGAGTGAATACGTTTTGTTTGACTGAATGTATTGAAAACACGTACATTTATACATTTGGTCGGGCTCAATGTAGTAAAAAACATGCAATACGAGTACCCGTCAAGTACTGATAGTCGTAACGATATAAAATATATTCAATTTACATAACCATTTGACTATACGAATGTAATATGTCTAGGTCGAATTCACTAATCTTATAAATATTAAGGACCGGCAACGTGATTTTTAATTAATATTAATATTTATTAGATTTCTTTTTTCGGAGGCAACGTTTCGATTTTTCTTTTTTTAAGTAACTGACTCAAAAAACCTGCCACTCCCCACTCTCTAGTCACCAATCACCATTACTATCATTTCCCATTTCTTTAGGGTTTTTGCCATTTTTATTTATATTAAAAGCTTTTTCTTTTTTGCTGTTTTTCAGATAATTATTTATTGCAGTGTGCTTATATACTTTTCATGGTTGCAGTCTTGAGGAGAGTGAAGAGAGGATGTGTGTGTGACTGTGTGTCCGTCGATCTAATTTAAACGGCTACTTTTAATGCTCTGTTGCTAGAACAACGCCCCAAAAATCCACTATAAAGGCTTTGATTCTCTGAGGGAAAAACATCACAATCATTCTCCTTCGGTTTTCATTTGTTTTTCTCCTTCATTGAGTTGCAGATAAGGAACAAAGCAGAGAAAAAAAAGTACAGAAAAAATGAATTACAACAATGATGAGTGAGTCCTTTGCTATAAACCTCTGTTTCTGTTTTTGATATTGGGTTTGAATTCGAAATGTTGATTATGGCCTTCTGGGTTTATTCAATCCCGATAGGTTTTTTTTTTCTATTCCCTCGATTTTATATGTTTATTTGGTGGGGGAGTGAACGATGAGTCCTCGAGGGAAGTGGCTGACTGTTAGTGGGTTGTGCTTGATGCTGTTATCTCTTAATGGGTTCTTTCTGTGTGTGATCTATATTAATGAGTGAGTTTGTAATGGAGCGTGGTTTTTGGTCAAAATGTTTTCATGGGTCTGATTAATTTTGTCAAATTTCTATCCTTTTCATTTTGTGGTAATCTTATCCCATGATTTGCATACCATGTGTTTGTTAATTGCTTTAGGAGCATGTCATCATGATTAAGTGCTGAAATAAGTTGTCTGACTGTTAGTCTAGATACCTTTAATTACTCTATGGGATTGTTTGCAATGATTGTCTGATATGCATTGTATGAGTGAGTGGATCTATTGCATTCATTGTTCTTGTTCTGTTAATTCCATTTAATAATCTTCAGTGTGCTTCGTATTTGCTAAACATGATATCTAGTGTTGCTCGAAAGATCTCAAGGTTACAGCATTAATGTTCCTCTTTAGTTCATCACTTTAATGCTGCAGTTTCTGGTAGCTAATGGTGACATATTACATCTTGCACGGTTTGCTTTAATGCTGCTGTTAATTTTTCTCACATTGCCCTCAATTGAAGTTTGAAGGAATGCTTGTTTAACTTGTATATTGAATGTGTGCTCTTAAATCGCTTATTTAATTCATCTTCCTTGATTTGAAACAGCGACATGTGGGATTGGAGGTGCAATGAGTATAGTCTTGAAGATAACACCAATCTTGGTATCATTCGTTCTTACTTCTTGTTTCGTATTATTTCAATGTCTGCAGCATTGTTTCTAAAATACTGTTTTGGCAAACAGATATATCTAAGTGCCTATTTAATGAAGAAGTCCCCAATCAAGGTTTTTCTTACATGTTGGAAGATGAAACTACACCAGTAAAGGCTTGCGGAGATTTGGCGTACCATGTTAACCCAAGTGGCAAGATTACTTTCTCTCTATAAACCATGCTTTCCTGTTACGACTATCTGGTTGATGATGATTCCTCATTTGTTTGTAAGAGCGAATTTTCCCAAACGAGAATGTATTGTTTGATGCATTGCTTGATGAAATGACAATAAGGGGTTTTGTTTCTGTCAATATGCCAACTCTTTCCTCTGCAGATTATTCACATTGTTGTTTTAGAACAATACATCTAACATTATGCCTAATGCCTGGTTCAGTTACAGAAAAATCGAGTAAGGATCTGAGTCAATACAAGGAGGCCTCCCTGCAAGTAAAACGACGTCGAATGCTACAATTTGAGCCTGGAGACCTGGACTTGCCATTTTGCAATGAGAGCAGTTCATCCTTGTATTTAAGATCAAAGGTTTCTGTAATTATCTTCTCACAGCACCAATGTTGTCTTCTGATTGAGGGTACCAAATGTGTTTTTAGTCTGCCCAAGTGAATCACTCCAGGGTATTAGTCAATAACAGTTAAACAGTTGACAAACTAATTGCCAAGAAATGTGCTATCCACTTAGCATTACATGTGCTTACTCTATGATCAAACATTTATGATTTTCTGTTGGAAGATAGTTGGGAAGAGAAAATGGGTTTCTGGGGAAGTTTTTGTTTCCAAGTTGCATTTCTCATCTGCTTCTTTTATTTGTCGGTTTTATGGCCTGGTTCGAGTCATAATAGTCATCTGTCTGTTTCATTTGATTCATTCAGGAATTAGAGGTGGATCCTGTTGGAGATGTAGCGTCTGAGATGTCTGAATGGGTTGCTGGATTTGCAGGTTAATGTGATTCTTCTTTTGAGATGGATAACAGTGACTGAGATAGATATAGTTTTATTGAACCCGAATTGTTCGATTTGCAGAAGGCACGTCGGCATCTGGTGATGACATACTTGATCATTCATCTGAAGGGTGGCTCGCTGATTGCTTTAATGATACTGAGATGCAATTCAGCACAGCGGACATGTATGCTACTTCTAGCGTTTAATTTGATTTCATTTCTCCAAAAGTTGAGCTTTACTAAGGAACATATACTGACTAATATTTTTTCCTGGAGAATAGTAATGCTTCTGGTGCATCTGGTGTGCAAATTAATATAACAGGTAAATTGAGCATTATCTTTTCTTTATTTTATTTTTAAGATTACGAAACAATGTCTTTTCTGCCTTTTGACATGCATTCTCTTGCAGAACTTTGCGGTACATCAGCGGTAACAAATGCTGCTCCACAGAGGCCTGTTCGCACCCGGAGAAATGTCGTTTTTAAAGGTTTTTTGAGTCTATAATTCCTGCAAATTCTATTGGTCGTTCATTTGGGGGGCTACCTTCCTCGATTATACCTCAGTCTCTCTTTTTGTCGATTGAATATGAATCTCTTTCTCCTTTCAAAAATTCAGGTAGAAAATCATACATGCAGACTCCTCCCAAATTAGCATCTTCGGTTGTATATCCATTTGCATTCATCAAACCTTGTGGTGTTCATGGGGATGTAACTCTAAAGGATATTAACCAACGGATACTCAATCCAACACCAAAACTGAAGCAAAACAAGGAAGACCTCGAGCCCCCTTATCCTACATCGGCATTCTCTGGCAAGCCTGTGGTTGGGAAAACCAAGATCAGGACTGAAGGTGGAAGCATTACAATCATGAGAACAAAAGGGTGAAACATCGTACAGGAGCTGGCGGCGAAACCTTTTGTGATTTTGTTGTTTGTTGTTCCATCCTCCCCGGACAACATTGTTTCAGGTTATCTCGGCATCATCATCATCAAATTGTACAAGCTGTTTATTGATCGCCATGTAACAGATGCCTTTTGTCTCATATAAACCTCATATATAATGACTGATCCAATGGTTCTAGGTTTTTGATGTCTACTGGGAGAGAAAGATCCTCCCTCCTACTTCCTTTTGCCATTGGGAAAACTCTATTTATCTTCTAATCTAATGAATGTGCAGAGATTAATCGTTATATTATCAACTCTGTTGTGGTCTTCTTAATTTTATGACGATCTTCATGGCTCTTCCATTCTTATGATTACTCTAAATTTCGTTGAACTGTCTAGTTTCTATTGTGTGTTACCTCTTTGGACTGACCAAAGTTTTCAATCTGTTAGTCTTCCTTGGGCTTTTCTATGTGATCTTAATTCCACGACTAACAAAGGTGTAAGTTGAAAAATATGTTTTCCGTTTTAAAAATATCTAGTCATAGAAGTATTTTTTTTTTTCCTTTTCTTTCTTTTTAATATTTCAAAGGAGGGAGTATAACTATTGAAAGACTCCAATTTCATGGATCCAGATTTTTGAAAAGGAAAATCTTCTCATACATTGTCATTTATTAATTACAAATAATGTTGAAATTGTATATAAATAAAGTCACAACATATGCTAAATCCTACTACATTAGAAATAAAAACCCCCCTTTCAAACACCGCCTATGATTGCCACGTGACATGAAGAAAGTATTAAATTGTCCTTTTGTCTAACCATAACTAAATTACTAAATCCCCATTTGCACTTTACGTGACACGTTTTTTTTTTTTTCATTTTTTCTTTATGTTTCACTCAATTAGAGTAGTTTTCTTTTCTTAATTATGGAGTCTAAATTGAATTGATCAATTAGGTTTTTGTTACAAAGTGTCAATTTTGTTTTAAGCGTCCTTCGGATGAAGATATTACAAAATTATTAAAAATTTCCAAAACTAAGTATTGATTTGGCACGACCAATGGAGAACATCAATAAATCATCTTACTAATATTTAAACTTATTAGGATGCTTTTATATTTTGTCTAACATTTACTTCAACACATATATTCGATTAAGTCTATTTATATCTGATAAGTAACACTCATAAAACATTTCTAAAACATACATGACGAAATACAAATATTTTTATTATCACACTTATAAAACATTTCTAAATCCTTCAAACATTTCTAAAATATATCGCTCCAAATACAAAATTTTATTTTTTTTAAATATAAACATTTCTAAGATTTACAGATAGACTGGGCCAGGGTCGCGCATTGCGCGACCACACATCACTAGTATATTCTAGAGAGCATTTCCAACTGGCAATTTTTTATTTATTATTTGGGGGGCTGTTTATGATAAAACCCAGTCAAAATTTATCATTTTCGTAAATGTTAGTATATGAGATAATAGGCTTGATTGATTAGAGAGGAAGAACGTCCGAATTAATTCAGTTATTCATTATGATAAGCGATAAGCATGCTTGCAATTATTCTGTCTTCCTTCGAAACCAAACAAAATGCATTGTTGCTTTCGTGTCTCTTAGCACAAATGCACAAAGATAGATTCGTGTTAAAAAAGACACATTCCGAAGCAATTACACCAGGCAATTACTCTGGATTTTGTCTTAAAATTATTGTCTGACAATAATAAAATATTTTAATATTTTAATTGAAAATAATGTATTAAACTATTTTAGAGAACATAACAAATATGAAAATATATTTTGAAAGTTTTATTTTTATCATCGAAATAACATAGTAAATGAAATTTAAACTAATCAAAATGCAGTATAATAAGGACCGGATGGAAGATACAGTATATTATACTGAGGAATTGTTCTTTTGCTCTTGATTTTTCCTCTTCGGGGTATTGTCGAAAGCAGCTAGCTTAATCCAAATTTAACGAGCTAGCTACTTTGGATTTCTTGATGTTTGTTATGGTTTTCGTGGACATTGAGAAATGATTTCCTATAAAGATATTTTACTGTAAATTTTTTTCTTGCTTCATTACGGATTGTCATTTTTAGAACAACTGGTAAAATTGAAATAATATCTTAAGCAAACAGGACAGTTTCATAAGTTACGTCATTGTGGTTTTAGTAGAATGAACTCTTTAATAGTATTTACCAAAGTGGCATAAAATAATCTTTTGATGTGCCCTTCATTACTTTGGTTCAAGAGTATTGATTTTCGATTACCAAGGACTAATAGTTCATTCTCATTTGTTTTTTCGGAAAAAAAGGCCAAACAAATTCTCAAAACTATATATACTCTTCGTATTTTATTTTAATAATTCACTTTATCGTATATTTTAAAATTAATAAAAAGTTGATTGTTAAAAGGGAACGAAGTGAGTTTGAACCCTACCATACTATCTACTTTACAAGCAACATATTTACTTGCTCATCAAGCAAAAAATATCATATCGCTCTAATCTTACTTATATACTCCATCCGATCCTTAATACAAGTCATTTTGATTTGTCATAGATTTAATTGGGTACATATTTTTTAATTAACAAAAAATTTTACTCCTAACAATTAGGAGAACACAACAAATGTAAAAATATATTTGTAAGATTTTTTTTCAATTTAAAATGCATAATAGGTAAAATTTAGGACAAATCAAATAAAAGACGGTTGTGAGTAAGACTCAAAATGATCTCATTTGTCAACTTCCTTTTGCGTTTATCATAAAATATTTATTGAAATTTACTTTCTCAAGTTCTTAATATAAGATATTTTGATTCGTCCTAAATTTCACCCAATATGTGTTTTTAAATGAAGAAAAAAATCTTAAAAATATATTTTCACATTCGTTGTGTTCTCATAATTGTTAAAAAAAATTTTTAAAGTTTTTTTATCAATTAAAAATGAGTACCAGGTAAAATCTAAGATAAATCTAAATGCCTTATATTAAAGATCAAATGGGGTATATCAAATAAAAATCACAAATTATTAACACTTTTAAGTCTTGGGAGAGGGTGATTTGTGAAAGAAAATATCACTTAAAGTTGTTGAAAAGTCAAGTAAAAAGTTGACATACAAAACCACTAAAAAATTTGTTGGTGGAACACGAAGGACAAAATGGTCAATCCACAATGTTACAGGTAATCTGGTTGTACCTTTGTAAGGACACACTGCACGGAATAGTACCTTCAAAACAGGGAATCTGTCAAACGTCAAAAATACCAAAACCTCCGGCCCCTTTTTTTTAATTAATTTAATTTAAAATAATGATAAAACTAATAATTCAATCGACAAAAATAGAATAAACTAGGAAAGAAAATAATAGAAAAAGCATAGAAAAGACATAGAAAAATCCTTTTTTTTTTTTTTTTAAAGCTGCCCCGCGCTTTTCTCTCTCTCTCTCTCTCTCTCGCTCTTTCTTTCTGGTTGAATGAATCCTCTGTTTTCTCCGCTTCCCTTCAACTCCACACAAATATTTACTGATTCACAATTATTTCTCCCTTTTTTCTTTTTTTTGTTTTTTGATTTTTACCTTATCTTCGCAGAGATATATGTGATGGAGAAACTTGGCTTTTGAAAGTTGTTTGAATTTTAGTCGCAGCAAAAAAAAAGAAAAAAAAATGAAGCCTTAGGTCAACTTTTTCGTCTCCCTGTTCCTTTTTTGGCTTTTGTATTTGGTGCTATTTCAGTTGGGAAAAATTCCTTTGTTCCTTTTTTCCCCCATTTGGTTTTTTTAGTTTCTGGGCAATCATCATTTTCTTAGTTGAGAACTGGGTTTTGATTGTTTTTATTTTTCTAAATTCTGTATTTTTAATTTTCTTAATTTTTTTGGGTGGGTCATCGTTTTTGTTTTTCTCTGTACAAGTTGGGAACTGGGTCGTTTTCTTAGGGGGTTTACTTTTTTTTTTTTTTAATTGGTTTTCTTGCCGTTTGTTTTATGTTATTATTCGTGGAGAGAAATGGTGGTTGCTGCGGCAAGTTTAGGGTTTTGAATGGCTGAAATTCAACTCTTTTAAGGAGCGTTGAATTTGTACAAAGCATTTATTTTTGGGGGTCAATTATGGTATACTTTCGGTTTTTCCATTGAAGAATGTTTGTCTTTTTTGTTGTTTTTGGGAGAATATAATTTGTTTTGGGAATAAAGTTTTATTAAGGGGTGTTTTTTCTTTTCTCTTGTTGATTGAAATTTTCTGTCATTCTCTTCATTTTTTTCTGTGGCCTGTTCGATGATGACGAAAACGTCTTGGATCCATTTATAGTTCATTCTTTTAACTAGTTTGCATAAAAATCTAAACTTTGGTTCAATTTTTGGTTGAATTGTTTTGGTTGTATTCAAGTGTTTTTGGAGTGATCAAATCATCCCTTCTCAAATTAAGGCGGTTGGAAATTTGAGTTGAGTTTAGTTGTGTCTGAATCTTTAAACATGGATACAAACACAAGTGATGATGTTGGAGAAATCCCAAAAACAGAAAATAAAGAGGGAAGTTTTGGTTCCAAGTTGAAGGGAACAGGAAGTCTTAGTGCTAAAGATTTGTCATCAGCTGGTGTTGGAAGCATTAGTTCTAAAGATATGATCTTCAGGGCTGATAAAATTGATCTGAAAAGTTTGGATGTTCAATTGGAGAAGCATCTCAGCCGTGTTTGGTCAAGAAATGTAGAGAACAGCAATAAGCCCAAGGAGCCATGGGAAATCGATCCATCTAAGCTGGAAATCAGATACCTTATAGCCCAGGGGACTTACGGTACGGTCTACCGTGGTACATATGATACTCAAGATGTTGCAGGTAAACCAATCTCTCTTTGCAAGGAAGTAATTTTAATCTGTCATACTTGTCTGGGCAATCTGTTAAATATGTTATACCAATACTGCAACTAAACCTTTATTCCATTACCTTGTGATTTACTGTATTTTATTGATCATATCTTGGTAGCATGCTCGATCAAAACTATGATATCATAGCATTTCTCTGGGATTGTTTTAAACTCAGTAATTGGGATGGGTGCGGGAAATTTAACTAATTACTATCCTGTGATCTTGTGACTAGTGGAATTGAATGAAGTGCCAATGTTCGATCTTTGTATTTTTACTGACTAAAAACTGAAATTTCCTGCAATTCTGACGTCCACTGGAACGTGAAGCACTGATGCGCGCATTTGTTTTCTTTTTCATCGGATTTTTTTCCCTCTGTTATCTGACTAGAGTGGTTTGCTTGGGTTCACGAATTTGAAATTTTGAAGCGATCATTTCAAGGTGCACTAGTCGAGTGTAGAATGGTGCTTTCGTTAGGTTTTAGTGTGTGTATTAGAGCTGCTGTTGTTTAAAATCTGGTATGGATTGATTTTTGATGACAACACCCAATAGGAGCTTATGTTATTATGGTTCTTTTGTTACATAGTCAAGCTGTTGGACTGGGGAGAGGATGGCATTGCCACAGTTGCTGAAACTGCTGCTTTGAGGGCATCATTTCGGCAAGAAGTTGCTGTTTGGCACAAACTTGACCATCCAAATGTCACAAAAGTACAACTGGATTCCTTCTTTTATGATTATATATCCTGCATGATGATGATGTAGCGCTAATTAATGATGAAAGTGATTTTTTTTTTTCGCTTAGCTGTAAATTTGACCTTAGGTTTGATTATCTACAGTTTGTTGGCGCATCAATGGGGACTTCAAATCTCAAGATTCCTTCCAAAAATCCTTCTGAAGGTTTTACCAACCTTCCATCCAGGGCATGCTGTGTTCTTGTGGAATTTCTTGCTGGCGGAACATTGAAGAACTTCTTATTTAAAAATAGGAAAAAGAAGCTTGCATTCAGAGTCGTGATCCAACTCGCATTGGATCTCTCTAGGGGGTGGGTTTTTGTTTGAGACTGCTGTATGGCTTAAATGTACCCGAATCATTTTTTCTAAAACCATTATAACTCTTGCAGTTTGAGCTATCTGCACTCTAAGAAGATCGTACATAGAGATGTGAAAGCAGAAAACATGCTGTTAGATACTTATCGGACTCTGAAGATTGCAGATTTTGGTGTTGCTCGTGTTGAAGCGCAGAATCCTCAGGACATGACTGGTGAAACTGGAACCCTTGGATACATGGCCCCAGAGGTACTCGTAAAAACCCAGTATTGTAAACATATCTCTCAATTCAAAAATCAGAACCTGCCTCTTGCTAATGCTACAGATATGCTAGCTGTAAGGTTGAATCCAAGCAAGTTGCAAGCTTGTATGATCCTGTTTTTATCTAACTCTTGTTATCTGCTCTATGAAATAAAGCATCATTTGACTCACCCAATCTTACCAAATTGTTTCTTTTCTGGAGATATGCTCCACCCAAGATATATTTTTTGAAGAAGTTCTTGAGTACCCAGTTAATTCTTGTTGATTTTATTTGATTTGCGAAGGGTTTTCTGTGTTATGCTTACAAGTTAACTACTGGTGCTCAAGTTTTTTCCTTGAAATGGCCGTATTGGGCAGTTGCTCTCTGTACTTCGCAGCCGATCATTTTAATGTGGTTTAAGAATCGACATGTTCTTAACTTAATAACTTTGTCCATTTCGTTACATGTATTGTCTGTGGCATGATATGATGAGATAAGCTGTCTAGAGTCTCTCTCTCTCTCTCACACACACACACACACACATTTGCAGCATAAGTTATTGGATATACTGTGAATTGGTCCTTGATGGTAAACCTCATAACAGAAAGATGTGATATTGATGGTCTTTCCTTTTGTGTAGGTTCTTGATGGAAAGCCTTACAACAGAAAATGTGATGTCTACAGCTTTGGCATTTGCTTGTGGGAGATTTATTGTTGTGATTTACCTTATCCTGATCTTAGTTTTGCTGAAGTTTCTTCTGCTGTGGTTAGACAGGTCAGTTTGATGTAGGCCTTTTTTGTTCATTTATTGTTTGATATGGCCAACTTTGCATTTAGGTTTACTATAGCGGTTTCTTTTTCTTGCTGAATTTGATCTTAAAACAGTGCTTGCATCAATTAAATTTAAAACCATTTGTCTGGGTGATTCTTTTCATTCACCTTTTTCCACATTACACATCTAGTTTTGTTGTTATCGGCTTGCTTAGTTTACTCAAATACTTATCAATAATTAAGGTCTTCTTTCTAATTAGTTTTTGAAACTGTCTGTCACTTGAAAATTATGTTCTGATTGCATCAGTTGGCTGTTTTTGATTGTAAGATCTCATGCAATTGAGTGCCTCTTTGCTTTAATATTCTATCGTGCTCAACTCAAAGTAAGGCCCATCAGTTTTGGTGTCCCTGTAATGGCAGATGACTGGAATCCTTATTTAACTACAACCTGAGCATGGAATTGTTACTAGTTAATTGCTGCATTAGTAGGATGGTTATCTTCTTGATGAATAGCACAAATCCTTCTTGTTTCCCTTATTGAACCACTCTTGAATGGTTAGATTTTGCAATTTTGGTTCAAGAAATGATGGATTTTCGTTTCATATTAGTTCCAGTATTTTAGTGTCATCATCATTATTTCTTCAGACCAAGTTAATTAATTCATTCTATGTATGGCATCTTCAGAATCTGAGGCCGGAAATCCCTAGATGTTGTCCAAGTTCTCTGTCACACATCATGAAAAGATGCTGGGATGCCAATCCAGACAAACGACCTGAGATGGATGAAGTGGTAAAGTTGTTAGAAGCAATTGATACAAGCAAAGGAGGAGGAATGATACCCGAAGATCAGGCTGGCGGCTGTTTCTGCTTTGCTCCAGCTCGAGGTCCATAAAATTTTTCTTTTTAGAGTCTTTTGTTAGTTTCGACAATTTGATTTGTCTTTCACATTTGTTTTGCTCCGGCGATCTCTGATGGGGTCTTTGAAATTCATTTTGTTGTCCATAATTGAAAATACTGGTTAAAAAGGTGATGCAATTTGTCAATTGCAATGTTCTGTATTGTTAACCAGTTTCTCAGCATTCCCCTCCCCCACCCTTTCCCCTTTCCCTGCTTCCACCGGCAACAGAAAGCACAACAGAACAAATCTGAACTCTATGCCAACTAATTTTTCTCTTCATTAATCTGTTAAATTGCCTTAAAAGAGAGACCTCTTAACATTCAGATAGGAGAATCTACAGCAGCATTCCTGTTTGTTGTACCTGAATGGAATGGAGGGAGTATAATGGATTTAAGTTCTGCTTAAAGTTTCTTCCTTATCCCCAATGTTGTTTATGGTGTCCACTCTGTAATATGAGATTCGAATCAGCAGCAACAGAGGCAATAAAGGGCCTCAAACAACATACCTGCAGCTTCTTCTCCTCAAGATTCTGCATAGCTTCTTTAGTACTACATATTTCCTGTTGAAACTATTAGCATTCCCTTTTCAAGATTTGTGTTTATGCTTGTGTGTACCATTTTTGGTATTGAGATTAAGATCATCAGATCATGTTTCCAAAGTGCCCACATCCCATGCCAGTTGATCATATAAGTGGATATCTACTCTTACTTTTTGATAATCTTGCACTGTTTTTGGGTTAGGCTTTCTTTGTGGAGTTCCATTTGGACTATTTTTGCTTGAGTAAAACTGATAGTTAGAGACTTGTATTTTTATTTTATTTTTTGCCTTGCCGTCTACTAATTCTCTTATTCTGTTGTGTCCAAATGAAGGATACATGCACGTCATAAACAGCGCTTCAACATTATCCTTCCCAATCTGTAAAATTTTTTAATGTATTTCCTCCGTCCCATTTCAATAATTTAGTTTGTTGAACTAAAATTGTCCTTCCTCCTTTTCCAAATTATTGTCCAATTTAGATTTTTATCTTTGGTTCAAATTGTACTAAAAGTAAAACTCCAGACTGGACAGTAATTTTGGAACGAAAACAGTATTAGAATAGATGTCTTTAGGGTATGGTATTTGCTGCAAAGCCTCCCTTTTTACCGACTCTCGGATGTTATCCGGAAAAAAACCCTCAGATGAGGCTTGGCCGGACCAACCCTCCGATGGCTCTTCCGGGATGAAAATGTAAGAGGAACTTATCAAAAATTGCCATATTCCGCTACATAAATAAACAATTACTCTCCCTGTCCCAAAATTATTGTCCAGTTTGAGATCTCACTTTTAATATAATTTGAGCTAAAAATGAAAACTCAAACTGGACAATAATTATGGGACGGGGGAGTATATTTCTTGGTTGAAAGTCACTCTCGCCAGAAGTTAGGAACCTTTTTCAAGATAAGGATTGAAGCAGATGAACTTTGACAATTTGCACTTCAAATTTGATGATATTTTCCTCGTCTCAGATAGAAAAATAAAAAAAAAATAAAAAACCAATCTTCATCACTGTTCAGTACTCAACCTAAGGATGATTGTGTTCGTAGTTTTTGTACATATCCCTTCGGAAATTATCAATATTTTTTTTGGGTTAAAATAATACTTATGTGTGTAGTTCCACATAAAATTAACATGGTCAACATGATCATGATCAAATAATGTAACCTAGTGGTTTGCAAAATAATTACATGTGGAAATCTAATCTTAATATTTCATTCGTACCCAAAAACAATTATATTTAAAATTAGTAGAACAAACGTGATTCGATATTAAAACTAAGAGGGTACAAGGTTTTCCAACCTGCGCACTAAGGAAGATCATGGCAGACCAGAATTGATACCATGATACGTCAAAAAAATGAAAACCATTTTTGTATTGATTTGTAAGAACCAAGTTGTGTCAAAAAATAAAAATAAAAAAATTGAAGAATCAATTACTTGTACCAAAAATATTCTTATATTTTTTGGAGGGAACCCAAAATTTATTTATTGAAAATGATATACTCCCTCCGTCCCAAAATTATTGTCCAGTTTGAGATTTCACTGTTTAATATAATTTGAACTAAAAATAAAAACTCAAAGTGGACAATAATTTTGGGACAGAGGGAGTAATACTTAACCCTATTTGTAGACTCTACGTACTAAGTCCTTTTGGTGTTTTTAAAATGAATTATGCAAAAATCATAGAGCACCAAAGGTTGAGATCATAAGCTTTCACTTTCATTTTCAGTGGCTTACACAACGAGTTTCCTTTTAAGGGCAATTGTCGATGAATTATTGGTATCCTGAAATGAAAAAGATGATGTCTAAATTAATAAAGAATTTGGCCAAGAAGATGGCTACGTGCATTGCTTGTTTTTATGTTAAACTCGCAGGCAGATAACAACAAAACAGCTAAAATGGTTGTTTCCTCGGATTCAATTAAAACCGAAAACACGAAGAAATTGATTGACTCCAACAACTGGAATAGTCGCCTGTTCAAATTTCTCAAAAATTTATATTTTCTCGTTTCATAATTTTTTTTTGTTTATATCATCAGATTAGATAGAATACAATAAAAAAATTGTATTTAACTAATACTCCATCTGGTTCTTATTATAACACATTTTGATTTCGTCATATTTTTAAAGTTTTTATTCTAATTAGAAAGACATCTTAGGTAAAACTTAGAACGAAATCAAAATGTCTTATAATAAGAACCAGAGGAAGTACGTACCAACATTAAGTATACTTGTACATGAGTTACATACGCTACTCACTTAAATAATTTGATTGAAAAACAAATAAAAAAGCCATGCATCAATCGTTTTTTTTTATAGTCAAAAATGGAATCAATCTCGAAATTACTTATCATTATATCCTGCCTATTTTTCAATTCCAAGGGAACATCTTTCTTGGACGAACATTATAAAATGAACAAAGCGACACTTTCAAGAGTACTTTCTTACCCGAAATTATTAATAAAATGTGTCCTCGTGTTTTGGTTTAATTCTTCAATAAATGAAGCACCAGTATTTGCGAAAGTTAAATTTTAGGATATCCGATGATTCCAACCACTGAATTTGTTTAAAATTGTAAAAACTACACGGTGCATGATACATATCACAAATTCACATTTTTTTTTTATTCTATTTTACTTTTTTTTTTTTTTACATTTTTTCTAAGTAAGACCATGAATACGTATAGAAAATTGGTTAAGAAAATTGATCAACGATATCATATCTTATGCAATCATCTTAAATATCAGAGTTTTAAATTTACAACGGAATGTAATTGGTATTTTCGATTCGTAATGTTTGCTAGCATGGACGGATCTAGGGGGTGGTTCGTTGACCATGCAGTCGGCGGATTTTTGGAAACAATTATTAATTTTTTTTTAAATATATTTTTTGAAAAAAGATCGTTTAATTAAAATCGACTCTCCGAATGTTAGAGTTGGTTCCGTCAATGGTTGTTAGCTCTAACCTCCATTAATAATAATACTACTAGTGTATTTAAAAAATAATAATACTACTTGTACATTTAAAAAGACATTATAACAAATGGAAAACTGGGAGAAGTAGTAGTAATAAATTAAAAAAGGACAAAATGCACTTTTGGTCCCAAAATTATAGGGGGTCACAATTTTTGGTCACCATTAATTTTTTACTAATAAAATTAGTCACAACCTTTTTGTTTATTCAACAGTTTTACTCAATTTAACGGTCAACTAACGGTCAATTCTTTTCTCCGTTAAGTTTTTTTTTTATTAATTTTTACTGAACTAGGACCCGCAATGTATTTTCAAACAACAAAATCAGTCCTCCAACATCTTTTTTTTCAATAATTTTAGTCACTTTAATAGAAGTTTCAAAAATTTAATGGCCCAATTCAATTTTCCTTTAAGTCTTTATTTTTTATTGATTACTTAATGGATTGTGGGTTTCACAAGTCCTTGATCAGAATGTTTTTTTTTTTTTATAAAAAAATTAAACGAATAATGAAAATATTTTCGACCAACTTCCTAAATCTCAAATATTCTGTTCCCCAAGAAATAAATTCTCAAAAAAAAAAAAAACGGACAACGAAAACGATCAATAATGAGGCTCCTTTTTTGGGCTACTTTGCCGGTGGGGAGGTGATGGTGAGACGTTCGAGAGCAGTATGTTGAGGTTTAGGAAGTTGGTCAGAAATAATTTCATTATTCTTTTATTTTATTTTTTAAAAAAATCTGATCAAAGACTTGTGGGACCCACAATCTATTAAGTAATCAATAAAAAATAAAAACTTAAAGGAAAATTAAATGGGGCTATTAAATTTTTATAAATTCTGTTAAAGTGATTAAAATTGTTGAAAAAAAAGATATTTGTAGGCTGATCTTGTTGTTTGAAAATACATTGCGGGTTCAGTAAAAAATTAATGAAAAATAAAAAATTTAATGAAAGAGTTGACCGTTAGTTGACAATTAAATTGAGTAAAACTGTTGAATAAACGAAAAGATGGTGACTAATTTTGTCAGTAAAAAATTAATAGTGACCAGAACTTGTGACCTCCCATATTTCAGGGACCAAAAGTGTAGTTTTGTCCGTTAAAAAATTCCAATAACTTGGAATGGGCAATTGTGGTAACGTCACGTCTCACACTTCTCCTATAAATGTGGCAAATGTGTAAGCTCTATGAAACAGACACCAAAACAGGTTCGATCTTCCAACTTCTGCCACCTTTTAAAACCCTTTTTCATTTCCCCTGCAGTTTTTTGAAACTATTACCCAAAAAAGAAGAAAAAAGAAACTTGCTTTTCTTCACTGAAAATGGTTCTGGAAACAGTTGAATCATCATCTTCAGTTTTGGCTGATTTGCTCCGCCAATGTGGTGGTTCTGCCGTCATAGACGGTGGTCTTGCCACCGAACTTGAACGTCATGGTGCTGACCTGAATGACCCTCTTTGGAGTGCTAAGTGCCTCATGACTTCACCTCATCTCATCAGAAGAGTAATGTTTTTTAATTTTATTCATTTTTCTTCCTCTGTTTTTCCTTCTTTGATGCATTTTCTTCTATCTTTCTGATGCATTTTTTGGTTCTGGGATTTTCTTGTATCTCTCTGTTTTTCCTCTGTTTTACTCTGCATCTGCAAGTTTGAAGATAGATTGTTTTTTTTCTTCTGGAGCTTATTGATTCAGTATGAATGGTTATTTTAAGATTCCTTGTTTCAAATATCAGAAACTAAGTTGGGATTTTGCAAATAAGATTAGGTATTGAGCAGAAATGTTATGGAACTGCAGCTGGTTTTGCAAATAAGATTAGGTATTGAGCAGAAATGTTATGGAACTGCAGCTGGTTTTGATTTTGATGTATATAAGAATTCTATCCTAAAAAGATGAATTGATCTTCAAAGTGGTCCTCTTTTTGTTGTACAATTTGGTTTGCAGTATTGTCTTTTGTATGAAAGATAAGTCTTTTGTGGCTAACAGTTTTAGAGTTTGGTCCATACTGCAAACAAAATGTGTCAGAAGAAACAGCTTTCTCTGTTAGTGAAAGCTCTCAGTATGAGGATTCTCTCAACTGAAAGATCCAAATTTTTTACCTTATTTCATTGGAATGGTTCCCATGTGCTTCTCTTGTTTTATTCTTGATGGTTGTTACTTCATTTGATAGGTGCATCTGGACTACCTTGAAGCTGGTGCAAATATCATAGCATCTGCATCATATCAGGTTAGATTGCTAGTTTGCAAATTTTATTGATCTATTTAGTTTTGTGTAGAGTTCTTTCAATTAGTTTATTAGAAGTTTTGATTTTGTTTTTGTGTGAAAAAAAGGCTACCCTACAAGGATTTGAAGCCAAGGGCGTACCTAAAGAAGAATGTGAAGGTTTACTCAGGAGAAGCGTTGAGATAGCTCGCGAGGCGCGGGATATATTCAACGACAGAGCCAGCAAAGGTTTTTGGGATGTTCATAATGAAGATGTCAAGGCTTCAAGGCGTCCTGTACTTGTTGCTGCTTCAGTTGGAAGCTATGGAGCTTACCTAGCTGATGGTTCCGAATACAGGTGAGTTTTCGTGATCATTGAAGTTGAGTTTGACTTGGTCTAGCTGTGTTATTGAGGCATGATGTGATTGTATTTTTCCAGTGGTTTATATGGGGACAAGGTATCTTTGGAGACTTTGAAAGATTTCCACAGAAGAAGGATTCAGGTTCTTGCCGATTCTGGTGCTGACCTGATTGCATTTGAGACTATTCCAAATAAATTGGAAGCTCAGGTAGCTTTATGTCCCAATTATAGATTTTATACTGAATAAGCTCTTTTTCTCTGTCAAGTTAAATTTTCGGATATTTTGAAGACTACATATCTTCTAATGTAGGCCTTTGCTGAGATCATGGAGGAAGAGAACATAAAAATCCCTGCTTGGTTTTCTTTCAATTCAAAGGATGGAGTCAATGTTGTCAGTGGGGATTCCATAGCTGATTGTGCTTCGATTGCTGATTCGTGCGAGCGAATTGTTGCAGTTGGAATAAACTGCACTCCTCCACGCTTCATCCATGGACTAATCCAATCAATCCGCGAGGTATATCTTATGGATTTGTTCAATTCTGAATATGTTTAGTTTTCATTTTAGTTTTGATTTTAGCCCGCTTAGAAAAAATAGGTGGTAAATTCTCAATGTTCAACTGTGTTCTTACAGTGGATTCTGATCTTAAATGCGCCATCTGTAACTAATGAAAAATGTACATGTTTGATTCTGCAGACAACTAAGAAGCCAATTCTAATCTATCCAAACAGTGGCGAAACTTACGACGCTGATAGAAAGCAGTGGGTGGTAAGTTGATCATAACACATTTGGTGTCTTAACATGTATTGAAACCTACAAAAAGTTGAAATTGGTGTATGATTTTTCTTCCAAAATGACAGCCTTCAGAAGGATCAGTACACGAAGACTTCGTATCATACGTTGGCAAGTGGCGCGAGGCCGGGGCATCGCTCATCGGAGGCTGTTGCAGAACAACTCCCAACACCATCAGAGCAATCTCTAAAGCTCTCTCTGCTAAATCCTTCCCAGCTGACTAATAATCATCTTTTTACCATGACTTTGAGATAATCAGCAAGAAGAGACAAGACAATGCTTATGTTTGCTAATATTGTTAATGCTTACTGTTTTTGTTTTATTCCTAGTACTAAAACAAAAACAAAATGTCACAGATGTTGTCATGTTTAATCTATTCTAATTCTATATCAGTCTCTTGTAATCTATCCCTATCAACCAGACTTTTGTGAAAGTTAAGGTCAAACTTTCAACCAATGAATGCAAACTACTATTTGTTGTTAGTGATTTGGATAATTAAAACGTTAGATTATCCTTTTTCGACGACTCTTGAGGAATAGGCTTAGTCCTGCTTGCGTCACAATCCATTCGTCATCCGATGATGATGCGTTGATAGTTACTCCCACATACTCCTTCCCTTTGTGAAATTGATCGGTTTTGGAGTTTTATTTTTACTACAAATTTTATTACCATCTCATCCATTCTTTCTTTCTTTTATTACTTCTTCTGTTTCAAAATTATTGTCCAATTTACATTTTCAATTTTAATGCAATTTGAACTAAAAATAAAAATTCAAACTGGATAATAATTTCAGAACGAAGTAAGTAATTTATCTTCAAGTTTCAAGGGTTGGGTAAAATTTGCATAGTCTTCATCTTAGTTTTTGTTTCTGCAACCATTTAGTCTCTTCAATTCTAAGTTCTAACACGGTTTCATTTTGTGTCTGGCTGTCTTAGAACAAGATGGGTTGCAATGTCTTCATCTTCAACTAATTGTTTTTACAATTACACATTCATCATCATGATATCACTCATAATAAGCACTTTTAACTCCTTAGTTGCTTGATGAATCGGCTAATACATTCATATATACAAATTTCATTCTCTATAACTAAAAACCATTTGGCTTCCTTCCCACATATTAAAAGGGGAAAAAAAAGTCACTCATAATCCATTTTGATCTTTAAACATACATTAGTAACTTATTGATTCTTTCGACCCAAAACAAAAAAAGAGCTGATTCTTGTATATTCAAAATTTCAAATAGAGGTGACATGTATGTATAAGATCGTTGGAATTCTTCACTTATTGATTTTTTAATTAGAAGAAGAATGTGTAATATATCTATAGTACTTAACTAAAGCAGCAAACAAAAAGGACATGTGTCAGCATTACAATAAAAATTTTCCCGCTAAAAGCCATTTTCAGTACAAAATCATTTTTGACACGTGTCACTCTAACTAATCAGAAAAAAAGATGGAATAGATAAATACATAAATCCCTTAATTATAGCTACATAAAAATCTCTTAATTATAGGTATACAATAATCCCTTAAAATAACAATATTTAGTTGATAAAATCAAATGTAAAGAAATCCCTTTAAATTAAGTGAAACACCAGCAATGTCTTCCCAATCCCCAATTTCAAAAGATCTCTTCCATTCTGCTCCCATCTCACACCGAGCCTTTAAATCAATTACTTAAAATCTGACATCAATTATCAATACATCTCTTTCCACAACAGAGAAAAAATAAGCTGTCATGAAAGAAATTTAATTTTTTAAGGATGATTTTTTTTATTATTCTTCTGTTGTAGATATTGGTTTATGATTTATGTAAACCCGGGCATAAGTTAACTATTATAAATTAAATGTTGTAAATCTGGGTATAGATTTATATGTAATAACTCACTTTCTGCCCTTTCAATCAATTTTTTATTCTTTAATTTTTTTTTATTCTTTTAAGAATGATTTGTATTTTTATTTAATCGATTTAAAAATACAAGCGGCACCCCGGACTTTGATCTAGTTATTTTTTATTACCAAAATTAAAACAACAATTTTTTTTTTAAGACAAAAGAAGGCTGGGCCCATTTCCTGTACCAAACTGGGTTGGGTCCTTAATCGATTAACTTAAAACCCTGAACCTACAGGAGAAAGAAAAAAGAGGCCCTCTTTGGATTCTCCTTCAGGTTGTTTGTTCTTGGATGATGAACTTTGTTAACCTTGGTAATGGCTGCCACCCTCTTTTGTCTCTAATGTTTCTGGAATGCAAATTTTATTTTCTTCATAACCCTTTTTACTGTTAGTTTCTGTGTGAAAGTAGAGACTTTTAAGAGATTTTATACACAGGACGTGAAGCAGAAATGAAATTGGTTAGAAAACGGGACGATTCTGCAACCCTTTTAGGTTTTGAGCGTTTTTGAGCCCACTACAAAATTGTTAATAAGGAGTTTGATGATTTTGGTTTTTTTGATTTAGTTGATACCCATTTGAATGTTTTGTATGCATACTGTGATGAGGCGTAGCCAAAAATTGAAGCTTTGACTGGATTCTTACTAGAAGGCTCCAGAAATTTGTACAGAGTTTCTGGTAAAGCTTACAACATAATTGTTGGTTCGTAGATTGCCTTTGCTTTGCCACATTTGGTACCGCTTCTGTTAGTTCTGTGGTTTGATTATTTATAGGGCTGTCGAAAATGTATTCAAGGTTGAAGTTCTTACAGTCTTTTTGTCACTTGGGGAATCGAACCCGTTTGAATAGTTGTACTAGTGATGCAAGCTTTGTATTTGGGTGGGTTAGGCTCTTGTCCAATTCTTTTGTCACTTTGAGTAAGCCTTTTGAAGGAGGTGCCCACCCGAATGTAACTGAGCCCGCCAAGCTTCCTGATTCGCTGAAATCGTCGAGCTTATATAGATATGCTGCCAGAAAGTTTAGTGACAGAGATGATTTTGTGCCTCCAGCACTTGCAAAGTGGATGGCAGAGTACGATGTTTGTCCTCCAGATATGGACCCTGGAACCAGACCAGGGAATACGTCAATTAGTGAAGTTGAGCAGATATGTAAGACTCTGAAGAACCAGTTTGAATCTCCAGATGCTGTTGTAGAATCATTAACTAGTTGTAGTGTTGAAGTGACTGATGATTTGGTGAGGCAAATTTTAGAAAGATTCTGCTTCGAGTGGATACCATGTTTGGGGTTCTTTAAGTGGGCAAAATCTCAAAGAGGTTTCAAGTTTTCACCTGAATTGTACGATATGATGATTGATAATATGGGGAAGTGCAAGAGATTTGATCTTATGTTTGAGTTATTAGAAGAAATGAAGCAGTTGGATGGTTGCATTTCAAAGCTTACAATGAGGATAGCCATGAGGAGGCTAACAAGAGCCGGCAAATATCATGATGCTGTAGATTTATTTAGAAATTTTGAACGATTTGGATTGCCCAAGGATGTCAGAGCATTGAATATATTACTTGAAGTGTTGGTTCAGAATAAAGGTGTTGAGCTAGCGGAAAAATATTTTACAGAATTTAAGCAAATTATATCTCCTAATCTTTACACTTTCAACATTCTAGTCAATGGTTGGTGTAAAGCAAAGAAGATCGAAAAAGCTGAGGAGACTGTATCCGAGATGGAAAGGCATGGTTTCCGTCCTGATCCTGTCACCTGGAATTGCTTCATTGAGGCATATTGTTCTGAAAACAACTTCGACAAAGTTGATGAGGTGTTCAGTTTCATGGAGAAGAATGGACTTGTCCCTTCTGTAGTTACGCACACAATAGTAGTGACTGGCCTTTGGAAGGCAAAGAAAGTAAGTAAAGCTTTACAATGGTATGATATGATGAAGCAGCGGGGTCATGGTCTTGATAGTTCATTTTACAGGGCTTTGATTAAAGCCCTAAGTAAATCAAGAAGATGGAATGATGCTCGTAAAGTGTTTGAGGACATGGCTGAGCAGGGAGTAAAGCCAGATACGTTGACATACAACGCCATGATCGCTGCTGCTGTATTGGACTCCCGAGAAGAGTTTGCATTAACCATGCTTAAAGAAATGGAGGAGAATCAATGCAAGCCGGATCTTGCAACTTACACACCACTGTTGCAAATGTGCGTTAGAAAGCAAAGAATGAAAGTGCTTTCCTTTCTGTTGAGCCATATGTTCAGAAACAACGTGAGCCTTGATCTTATGGCATATACCATTTTGATCAGGGGGCTATGCATGAACGGAGATCTCGACAGTGTTTGTTCATTTTTTGAAGAATGTCTGAAGAAAGATTTGGTTCCTGATGATCCTACATGTGACCGTATGTTGAACAGACTTGACAAGGAGGGGATGTTTGAAGAAAAAGTCCGAATTGAAGAACTGATGCAACAGGCTAAACTGCAAAAATCTGTTCATTCTTCTAACAGCCCTTTTCGGCTTCAAGAATGAATCTTTTTTATTTCATGTTTACCACATTGTTACATTCCAAAGTTTACAACTCCTGGCATGCTTCAAAAAGCACTAGCCATTGTTAATGCGAAATTCATGCGTGCTTTGAACATATCCCCAGTGGACATTGATAACTGTTTTTGTTTCAATCTACAAACTTGTCGAATGTAATTTCTAAACTGGACGAGGTTTTAGTGTGGAAACCTTAATGTTCCAATAACCTTAAAATTAATACTACCTAAAAGGCTAAAACAACAACCATATTCAGCAAATTATTCTGTAGGACATAACATTCGAGATTATGAGGAAATGTTCATAAAAGAGCGCTAACTGGGCCAAAGTTTCTTCCTTTCCCTGATCAACACAAATTACACGCTCAACAGCCGCTTTTCAACACAAAACTCAGCACAGGTGGAAGAAGGGTCACCAATTAGGCTCAAGAAGAAAACTTTGCTTTCCAAGTAAGGTTATATTTGGTTTCTTTATTATCAGTAGAATTTGTTTGTAGTCCGTGCGCCTCAGTCTGAGGAAGATATCAATTTCTTAATTCTGATTTGATTGGGAATGGGTTGGAATCTATTGGCAATGCTGGTTTACCGAAGATGGATGGATTACTCTTCTTTGGGTTAGTTGCGTTCCAAGTGTTTGAAATTTGGTCTCAAAGAACATGTGCATTGTGCCATTTTTATAAACTACCATATCAGTGTTTGTGCTATTAGCTTCAACGGTTTCTTCAGTTGGACATATTGATGCTAAACTTACTCAGCTGTTAATGCAGCATAGATGTTCTCACCTGAGCATTTTAAGTGTAAAAGGCATACCATTTCATCTACTTGCGTCCAACAGTGTTTAAAGAAGCCATTTATCAATTCGCCGAAATCTTTGTGTGGGATTCACATTGAAATTGCATACATCAGTATCTGCAGAAACCTGTGTAGGATCCACATCATTGGCCCACTTTATTTGTGTAATATCCACATCATTTCCTGTTAAACCCCAGATCATAAGCCCCAGAGGAAAACTTATGCTTACTCCTTGAACTCTGTTGTTCCTGAAACTGTGTATTATGTAAAAATGGCACTCCAAATATCCATCTGTAGTTCTGTTGCTTTTGGAGAATTTTATTTCATCACAGTGTTTTGTTAGTGTTAAGATTAATTCTTTTGTTAATTCCGAGCTTTCCCTTAGGTTTGTGATTGTAAATGCAGCTACTATTGGAGTTTCCTGTGTTTCTGGAGAAAATTCATTGTGATTATGAACTTTTCATACCCTTCTTGACTTGTAGATTTTAGTTTCTGGTTTTGAATGCATAAAAATGCTTTAAATAATGGGACATCGCTTTGAACAGCATGCTGATTTAGGGAAGGCCCAACAATTTTGCAGTTCATCTGTTAACTCTGTGTCTGTGGTATGTTGCTTATAGGTTTCTAGAAAATGCAGTCAAGGCTGAAACTTTTACAGTATATTTGTCACTATGGGAACCGGAGGGGTTTGGATAAATGTACGACAGATGTCAGATTTTTATCCCAAGGGAGCTCTTTATTGTCCAGTTCCTTTGTGGCCGAATCACGTCAAGCTGATGATTCCCCTCATGCAACTGAGTCACCTGAACTTCCAGATTGGGTTAAATCTGCTAGCTTAGCTGGTTCTGCAGCTAATGAAGTGAATGAAGATGATGACTTTGTGCTTCCCTCACTAACAAATTGGATCGTAGGTTACAGAACTCATCCTACAGGAGTTGATCTTGAACGAGAAACTGGGGATTTGTTAAATACTGAAGTTGATCAGATTGGTAAGGTTTTGAAGAATAAGTTTGAATCTTTGGATGCTGTTGTAGAATCATTAACTAGTTGTGGAGTTGAGGTGACAGATAATTTGGTTAGGCAAATTTTACAAAGATTTAGCTGTGAGTGGGTACCATGTTTGGGGTTCTCTAAATGGGCGAAATCTCAAAGAGGGTTCCAGTTTTCGCCTGAATTGTACAATTTGATGGTCGATGTCATGGGGAAATCTCGGAAATTCGATCGTATGTTTGAGTTAGTGGAAGAAATGAAGCAGCTGGATGGTTACATAACAAGGGATACAATGATTAAAGTCATCCGAAGGCTAGCAAAGGCCGGCAAATTTGATGAAGCTATTACGGTATTTAGAGGTTTGGAGCAATTTGGATTGTCCAAGGATATTAACAATTTGAATATTCTAATACATGCGTTGATCAAAAATCAAGGTATTGAGCTTGCTGAAAAAGTTTATCTAGAATTCAAGGATATCATACCTCCGAATGTCTACACGTTCAATATCCTAGCTCATGGTTGGTGCAAAATTAGGAAGTTAAAGAAAGCTAAGGAGACTGTTGAGGAAATGAAAAGGTTTGGTTTCAACCCCGATGCTGTCACTTGCACTTCCTTCATTGAAGCACATTGTCGTGAAAAAGACTTCCGCAAAGTTGAGGACATGTTAAAGTACATGGAGAAGAATGGACTAGTTCCTTCTGTAACTACGTATACAATAATGATAACTGCCTTTGGAAAGGCAAAGGAAATCAATAGAGCTTTAGAAGCTTATGAGAAGATGAAGAAACAGGGCTGTATTCCTGACAGTGAATTATACGGTGCATTGATTCAGGCTCTTAGCAGATCAGGTAGATGGAAGGATGCTCGCGAACTCTTTGAGGACATGGGGAAGCAAGGAGTTAATCCTGATAGATTGGCATACAATACAATGATTGCTGCTGCTGTTTTCGACTCAAGAGAAGAAGATGCTTTAATGTTGCTTAAAAGAATGGAGGAGAGTAGATGCAAGCCTAATATTGAAACTTACACGCCATTGCTGAAGATGTGCTGTAAACTGAAAAGAATGAAGGTGCTTTCCTTTTTGTTAAGTCACATGTTCAGTAACAATGTAAGCCTCACTTTTGGAACGTACGACCTTCTGATCACAGGGTTGTGCAGGAGTGGGCATGTTGACCGCGCATGTACTTTGTTCGAGGAATTAGTGCATAAAGGATTTGCTCCTACGGATTCTATGTACGGTAAACTTCTGAAAGGACTGGAAAAGAAGGGTTTGAATAAGGAGATACGCAAGATCAAAGAACTGATGCAACGGGCCAAACAACGAGCGTCTGTTGATTCTCGTAAGAGCTTTGTTCAGGTTCAAGAATGATACCAATGAGACTTTTTGTTTCGAAGCATTCTTCTCGGTAACACCTGCTTCAGTCACACTTGTGGAGCTGGAGTTGCTGCAGCGTGTGGCTTCAGACGCCAATACCGGAGCTATCCAGTTGAATGCTTTAATCAACCTCCCAATGCGACTAAATTCAAGAACTTCATGAAAATGTCATCATGATGAGGGCAAATTGTTGCTAATGTCAAAGAACTTCATGAGAATGTCATCATGATGAGGGCAAATTGTTGCTAATGTCGAAGAACTTCATGAGAATCTCATCATGATGAGGACACATTGTTGCTAATGTCAAAGACTTCAGAAGTACTAGTACATCAAATGGTCCAAATTAGTTACAGTCCGGCAACTTATTTGCAGCTTCAAAGCTCGAGAAGTTACACGGTAGAGACTGATTGCGAAAATAAACATGTAATTGTCTTGACTTCGAATTTCCATTTCCTTTGATTACAGCGATCATTTAGTTTGAACGATCAATAAACAAGAGAGAAGAATGTTAATTCAGCAATATACATTCCCAAAGGCATATATACTAAACTGAATGTTACTATAGTATACTCGTAAGAACAAAATTTCTAACCACATCAGATCACCCCGTCAACCATTCTGGTCCGAGCAACCAATCCCGATGTTACAATACCCAAAAGAACAAAGATTCTAACCACATCCGATCTCCCTCTCTACATTCTGGTCCAAGGAACTGACCCCGAAGCGAATATCTGTGGGACTTCCCAGTCAGACAGTTGAAACTTTCGTCCAGGAACTCTTTCTGAGTTGGGCGTCCCTCAAGAGTGACAAATTCCATGCCGAACTAGACTGGCTATGAACTCCAAGACGTCAACAATGAATTGAAACGACCGTTGATATAAGAATTTCTTGTCCTCGGACGTTGCCATCCTAGTCTTTCCAAAAATTCCCCTATTAACCTGAAAAAGGTACAAAGTAAATGTTAATAATAATGCTGCACGACACGACATTGAACAAAGAGCAAAAATATGGTACTCACAAGCTGCAAATATTCTTCTGGGAAGATGCCAGTTCTCGATCTGGGAAGCTATCTTCGAGTCGAAAACTTAACCAAACATAGAGCTCCAAAACCTTCAAAAGCCCAAGGAAAAGAAACTTCAACAACTTAAATATCACAAGAATCAGGAAAAAATTGGTGGAGTTGTCAGGGTTCTCCAAGCAAGGCATCATTGGCGGGTGAATGCACAGAGATTGCAAAGCTTGACAAGCTCAACTTAATATTGCCATAATCAAGATAAAGCTTCGTGATTTTTACTGCCAAATGTACCTTGTGAATTGATTCCAATTCCTCCATAGCAGTCTGGGTTTTAGGCACTTGCAATGTTCCGGGGTTAAATATCTCCTTAAGACGCACAATGCCACGTTTGGAATAGTTTTGAGCAAACTGGCCAGCACAAACAAGTTCCATAAAATTTCTCATTATGACAAGCATATTTTGGAACACTTAAATAGTCATACTTTACCTGTACAAGGCCCTGAGATGAGATGTAATTATCAACGTCAACTGGGCTACAAATAATAAATTTATACTTTTCATTATAAACTGGATGCAATTAAGAAAACAAAATAATTTGAGAAAAATTAAATTGCAGGAGTGAAGATTATAACAGCTTGCTGATATTAGTAACCAATCCATAGTAATAACTAATAAGGGTGCTGGCGTGGCGCTCAGAGCTGTAATTTCACGTAGATGACGTGCTTAGCCTAAACTCAAACTAATGAGTATTACGATTTAGACAGAGCATATCATCAACAGATGAACTTCCCTAGCGTTTCTGAAAGGTATGAACAATGCCGAGAGTGCCGAGTGCAACACAATTTGTATACATGCAATGACAAATGGTTTTACCTCTCTAACTCTCCAATCCAGTGGAAACATATGATAAGATCTAACTGAATGCATGCAACAACTACTATTTCCTTCCTGATTCCCAATCCTGATGGCAACCACCGTAAACAAATGAAATCTATTTTAGTTTTCACTTTAAACTTTGCCTTGGTATGTGATGAGATTATAACAAGAAATATGAGGGATCACAAGCAAGTAACCATACATCTCCATGTGCAACTTAACATGATGCTGAAGTAGAGATATCACGTGGTACCGCTCAGGGTCACATTTAACAAAAAAGGTAAACTTCTGGATAGGGACAAAAAATGGTACCTCATAACAAAAAGGTACTTATCATCCAAAGTAAGAGGTAGCTCATCAACAATAGCCGCAACTTTCTGTATCATAGAAAGACTGTTTCAGTGTACCCAATTTTTTGGACAGCAAGAATAATAAAACGGTTGATCCCTCAATTTGAAAAACTCACAACTGGAAAGGCACATTGAAATTAGCTTACCAACATTGCTTCGCAATCAGCAATAAAGTAGTGCGCCGATAACTTAGAATTCTCAATAAAGTGTTCCTGTACAATAAGACAGGTGTCCAAAACAGTAAACAATCAAATGACAGAACACAACTTTAAATTGCCCTACTAATTGTAAAGATGAAGAAGCAGCTTTTATTTTGCAATATCTCGACACAAGCGTACGTGTGGGCAGTTGCATCAACACACCAACAAATCTGCATTTGTGAGTGTGTGTGTGTGTGTGTGTGTGTGTGTGAGAGTGAGTGAGAGAGAGAGAGAGAGAGATACCAAAATCTGGTATAGACCATGTTTAGGATGTAGACGAGAATACATAAGCAACAGGTCGTAGCTTGGAAATAGCCCCGCTTTCTATATCACAAAAGTATGCTAAACGTTAAAAATGAAAGACTAGGTGAGCAGAACAACTGAATGATATAGCTAACAGAGGAAAGGCAATTTATTTTGAACTTAATCAACAACCTCCAGAACTGGAGATGGAGAACTCAATGCTGTGTGAATAAGGGGTACATCTTCTGAACTTAAACAAGTAACTTCGCCAACTGGATACTTCGACCCATACCTACCTGCTCTTCCTGCAAAAACAATAACCACATATTTAGCGCATGTATCTCCAGCCTCTTATTGACAGTCAAGATTTAACTATTTAGCGTCACCCATTTTACATCAACAACCAGCATGTCTTCACAATACAGCACATTTACATACAACAGCAACAGCTCAACCTTTATCCCACTATGAACCTTTTAGAGCAAGTTTTACATGGTACAAAAACATGCTTCTCAGAATAAAGTTCAGCCGAAAAGAAATCTCTTCTCCATCTCCATCCCCATCACCCATCACCCAGCCGAAAAGTTTTACATGGCACATTTACATACAGTCTCTCTGTATTGAAATACAGAGGTAAGGCTGCATACATCTTGACCCCCCAGACCCCAACCGAGTTGGGAATATACTGGGTATGTTGTTGTTGTTGTTTGTTGTTGATCCCAATCACCCAGTTATATAGATAGACCACATTAATTGAGTATTTGACAGCTACATATTCAAAGATCATCCAGCAAATGTACACAAGAGAATGGAAGCAATTTAAGCTACTCCAGATACCAACAAGCGTACAAAGGCAATGGTCACATGTAAGCAATATTCTCCGCTTCCAGTTTATCCATATACTTTGCTTACGAATATCTAAAGCTGGTCGTGTTTTACCAATTAAGTAAAGATTCTATAAGTAAATGACATTTAACAAAGCAACAGCAATAGTGTTATACACCTGCAATCTGTTTGATCTCTGGTATGGTAAGCTGCCGGAACTCCACACCATCAAATTTCATCAAAGATGAAAATATGATTCTTGAGATATTCAGATTAAGACCCATTCCAATGGCATCACTTGCGACAAGAACATCAAATTCACTTTCGGCATCATTAAATCTCTTTGCCTGCAATTCTGAAGAATATATTAGCTCAGTCGGCTAACTTCGCCAGTACCAAATTTAAAACAGAAAAATCAAGAGAAAGCATCTTGCAAAGACGAAACCCCCCGGCCCGAAAACAAAAAAAAAATAATAGAGCCGTAGGGAGATGTTTGAAATTTTGAATTTTAGTGTAGAGATCATATATTTTATAGCTGAAAACAACTTTTTGACCTTAAAAAAACAGTCAGGTCAAATTTCATCGTACTTAAATTGAAATCCAAAAGCTCATAGTACAGAGTTAGGGTAAAATAAACAAGTGCAACATAAAATGACTCAGAAAAAACAGCAACTGGAAACATCTGACACTATAACTTGGTATTTTGAAACCTGTGCTGTGCGAGTCTCAGGCGGCAGGGAACCGTAAACTACAGAACATAGATGCTTTTTCCCAGCTTCGATTTGTCTCTGTAGAGATTGGAAAGAGATGATAATCAAAACATTAGTCTAGCATTCCAGAAGTTATTACTTTGAAAAAGTACTACATCCTCCTAGACTACATCTTATTTCGTCCTCCAGCAATCTTAAGACTTCTTGTGTTTCAACATACAGGCTTTGAACAGCATGCAGTAAAGCACTTGACATACAAGGTACAACACATGTAAACAAGAAATCTACACTTAAGACATTCAAAATAGATAAATTGAGGTAATTGGTATAACTTTCGAAACCAGCCCAACAGACACATAAGATCCAAAAGAGCATGGAGTGACTAAGAGCTCAATTCTTGGCTTTAGAACAAGTTTTCAAAAACATATACCCTATACTCAGACATTCTGCATTCTGGTGGACACATGCAAATTTCCTGTTCCTTCATGCTTCTGGCAGACAGGAAGAGAATTTTAAAAACGATAAAGCTTTCGAAATTTCCACTTACCTTTAATTTGTATATTGACCGCCGTGAAAATGACACAATGCAATCACCCGTGCGAATATTGGAGAAAGATCCAAGAGGATGCTTCAGAGGAACAAGAGGTGAAAGTCTCTCATAATGTTGAACCTACAGAAGGAAAGATCAGAGAAGAATTCGGACAAACCCACCCCACCCCCCAACACACACACACATATATAATCAAGGACAACCACAAGTTTCTCATTTCGTCAATTATCTCCTAAAATTGTACCACCTAGCGTCCACTTTTTCACAGGTAATGAATGGTGAGATGTGATTTGACATAGTCCCAAGATAAGTCAGGAAACATTTAAATGCACACATGCTTATATACTGATGTGCAAATGTACTTCTTGCAGTCATCTATCGTACGCAAGCATGTATATAGCATTGAGAAAAAAAATCCTCCGAAAATTCAGATTAGCATACAACACACAAATTACCAAAATCACTTCGCAACAGATCCTAAAATCAAAGGATAACATACAAATAAAGAGCAATATTGAAAATAATTGCGCTCTACCGAACACATAGTTGAAAGAACATGATCAATCGTAAAATGGGGCACATGATTCCAAACCTGGAGTTGATCACCGGTAGGTTTAAGTATTTCCTCAATTAGAGGAACAGCAGCTGGGTCCCCACATAGGTGAAGCTCGTCTGCAGATATTCCAAGTAGAGCACGAGTGAAAGAAAATCCCCTAGACTTACATGCCACCATCTGCAAAAATAGAATGCAATGAACACAGGATGATAATAAATTGCCATCTAAACCATAAAAGAAGTAAAGTTTAATTATTCACTACATTGGGCGGGCAAAGGAGGCATCACAATATTAGTCTTACATTAATATTATAAAGATAAGAAGAGAAGAATTCGGAGTGCATATTAATTTGTTCTCTAGAGCGCAAAGAGTTTGGCTATGCTCTAACTAGTTCTAACATCACGTTCAACATGGGATCAGCCACTCCAGCTAAACACACAACATAAATTCAACCTCCATTAAGCTATACTGCTCTTCATGGTAGATTCAGAATGAAGTGGTAAAATTTTTAAGAACATCAAAATGACATCTCATATGTTTCTCTTTCTAAGCAATGATAATTATCATAAAATGAGGAACAGACAATTGCTTAATGTTACATCATGACAATCGTAGGTACAGTATCAATTTTGAAAACCCTCGACGTGCCTGAATTTCATCGACAATAGCACACGCATAGTCAGATGTCGCATCAGCCATCTCCACAGTAACAGCTTTATGTTTTGCCCCATCTACCTCCTCTCTTTCCTGACCAGTAATTAGATCACAAGGAACATTAGCCTTGTTTAATCGTTGCGCCACCTCCCATGCCAACAGCCTCAGTGGCCCACAATATATACCTGTAACATAAAACATCAAGTATTCTATCACCATAGCTTAGGCAACTTTCGAGTAAAAACTACCAAATATTTAACTAAACCAATTTTCAGCACCTGAAGCACTCTCCTCCAGCCGCTTCAAAGCCTGATATGTTTTGCCGCTATTTGTGGGACCAACATGCAAAAATACCTTCCGTGTTTTCTTTCGAGCATTTGGATACCAGGTGTGAGGACGGCTGGGTTGAAAGGAAAATATATCAAGCAGTGTAACAAAGACAAAAGAAAAAGAATCCTGCAAAAAGAATTTGGTGAAAACAATACCAAAACAAACATAGCTATTAACACTTACGTAAGGTCTGTAAAATCAAACTTTTTCGCACTGCTAGAAGTGCTAGATAGCCTAAAGCAATTGCCATTAGCAACTGGAATTCTAAACCTTAGCTCCCAAGGAAACCAACAGAGTTCGGCATTATCTGATCAGCAAAAGAGGGTTAGAGATAGCCATGGTGTGATTATGGTATTCTGACAAATATATCACGTTAGGTAAATAATTACATAATCAATAGACCATGGTAGAAAACAAACACTCAGTTCTATTACGGCACTAGGAGTTAACAAGCAAATCCCCTGATAGCAGCAAGAATACTGGGGCACAAACCACCAGACACCCCGATTCCATGAGATTCAACCAAAACTGGAAAAATACAGAGATTCCCCTCTCACAGAGGCTAATATCTCACCAAAAACTTTATTATCATCAAATCATCATCTCAGACAAGCAACTTGTAACGGATTCTGGCATAGAGAGGTACACAAACAAACACATATCATTTTAGTCAAAATTAACACGTTCTGCATTACTTCCCTGCTGCTAGCACAAACCTAATATTAGTGAAAATATTTGCAGGCATGAATGTCATAATGGAATTAAAATTTGCAAACTAACAACAACACTATTTTGTGTACTCCCAACTATCCAAAACAATTGACATTTCATTATTCCCCAAAGATAAATGTGCAAAGCTAAGAAATTCCAAGTCAAAACAAGAGCTATATAGATTCTCAAGTTTCAACCAAATGTTGAGTATCGACCGTGCTAATGAAGACAGAATAAAATGAAATCACTCAACTCTTCCCTTCTTTTTTGCTCCTTCTAAAACCAACCCGATTAAAACAAAAATCCGTTCTTTCTTGAAGTTTCAAACAGGTTTTCATCAAACATGAAACAGAAACCATTACCCACTACCAAATAAAACCAGAAACATTGGAGAAATCAATACATAGAATTGAAAAACATACCATGTAATACAATAGAAGGGACACTGGAAGCTCTGAGTCTTCGACGAAACAGCAAAGACGCCATAGTTTTAATTCATTATAACTTAATCCTCTTCTACTTGATTGGATTGTTAAAAGGGAAAAAAAATGGGTTCTCAGTGAAGAAACTGATATTTGAAGTAAAAGGGTATTGAAAAATGAGTGGAAACTAAAAACATTCCGAAATTTTGATCGGTGGAATCATAGTCTCGGTGAGATTGTGGTGGCAATCGGCGGAGGTTTGCCTCCCGGTTTCTCGGCTTACTTGTGAAGCGTAACACGAATACTGTTGGCGCCGTTAATTGTCTAACAGAGACTTAACGGAGAAAGATGTTTTTGTTAACTTCTTGAGTATTGACTGGACTAAGGCCCATTACAGTTTCAGTACCCAATTGGTTTTATTTATTGGGCCATCAGGTGGACTTAAATTTCTAACGGACTCAGTGAATTGTTTGTGTTGTTCTTTTCTTTTCCCCCTCTTCTTGGGCATTTCTAAGCATGGAACTTTGGATAAATGGTTTGTCATTTCCTTCCAAGCCTGTAGCCTCTAAATATGAAGTCATTATCCCGATTCATGTGGGTCGAACCATATGAATTTTGTTGCTGTCTGTTTGGATTCGTTAGCAATGAGCGAGGGTGGAGGTTATCATTTGACTCCTCACTCCGCCGTCTAATATGTGGCTGTAACACGATGTTATTGGTGTTTCTACGATCACAGTCAATAGTAATTTAAGACGTTTTGCCTTTTCATTGTACCAAAAATTATATATCGTTCATTTTTTTTTCTCTTAGAATAAAAAAAGTAGTAATTATTTTGAGACATCTCTACCGGTTAGATGATGATGATGCGTCACATATTATCTACATTTCACGTAGTAGCATGTTCCATAATAACTTATCGAATTAGCATTATCCGTTAATATCCTAATATGTCTAAAAATTGGAATGATATATGCTGAAAGGATTTTAGCAATCAAATCTCACATTAAAAAGTATAGTCATCACACATTTCTACTCCAAAACTTAGTTGTTCAGGTCAACGGCAAAATTGATTAATTTGGACGGAAAAAAAAGTTTTTGGGGGTACTTGCATGATTGGAGGTACTAGAAGTAGGACATGGGAAAAATTGGGAGTCACTTTCATATGTATATGAATATGATGCTTGGCAATGGTAACTAGAAATAAGTAAACAGTCAAGAGGTGATTGACTCTCCCCTTGTAATTAGCCACTTCCATGAATTTACCCTATTCAAATACATTTCCAATGCAGTTCCCGGAGATGTCAACGATGGAACAACATGTTAGGAGTCAAATCGTGACTAAAATAAATGTTGTCCGTTTTTTTTTTTTACCATCATAGTGTAATTTTTTGATACTCTATATTTTTGTCACATTTTACATTGTACTTCTAATGGACGAACATTTTCATCCAATCGCCCTACAAATCGGGGCTGCGAGCCAGTTGAGACTTTGCTTTCAGCATAATGTTAGCAAACGATCTCCTCAAATTCACAAAAATCACATTTTTGCTTTCAAAGGATGTGACATTCAAGCAAAACTTAGCTTCTTAGAACCAAATTAAGGAACATAAATTCTAGGGAATTGTACTACAGAATTTAATGACATAGCTGGTGATACCTTAGTGGTAGTAGCCAAGGGTCAGTTGCATGGCCAAATTAAAATGAATGGTCATGTAGGAAGAAATCATTCAATGCATGGTTGCAAGTCATCAATGCTGGTGGTATAAATGTTAGTATAGCAGAATGCCATATATACACATAAACCATAGAGAGAACCCAAACCCTACAACCCCTGCAAAGGACTGAAAATGAGAGACAAAGATGTTTCTTGAGAAGCTGGCACAAGTATAAATTGCTCAAGCACAAAGCACAAGCTGCTAATCGAGCTGTGGCTATATATGCGTAGCAGTATTAGAGTAACGGTAGAAATAATGATTTTGGCATATTAGCAACTAATGTGATATTTAGTAACGGATTCAACCCTGAAATTCCATAGAGAAGTTGATATACGTAGGTCAAAAAAACATTCTAATATTTTTCTCTACAGTGTTGATCGATCCCTTTTCACTCGTTCCTCGACCCGATGACATTCATAATGATTTTACGAGTAAGTAAATAAATATACCGTGACAAATTTACTGATTTGTTCCTTGGTCAGATGACATTCATAATAATTTTACGAGTAAGTAAACAAACATACCATGACAACTTTACTGTTTCTATCATTACTCAACTACCAGTTAATTCCTCATATTATGCCTTTTGAATCTGATATTGACAAGCAAGGAGGAGAGATAACATAATTAACAACCACATTCCACAAAGGAGTCGGTTTGTGCTTTTAGGTTTTGGGTGGTGACTAGTTATCCTTTTGTCGCTATAGTAACATTAAATCAATGAAACCTACATATATATGTCAATGGTCCATTTTCAAAGTTACTCTCAACATTGAATGCTTCTATGGATATCTCTATACACAGCCTACACTTCAGCACACATCCACTTCCATATATATATATATATATATATATATATATATATATCTACCATTTATGATTTTTTTGACCTACAATAATATAGAACTTGGGTTATCAGGATTGATTTAATTGCTTTGATGCCATGTACAAACCAATTAAGCATATGTATGCATTCTTCAATTATTCTCGACATTTTCATTTCATTATGAGTTGTATTGGCATGCATTATATGTTTGATACAACCTAATTCGATTGAGATTAATTCGATCTTTTTCTTAACTTTTTTACCGAAAGACTGAACGCGATTCATTATTCCAACACACACACACACAAAATAAAATAAAATAAAATAAAATAATTTAGAAACTGCTCAATCGAAACAGTTGAGAACAATGTGACGTGCAATAACTTATGAGCATGGAAAGCAAAACTTTGATGAACTGGAAAATATACGGAAAACTCAGAAAATGCATGGGAGAAAAAATTGGTCTTCAAGATATGTCCTTTTCTGGTGTTATATCCTGTCTCCACGTCTTTGTCGAGAAGAGGAAACCAGAGAAAGTAACATCCATAATTTTACGGGTTATAAATACAATGCATCAAAAAAAAAAAAAAATCGTTACTTCAACCATATGAGAATTAGTCTAAGTGTAATAAACGATTTAGTCCGCTTCACATTATTTCATGATTTACATAGCAAAAAAGATAAAGTAAAATGAATTGTTTTTACTCGATGGACGGTTTTTTAGTTATCTTCGTGGAATATAATAAGAAGCTGATTCATATCTATACGACTATATATATATACCTTATCCTGTTTCCTTAGCTTTTCATCTTTTAATTCCTTTATATAAATCTCCCATTTTCCAAATCAATTTAAAAAAAAAAGAAGTAATAATTCATACGCTATAGATTCTAAAGTTGTGCTTAAGAAAACTCATATAAATTATTACACTGCAAAAAGTTAATTATTCTAGATTGATATAAGGAAATTAATTAACCTTTGTCTATATTAAATAATCAAAAAATAAGTTCTCGTTCCTCCTCTTTTTATCTTCAGATTCTAAAAACAAATCGAACGCAGCAATGAACATCAACAGCAACCGGATACTATAGAAAATGACATGTGAAGAAGAAAAAAGTGATGAACATATTACGTACTACAAACAAGGAATCAAAAGGAACCCTTTGAACGGATAAAAAAACAGCAGCAAAGTAGAAAAAAAAAAAAGCAAAGATCAATTATATTCAATGGGGCCTTCAAACAATAATAAAAAGTTTTCTTTAATTTTTTTTTAAAAAAACAACAAATTTTAAAGTACTAATAATCTTACGAATCTCTAGTCATGAGAAGATCAACATGTTCCCAATTTTGACTACCTCGTAATTGTGTTGTCATCTTTATTTACATTCCAAGGGTAGTTTTGGATTTGCAATGCTTTACCCTTTTTTTTCATATATATATATTTTTTTCGTTTGACTGATCTTTTTACTATAGTGAACATTTTGATCATTACTTGCGCGGGAGATATGCTTAACTGTTGATATATGCTAATCTCCTCCATAGCTAACTTTTTCAACAGTTGATAAGATTGTGCATCAAATCTGGAATATTTTTGTGAACTTTATCAGCCTTATGTATGTTGCTTTGGGATTTGTGATAATCATCGGATCTTAATTAATTACTCTACTAAAGTTTCACATTTGATGTCTTTATATAGAACAAACATTCAAGTTTCAACCCATATGTACACCATCTTATAATTAATCGATACGATATTAAATAAAGTGTCGTGACACGTATTATTGTATGAATGCATGTTTACGAGTCTCGACAAAGTTATTTTTTCTGAACGAACGGTTACTATTAATCAGTATCGAAATAATTATTTATCTGGTTAAAAGTTGAGAAGTAATCTTTAAAATTGTGCGAACTATCATATGTTATTTTCAAACAGGAGATGAAGAATTTAGCTAGTTGTCTACCACAAAAGATTACATATATAGGTTTTGATCGATCGACTCCATTTTTATGAAAGACGACTAAAAAACAAGATTAACTAGCTAGCCTTTTGGAGAGCTATTCTATACGCTAATGCAATTCCACGATTTCAATTAGGAAGAAAGAATGTTAATTTGTTACTTTGTTGACGAAAAGGAAAACGGTTTTTTTAACTTCGATTCGGATGTGTTCGTAAATATCAACAGTAATTGAAAGAGATCCGATGCACCACGTAAGATGATACAGTCAATTACATCAAGTTTTTAATTTTTCATAAGAAATATTTAATGAACAACCAAGAAAAATTTGAGCGGCATTATAAATGTGGACAATATTTTAAAAATTTGATATGGGTTTTAAAAAATTTTTTTTTTGGAATGTTTGTATATTTAGAAAAAAGAATAAATAATTGTGCCAAAAAAAAAGAAGAAAATGAATAAATACAGTACATGCCTTATTGTATACGTCGTACTAAATTCATCTGAAACGGCTATCCATTGATTTAATTTCCAACGTTATACCCCATATCAAAGGCAAATCAATTACTACTGATATTTTTACGAATTTATATTCAAAATGATCCACACTAACGGTGAGATTTTATTTTCAAATGTAAACAAGGCTATACAATATGTAGAAGAGAAGAACAAAATATCTTCTTTTATCTTGTCATTTCGTTTGCAAACTTAAGTTCCTTAACTGAAACAACAAGAAATAATGAAATTCTTGAGAAAAAGGAGGAAAATTGGGTGAGATAACAATAGGTTTTTCTCATGGTTTTTTCATAGTTTTTAGTTAATAACTGTTCATCCTAACATATCTTTTTATATTTTCAATATATTATTTTACGTTCTCAATAGAAAAATACCTAAAAATACATAAAAAAAAACATTCCAAGCATACTAAGGTGTAAGATTATAATCACGAAAGTCGAGATACAAAAATATGATGAAAATTCTATGGAGAAAATTGAAAACACAAATTTTTTTTCTTTAAAACGAAATCCCCTTCATGAAAGATGTTAATACGTTTTGTTTTGTTTGTTTTTTTTTTTGGAAAAGATTAATACGTTTTGTAATTCCCTTACACTTCTCGTATTTGAAAATAATGATCTGATTTATTTTGGGGTAGCGACTAATTAATGTGAAGCAGATTTTCTTTAAGGGAGTGGATATGGTCAAAAAAAATGACTAAGCAAATTGTTGGAAGTTAGTAGTGCCCTTTCTTTTTCAAATAGATTCTTTTTTCCTCCTCACAATGAGGCTAAAAAAGAATATGCACTTAAGCATCATTTTAATCATTTCATGTACGAATTACAAAAACCCAAAATGAATGTCTCTTAGATACCATTCCATACAAAAATGTTGCATCAAAGTTTCCCAAAGTAATTTAGTAGGGTCACATCTTGCTTCCCTTTATATATATTTTGATTTACTAGTAATTTTTATTAATTTTTTGTGGGGGTTTTTTTTTTTTTTTTGGATGGCCCAAATCAGCTTAGTTTTTCGACAATCCGTAACTTTCATAGTTTCTTTTGTATTATTCAAATTGCCCTTTATTTCCATTCAAATGATTCAAAAACGCACAATATTTATAATGCTTTTTTAGTGGTTTTTTTTTTAAAAAAAACTACAAAAAGAAAAGCATATTACCAACCGCTTCTTCAAGTCCTTGATGATTTTGTGCTGATTAGATAATCTTGATTTAATAGAGGAAATGGAAAGTCCACTCGTTGAATATTGTTGTTTAACGATTTTAGGCAAAATCAAAGGACTAATCATCAATAGTGCATCATTGTGCTGGGCGTTTTTTCATATTCGAATGAGAGCCTGCAGGATTGCAACAAGATCTTGTTAGTGCTCATAATGTTCATGATTAGAAAGGTTTGTGTACCATCGACCTTCAATGTCATCATCAACCTTGCTGCATGTGTGGAACAATCTATATCATCAATTTATCAACCTAATTAGATTCTTATTTGTATAGAGTCAATATTTGTTTCATTGTGATTCAACCATGACGATCATCTAGGGTTTCATCAACTAAATTAGCTCGTGTAGTTGTCTTCAACTAGGGATTTCAAGTATATTTTGACTCAGAGGGTTTCTTTTACGATCAAATCTCAATACTAACATGTATCATATATGAGTAATACTAAACTACGACAATAAAGACCTAGATGTTCTATCTCTAAATATATTACGATTATCTGTATTTGTTATTCTCAGATTGAATTTTTAAGAAAATTTGTGAAATCCTCGACGATGCGTGGCTCTCAACATATAAATATTATATTGGTGGAGAGAAGACATAAATTAGTGAAAAATAAAGTAGAGAGACAGCACAGGGAGTACGGCCGTGCTACTTTATCCCAAAACCATAATCATCGTCCCTAATAATTATATTCATGGACCCTAAATCGGCTTTCATGGTCCATATTTCTAAGTGGAAGCTCTATGAACTTGATTAGTAAACGGCTTAGTGCTAAGGGTTTATATGTATGATGAAGTTCGCATGGGAATTTGGCATTCAATTTGGTTGGAGCATGGCCATTTTTTGAGAAATCGACAGAATTGGTCCCCAATGTTTGAGGGTAGTTCAGGTGAGTCACATGTAATTTTTTTTCAATAAAATTAGTCTCCAAAAAGTGTCATCTCACCAATTTCAGTCTTTTTAACAGAATTTGGACAAAATTAATGGTTGTTCTACCCTTTCCATCAATAGCCAATTATTTTATTATTTTTCTCATAACTGTGGGCCCCACGGGTCTTTGACCCCAAAAGAATTAAAAGGAAAACAAAAAAAGAAAAAGAAGAAAACAGGGCAAGTTCAATTAGCAGAAAACAATCCAAGCTATGTTCATTTCAAGATGGGATTTTGAAGATAAAGAAATAGTGATAACCTTTGACAAATTGCTTGAGCCATCTTCCTCTCCTCTTTTTGTATTTGTGGAATTTCGGAGAGTGTTACTGGGAAAAAAACAAAAATAGAAAATAAAAGGAGTTGTAGGGATTCATCCCCGTAAAACGGCTCTGCCTGTAAAACTAACCAAAGAACAAGAGAGCAACATCATCATAAACAAAATTCTGACCAAAGTATCAATCTAGAATTAACAAAAAACAGAGGCTTTTCCTACATAAAAAATTCAATTTCTACAGTAGTAAAACCAATAAAAAGAACACCGGAGCAATTTTCCCAGAGTTTGAGTGTTCATCAGTTTTCTTTAAATCCCCTTTTTTTAACAAATCCGTAATCAATTCATCCAAGGCGATCTCCATTGTCTTAGTTCAAACCACAATCAAAGAAACCCGTTAACCCTAGCAAACAGAACAACCGGAAACCAAACAAAAGATGGGAAGCAGCACCGGCGGCAGCAATGACGTCGAAGCTGGATTCGCCGAATTGCAAGGCGAAGACTTTGAGTACTATATGCAAACCTACTCCATCGTACTGGGCCGAAATTCGAAGAAATCTATTGTCCATGTTGACCTCTCTTCCTTAGGCTAGGGTATGAACATCTCTCGCCACCATGCCTGTATCTTTTACGACTTCCAACGCCGGCGTTTTGCCCTTGAAGTTCTAGGAAAGAATGGGTGTTTCATGGAAGGCGTGCTTCATCTTCTCGGTAACCCTCCGGTTAAGCTCGATTCGCAAGACCTTCTCCAGATCGGAGACAAGGAATTTAATTTCTTCTTGTCGGTGAGGAGTATTCTTGGTGGCCCAATTGGTCCTAGGCATCACGTTGGTGTCAACGTGAATTATCCTCCTGTTGTTGCTGGTGGCTCTTCGGCGACGCCTGTCCCTCATCATGGTCAGCAAAATTCTGGATTGCTGGTACAGTGCTTTCATGAACTTCACTTTCTTTTTGAAATTGAAATATTTTAAATGCATGCCTTCTCAATTGAGTTGCTTCAGATATTATGTGCGCTCTGAGATCTTGAAGTTTGAATGAGAATTTGATTGTTCGGAAAGGAGGCGGCGGATTTGACAGCGGAGTAGATTGGGGACGGTGGTTGAAGTTAAACGAAGGAAGAAGAAGGGAATCAGAATTTGATTTTTTTTTGTTCTTTTTTTTTTAATTATAAATTCTGGGTAAAAAATGTGTGGAACCCACAGTTAGAAGAAAAATAATAGAATAATTGGCGGTTGACAGAGGGAGTTGAACAACAACTAATTTTACACAAATTCTGTTAAAAAGATTGAAATTGGTGAGAAGACACTTTTTGGGGACTAATTTTGTTGAAAAAAAATTAATGGTGACTCAGTTGAGCTAGCCCCAAACTTTGGGGACCAATATTGAGTTTTGCCCCCTTTTTTTTTACTTTCCTTTTTTTTTTAAAAAAAAAAAAATGTATAGTTTGTATACCCATTTTAAGGGACCAAAATTTTGCACTTCCGCCGTCAACAGAAATAAAAAAATTTGCTAAAAGAGATTCACAATCTCCTGTAATCAATTACTTCCTCTCTGACCAATTGTCAATCCTATAGGACAAATAATAACATTCTGTGGATAGAAAATACTGTAAAAAATGGTATTTGAATTTACAATATGAATCCATACAAAATCTGAATGACTTAGTCTATGGTAGTTCACAAAAGATGGAATGAGCTCACCACATGAGTATATTTGAAAAATTATTGGGTGAAGCTGTTGTATCTTAGTTTTTAGTGCAACAAGTACTAGTACGTCCCTATTTTGGTAATATAATTCCCGTAGAAATTATTTCTCCCCCACCAAAATTACTACTTTACTTCTATTATTGTGTCTGGCTGCACAATTTTACGTGATACAACAGCTGCACTAAATAATTTCTCAGTATATTTGCCTTCCACTGCGTAAACTTTTTCCACTCTTTTTGGACCATAAATATGAATGTTTACAACAAAAATCTAGCATTTTTAACGTGAGATTCTTGGAAAATTTTGAGGGCATTAGTTAGTTATTATCATTTGAGTATAGGAGATTTGTTTTTTCCTTAACGTTTTCCATACCAAATTTATGAGTTTGTTTGTAGCGGATCGGGATTATGTTATTCTTTTTGTTTGCAACTCTACTGTATCCGAAAATAAATTCGAACCTGTGGACACATTTGTTTCTCAATAACCTCTTACTATATATATTGCATAAAAGGAAAAAAAAAAGAATATGATAAGTTGCGATTATGTAATCAAATGATGTTTTGTGTTTTCACATCCGTGATTAAAGAATTTCATATTGTAAGATAATAAATTCTCTATCTGTCCAACAAAAATTGTTGAGTTTTGAGTTTTGTACTGTTTTTAGTACAAATTTAAAAAATTTAACGTGAAGTATTTTTTTTTTTTTTTTGGGACGGAGAAATATTTTTTACGAGACAAACTTAATATGTTTGTGTGAGCTCCATTCTTGTAACCAATTTCTCTCATGAGCAAGATTAATATTAACTCAATATTTTTGTGGTCACCCCTATAAATGTATATCAGTCTTTTGAATGAAGTTTACTTCGGATTTATGTCTCGGACCACAAATTTGCCACTTGCCCCCTTGGGTTAAATTTTTATTTTGAGGTGTTGAAAGGGAATCCCTTCCTTAAAGACTGGTCAACAAAGGGTTCAAACAAGCAAAGGAAGGTGCTTTTCTTTTTCTTGGTCTTCAAACAAGTAAATTAAGTTTGCTATATATATATATATATATATATATATATATATATATATATATATAGAGCCACGAGCTGCCGGAATTTCTGAGAATTAGGACCGGAAGGGCGGTAGTAGGACTGGGAGCAAAAGCCAAAAGGGGAAAGAAACCTGCGCCGGCCGGTCACGGAATTCGAGAAAAATCACCCTTAAATTAATTTTATTAAAAATTAACTAGTAGTAAAGCACATCCACATCATGAGACAAAAGAAAAGCATTAAATCCACAAGATATGATCGGTCAATGTTAGTATAGCTGCAAAATCTGCAACCAACATCCCCACAAAAATTGGGCAATCCCTTCTAACAATATAACATAATGCCTTCACCATTAATACAAAAGGGCCCTAAATTTATACAAATAAAGGACCACGACCCTAATGCCTATTTTGAGGCACATTCTTGTTTAACAAACAAATCATCGAAAATAATGGCTAAAAAGAGCCTAATTTAGGAAGCAAATCTTTCATTAGTAACCAAACAATCAAAATATTCAATTATTTTGATGAGGGAATCCCTTAATAAGCGTCTATGGGGTGATACAGGAGAAGAACAGGTGTATATAAATTTTGTTTCCTAAAGAAAAAATAATGATTGCCATAACTTTAAAATAAGAAAAAAAAGAAAAAACAAGAAGAAGAAATGAAATCAAGGAATCTGTTTAATGATTGCCATAACTTTAAAATAATGATTTTACACAGAATCCTAAAGACACGCATGACTTGGTTTACACACAATTGACAATTCCTGAAATCAAAATATTCCTTAAACAACCCATATCACAATTACACACCACATCATTAACAAATAAATATGGTAACTGTTGAAATGGTGAATTTTTTTTTTTTTTTTTTTGGTACACGAACTATGAGAGTGTTCTATATATGGATCTATTTTGGGAGGAGCACATAATTTTCAATAATTATATTATTATATACTTAAAACGCGAAATGCAAGACGCAAATCATTAGCTATTGACTGAAAAGTGATAATACGAATAATTGAAAGACTCGTCGATTGTTATAAAAAGTTACCGTATTTATATTGTTACTGTTAATATTCAATGTAAACATCTAAAAAACCAAAATTCCAAATTTACGGATTCACAATCACCCGGTCACCAATGCAAGAAGAACAAGAAAACGTGCCCTTTATCTTTATTTGCCTTGCTTTAACTGCTTTTTTTTTTTTTTGCTTTGTTTTTGAAGACCAAATAAGAAAGAAAAATAAAGAGGGGTGGGCTATTAGTCCACACAATCTTCCAGTAAAAAAAAAAATTGTGAACTTTTGGGCAGCTACCCGCAAGTCGTTTTTTCCTTTAACAGACTACCAAACGACCTGCCCGTAGCCCCATTGTGTTGGGACGGCATTGGTTTTGGGTTGAAAAGAAGGAAAAAAAAAACCAGTCCACTGTGTGTCTGCGTGAGAGAGAAAAAGAAGGAAATGAGAGATTATGTTAATGTTGCACTTTATTCTGTTCAAATTCGATACCTTGCTGTTACTATTACCTCTGCTTTCTTTCAAGCTGCTGTTTGTATCAAAAGAAAAGAAGAGGAAAAAAAAAAAAAAAAACACCATTTCCTCTTTTCTCTCTTCTCTTCTTATCAGAAGTCCTTATATTGTCTTGTTCTTAACACATAAAGTGTTTATTGTCTCTCTCTTGGTCGTTGTGTTTTCTTTTCTTTCTGGGCTTTCAGTCATTCCCTTTTAATTTCGACTATATTATAGTATTGTGTGTTTTGTCTGCGTGCCCACAAAATAAAAACATTTCACACAGACTCTCTGGAATGCTTATTCTCAGTAGTGGGATTCCAGAAAAGAAGGAATTAAGCCTTGTTTAAAGCCTGCATTGTTGGGATTTTTCTAAAACCGAAGAAGTGATTGAGTGACTAATGAAAGTGAGAGGATCCCTTTTGTAGTCTTGATCAGTGTTTGGCTTTTTGGCTGAGACCAACTGGAGTGGGAGTGAATTTGGAAGAAAGAAGTGAAGTTTTTTTGGTAAAGTTTGAGTCTTGAGAAGATTTCCTCATCTGGGTTCATCTTCTTGAATTGTGATTTTTCTCTGGGTGGTTTTGGTGTTTAAGTTTTTGCAATTGTGGATTTGGAGGGAAGGGGAATTCAGTAAAGGAGCTGCATGAAGAAACAGTGAAACAATGAGAGATGATAATTCCAAGAAAAGCAAGGTTAATTGATGCTCTTAATTAGTCCTTTTGGTTTATGGAAGATATAATTCAGATTTTTTTTAACCTCATCAGAGATCATGTCTTTGCTGACTTTGAATTTGCAAATTTTGAAGCTTTCATGGTCAAGAATTAGGAAATGGTTCAGTATCAAAGGAAAAGCAGAAGAATTTGTGGCTGATGAAGTTGTCTATGGTGGTGGGCACTCAGAATCCTTTTTTCTTTTTCTTTGCACTAATCTCCTCCCCCAATGACTTTAATCTACAGGGCTGAATTGGAATAGTCATTCTAGTGATTTTTTTGAATGTGCTTTCTCCAAGTAGGCCAATTCCTTAATAATTCGTCTGTTTTCACTTACGCAATCTGTTACCTTTGGCCAATTATTGAAAATTTGATCTAAAATTGCTTAGAAATTTCTTCAGTCAAAAGTTGGTATTTTCTGCAGTTTCTCATTTCTTCTCTTTTTTCGTTTTTCAAACAATTTTAGTTGTCTGAATTAGTTGTTACCTTGGTTTATTTCTCAAGGTGTAGACACTGGGCGGCGGAGCAGCTTTTCTGAGCGGGAGCCACCCACAATCAAGAGGAGTAGAACAGGTTAGTTGCAGTTTCTGCAAATTTTTAAAGCTACATGTTTTTAGGAAAAAAAAAACTCTCTCAAATTTGTGATTTAGCTTTGAGGTTATTGTTCTTTTCTAGTAATATTAGTAACTTTTTGAACTGTGATATTACAGAGAGATCAAGCAGGAATTCAGACCGTCCTCCTCGTCGAGGGCGAGTTGATTTAGATCATCCTCAGATTATTAATGTGCACAATTACAGGTTTGTTTACCACAATTCTTAACAGTACTTTGTTGCAAGAATTGTCCCTTTGTATAAGTTAGCATTTACAATAACATGTTGTTCAATTTGCAGTGTTTTTGTAGCCACTTGGAATGTGGGAGGAAAAACACCTTCAAATAATTTGAATCTAGATGACTGGCTACATTGTGCACCTCCAGCAGATATCTACGTTCTTGGGTATGATTTAAATTCAAATATCTGGTACAAATTTTGTACTTGAAGTTCATTATGAAAGAAGTGAAGTGCTGAGATATTGTGTTCACATTCGACAGGTTTCAGGAAATTGTTCCCCTGAATGCTGGAAATATATTGGGTGCTGAGGATAATGGGCCTGCAAAAAAGTGGATTTCTCTGATCAGGAAGACACTTAACAATGGCCCTGGTACCAGTGGAAGTGGTGGGTGTTACACACCTTCCCCTGTCCCTGATCCAATTGTTGAGTGGAATGCAGATTTTGAGGGATCAAACAGGCATAAGGCCTCATTTATGCCCCGTCGATCCTTTCAGACACCTCAGTGCTGGAGAATGGACAATGACATGGCCTATCCACAGCCTAGACTTGACAGACGATTCAGTGTTTGCGACCGAGTAATCTTTGGTCACAGGTCCAGTGACTATGATGCTCATGCAAGGTGGGGAAGTCGGCCTAGTGACTGTTCATCTAGTCAAAGGCCAAGTGATTATTCTTCCGGATGCCGGCCAAGTGACTATTCGTCTGGTTTCCGGCCAAGTGATTACTCTGGTCTTCGACCAAGTGATTACTCCTCTGGTCGCAGGCCTAGTGACTATTCATGGGGTCAAAGGCCTAGTGATTTCTCTCGGATGGGTTCCTCAGATGACGATTATGGGCCTGGTGATTCACCAAGCACAGTACTGTTCTCACCAATGTCATGCAGTGGGTATGGACCTACCGAAGATGTTCATAGGATGCCGGGGCATTCGAGATACTGTTTAGTCGCAAGCAAGCAGATGGTAGGTCTTTTTCTTACGGTTTGGGTTCGAAATGAGCTGAGGGAATCCGTCCGCAACTTGAAAGTATCCTGTGTTGGCAGAGGATTGATGGGTTATCTTGGTAACAAGGTATTTTTTTTTAACCAGATGATGCTATGTGGTGTTCTTTATATCAATGAATGATAATTGAGAAGATGTTATTCTCATTGCAGGGATCCATTTCTATCAGCATGTCACTGCATCAGACAAGCTTTTGCTTTGTGTGCACTCACTTAACCTCAGGACAAAAGGAAGGTGATGAATTACGGAGGAACTCAGATGTGATGGAGATCCTTAAGAAGACCAGATTTCCTCGTGTTCCCGGGCTAGGAGATGAGAAGTCCCCAGAAACTATTCTTGCGCATGAGTAAGTCCCTTAACATCAGCAAATGGTTTTCACAGTACATAATTGATGAATATGAAAAACATGTGCAACAGGGGAAAGTTAGTTGGAGCATTGTTGATGCCATGGATCATGAAGTAATAAAGAATCTAAGATGAATTTATTCTTGTTTCGAAATTGCCTAATGTGCTAATGAAGTAAACATTAATTTTAGCATATCATCTTGAGTCAAGCTTTTGTCGCCATATTCTAACTTGTTTTCTCTTGATGCAGTCGAATTATTTGGCTTGGGGATCTCAATTACCGTGTTGCCCTCTCATATCGAACTGTTAAAGCACTAGTAGAGATGCAAAACTGGAGAGCACTTTTAGAGAAGGACCAGGTATGCCATTTCAACTATGTTCCAGTAAACAATTAACTCTCCAAATTCTGCTTTTTTGTGAGATGAGTTTCAGCTAAGTCTTTGGTGATTGTCTTCTTGGCAGTTGCGGATAGAACAGAGGCGAGGTCGTGTTTTTGAGGGTTGGAGAGAAGGGAAGATTTACTTTCCACCAACATACAAGTATTCTCATAATTCGGATAGATATGCAGGAGATGACATGCATCCAAAGGAGAAAAGGCGAACACCAGCATGGTATGATTGAATGATTTCTAACAAGTCAAATTTTGCTAATTGTGAGTTGTTATATTTAAAAGGATACTGTATATCAGCCTTGATAGAAATACAAAACTGATCTTTGAACCTTTTTACGTGAAGGTGTGATCGCATTTTATGGTATGGAACTGGTCTTCAACAATTGTCATACGTCCGGGGGGAATCAAGATTCTCGGATCACAGACCAGTTTCTAGTGTATTTTGGGCTGAAGTTGAGTCAGTCCCTAACAGATTAAGGAAAAGCATGAGCTGTTCTAGCAACAAGATTCAAGTGGAGGAATTGTTGCCATACTCCCATGGCTACACAGAACTCTGCTTTTTTTGAACAATGGGGGGATTCTAAACAATTGGACTTGGTAATTTCCTTCTCTTTTCTCTTTGTTTGTCTGCATCACCATTTACACGTGAATATCTTGCATTATGTCCAAATTGTTCACATTAATCCATGATTATGTTGGTAGAACACCTTGATCATGCTTAAATTCTGCAGATATACTACATGTCTTAGCTTCTAGTAGGAAGACCATGTGGAAGCAAATTCTGAATTAGCTCAGAATTGGGTCCTGGTGGCTGGTTAGGCCTGTAACAACATCTCAGACACTCAGAAAATCATTATGTTCATGCATGAAAACAAACATGTTCATATGCATGTGGAAGAAACGCAGACAACTAACCTTCATTTAATTGCCTGACTCTTGAATATTAAATTGATCACATTCTAGTACTACTGCAAACACTGCTGCTAAGGAAATGCATGCGCTTTGGCTAGTTTAACAGTTTTACTGTATCAAACTGTATCATTGCCAGTTTTCTTTGACAAAGTTTGATCAGTAACCTTCCTGACTCTTACATAAAAATCATTTGGCCTCCATTTTGCAGGCGGGAATTGCTTTAAACGTACTCAAACCTGAAGGGGGTGATGGGGACATTCCTTCCCACCAGCCAAGAAAAAGTGAGTCATGCTCTACTTTTTTTTAATAGTTGCCTGGGGTTTGCTGCTGATATTTCTTTTCTAATTTCTTTTCTTTTGTTTCACTGTTTTCTTTCAACAGGTGTAGATACAGATGATAACCCTCAAATTCTAACTCCATAGTCCTTCAGCTTGATGTTCTTTTAACCACCATTCCATTCATTTTCCTTAGCTAATAACATGAACCATCTTGAAGCACAGTTTTAACTGATTGACAAAAAATCCCACTTCCAGAGCAGTGCCTATGATCTAGCATTTCATCAGGTATTAATCAATCAAACACTTTTGAATAGATGACAAAACTTCATATCAGCAATTCATCACCACAAAGGCACAAAGTACTAATAACCAGCTCTTTCATCATCATTGCAGGATTCATAATGGAAGGCTGCCTGTCTAAGTGGGGGGAAGAAGTTTTTAGCACTATTTTTCCAATTCAAGATTCAATTTTTTTTTATAATCTGTTAGGTTAGAGATTCGATGTCTGCAAGAAGAAGAAGAAGAGAATGAGACACAGTGAAATTAATCATTTGGGTTCCTCTTCTCTCTTGTGCCCTTTTTGTTTTTAAAATGATGTGTAGGAAGTAAAAGATCTGACGTATACACTCATTGCTAACGTGATAGAAGAACAGAACAATAGACTAATGAGTTTTTGATGTAAAAGCATATTGATCAATATTGCTTATTGTGTTTGATGCCCAATGATTTTTACTGAAAAAAAAAAAAGGTTCTTTTCTTGGTTATCTCCATCTCCATCCTCCATGGCCCTTTGATTCATTCTTTTGTCTGCTTTTCTTTTCTCTGCAAAAGTAGCAGACAAGTTTTGCAGATTTTGCAGAATTTCATTCCCTTTTTTAAGTTAAAGGGATGCTCTGAAACTATTCATATTTTTGTCTTTACTGCTTACAAAACCAGTAAATTATTGATCTTCTTCGCATGACATTTTTGGCTTCTGGGAATCTGTAAATTATATCGTCTTGGTTTCTTCTTATTCTTCTTCTTTCCTTAGCTTTCCGTGAGGCCTATTGCCTAGCAGAACCTTAACCTATAAAATATGTGTATTTCATAATCATCACCATCATCAATCTCTTCACAAACTCGCATGAATTCTCTGAAGAACCTAAATGAAGTAAGAATCCAGGAACCCTATAACTAGCTCAAACAGCTAGAGGATAGAGAACCCTTCTTATAGAATCTCCTTTTCCTTTTTTCTTTTTCCTGGAACATGACTGGAAATTGACAAGTTTTTCTTCATGGAGATAGAAAAAGAAAATGGCCCTATTCCAGTTTTGTTGTAATGAAGTTCTTTCTTATTGAAGTAATTTAACATAGTCCTTAGAAAAGGGCTACTATTACATTGGTCAAATTGGGAATTCAGTGGTCCTTTTCAACCAAATTAGTCCTGCAGCATTTGCTATATCTGAAAGTTTTTTTGCGGAAAATCCTTAGTATAGAAGCTGAAATAATGAGGACATTTCAATTCGAGCTGAAATTGAAATGTTCATCTGCTTCTCCTAAAGAAGAGCCATGTAATTTCAAACCAGACACCTACAAATTTTGCAAGTAAATGAACATAAAAAACTATTGGTTAATTTGGCAAGAAAACAATTGGAGTCAGGTTACGTGAATCACATATCATCATATTAAAAATATACTATCTTTGTTCCAAAATTATTATCCAATTTGCGATTTCATTTGCAGTACAATTTAAATTAAAATGAAAATCCAAACTGAACAATAATCATGTCAATCACAGTTTGCTCATCATAATACAAATTTTCATCCCTTTTGTGTTGTAATCTTCCAAAGAAAAAAGAGTAAAAAAAGCAAGTATTTGTTCGAGATTTGGATTTTTCTGGTCCCAAATCCGGAAGGAAGAAGTTGACCTTTAAAATGGACCACAGTCCACTAAAACAGCTTCTGTCTTTGTTATAAAAAGAAGGGATTCAACATTAGTGGCCCTCAAAGATAATAAATTTTTTTTTTTTTTTTTTTACCCTTTGGAAGAAACACAAAGTTGTTTTCTTCTTTATTTGCTGTCTTCATGAGAGAGACTACAAATTGAAGAAGATGCAAATCTCTTTTTATGTAATGTAAGGAAACAAAATAATAAAGTGAATCATCACAGCTTATTAAATCTGCAAAAATTTCTGTACATTGTCGTCCCATTAGAAGAGCAGTGGGGAGATCATGAAGGAAACCAAAATCAAGAATAGAGAAAACCACTGTTCATCAAAAGCTTTAAACGCAGTGATCCTTCCACCGAAAGGTAGAATTTAATCAAGTTCGTGTAAGTTTTTTACTGGTATTACTGATGATGTTTCCTGATGGAGTATTAGAGTGTAATCTATACATGTGATTTGACATGATCACGATTATCTAGTTTTCCTAGCTAAGAGGTAAATAATGTGAATATAAACTATAAAAAAATTATTAAATATGGAACGTGCTATTAAGTTTGTTCCATGAAAACAATAATATGTTACCCAAAAAACATACAATCGAATAGGATATAATAGTATAGATATTTCGTTAACTAACATATCTATCTTTCCAAAATGAAAAATACTTTTAAAAAAATAATAATGTGTCACCTCAAGTGACCATAAGTGAAAGCAAATTGCAACTTTAAAATGTGTTGACTCTCAACCTAGCACCAGGATCAAACCAGAGAAGGGTGTATAATATAGTAATATGTTTATACGTGAAAATCATCGACTAGCTACTTTGCTCGAAAAATAATGCCCCAACATCAGAGTTTGTTTGGAGAACTTGATTAGTGTACTTACAATTGAAAAATCTTTTCAATTGAATGGTGAACACTAGATTTATATTTGACGCCCAATAAGAAAACTTTAAAATGGAGGAAGTCCCGAGTGCATGACAAGATGAAACTTTCAACTCAATAAAGTATCCCAATTCCTTGAATTAAAAAAAAATAATAAGTATGAGTAACAATTATATAATCTTTCATTATCTACGTACGTTGATCTGAGCTAATTATTAACAAAGAAATGAAGAAGAAAGAACTCACAATTTTCGTTTGGAACACATAAAGAAAAAAAGAAAATCAAACATATGGTCTTTATATTTACACCATTGATGGTTAACTACAAAGACCCGTCTAAATCAAGGATCTATAGTCACGTACTGTTCTTTATACAATTGCAGCTACTATACGGAAAAAAACTAAGTACGTACGTATTGCGTCTTTCGTCCCAAAATTATTGTCATGTAATAAGACAATAAGTGAACTACAATTTTTTGCACTAAAACAATGTCTACCAAACCTCTAAACTATACGCTATAGCTAGTTCGATCACTGAACAAATAAGGGAGTACTAAAATCTTGACCCCAAATTAAAGATGTCGATATCAAGCTTCCAAACTACGCTTGTTTCGACGTGATCGATCGGCCGGCGGCGCTGGAATCTCGAAACTAGAGACAAATTCTGCTCCGGAGAGTCGTGTCGGATGATCAATGTCATGTTTAATCTGAGCAGAACGGCATTCAGGGGAGCAAAAAGCTTGCAAACAACCATACATGAAACAATCTTTGCGCCTTAAATCCTTCTTGCAAAGTGCACAAAAATCCGTGAAGTGTTTGCCATTACTGACATCATCATCATCATCATCATCTTGTCGAGGTTTTCCGACGAAAAAGACGTTCTTCATGTAGCTCAAATCATCAGCATCATCTTGATTCATAGCCCTTGTTGTTATTGTTTTCTGCTTCTTTACCCTTCGAAAAAAGCCGCACCCTATCATCCTTGGATCTTGTTGATGACGGGATTTCTGTAAGAAAAGCTAGTTTCATCAAGAACCCTAGTTTTGCTCCTCCTTGATTTTGAACCCTTTCTAAGCATAAACTGTCTTGGGACTTCTTTCTACAAAAAACTGATATTAGGGTTCTTGCGAGAAGTTGGAAAAATTATAATTTGGTTGGTGGATCGATATTTATAGACGATCCTTGGAAGGGCCTTTGACGTTAGGTAAGTCGGTCGGTTTATCAAATCTAATTCGATTCCGAAAAGGATTCGTTTTATATTGTAACTCAAAATCCAAATGCAACTCAAATTACCATAATATCGGTGGAAAGTAGCAATTTTTTTAGTATTTATTTATTTCTTCATGTGTGTTGAAAAGCACTTATTAATTATTGCCCAAGTCACCTAAGTATAACAAATATATTTAGAGAAAACCCACATCTGTTTAATTACTTTTTTTAATCGCAAAGAGAGACATACCACCTTGACAATTTTGCTGACACTACAACACTACAAGAGTATGCATTATGCAACTCCAGCAATTGCTAAAGTGACAAAAAAATTATTCCTAGTAACAATTTTACTAATATTAGAAATATGCAACTCTAACAAAATCTTGCCAAAATTACAAAATAGACTATCATAATCCACGTGTTCACAAGAAATTGCATATGAAGCTAAGAAATCTATCACATAGATGCAACCTATAAAATCACATCTAATCTTCTTCAATCAAGCGGCAGTTCGAAATGCGACTTATAAACTCTTTTGAAAATTGTACTCTCATTCCATTGTAATATTTTTTATTTTATTATTATTATTTTTTTTTTGTATAAAAGAGAAGATTAAATTAAATATATGCCTAGTAGTTTCAATATTCCTCGATCGGAAAACTCCTTTTACGTACATCATGATTAAACGATTACTGATGGACACTAAAATTGTAATGGAGTGCTTGACAATGCCACGTCAAATATTTACATGAAAAATTCAACGAATAAATACTTCATTTTGGAACGGAATATGTACTGATATATTCGTAAACTTTTTTTTTTAAACATCATTCATAAACCGCATCGCACAAAGGAAGTGTCAAGAATGACTATGAAATTATTTGATAGTGTTCCTAAAACTCAAGTTGCTAATGAAACCACTGTTTGTTCAAGATGTGATGAATGAAACACTGACACAATGTGTCTATATCGATCAAGACATGTACAGAGTTCAAGTCCCAGCATGAGCTTGCAATTTGTTTTTGTCTGAGAAAACTCCAAATTAATGAATATAGTAAAATGATCTGACTTTCTTGTCAATTTATGGCAACCATGAACCATACTTATCTGCTCGCCGCGTCTTCCCTTATCCATCCCCCACAAATTGTTGCTCCCTCCCTCTCCGTCGCAAAATAAATTTTTATTTTTAATTTAAATCATACTAAAAGTCTGGATAATCATGTTCAAGTTGAATTTGAATTAATTATGCAATACTATGTGCTTGAACATTTTAATTGCTGCCGATAAATCAATGAAGAAATTAGTCACAGATATCAACAGACATTATGAGATTTTTTTTTATTTTTTCTAAAAAAACCTTGATTAAAGCAATAGAAAACAAAATATCCCCCTTATAGTTTGCATGCTCCTCCATGTGATAACGTTGCATGTTTGTGATACACGTAATCTGTAACATATTCAACAAAAACTTCAACACATGTCGATCTGCATGTCAACCCTTGATGATCTAAAAGACACCAAGCAATCAATTAAGGCTTCCTAGTAGAATACCTATAAATTTAACACATCCGAATTGATAAGTTGTAATTGTAATCCAAGTCTCAACTGGAAAGAAAAATCACAAAATCTTCTGCCAAAATGTTTGCTAAAATACAGTTTGGGTTGTTTATTCTCACCACTTTTTCACTGTTTTTGTGCACTCAATGTTTCTACCATCATCAAACACCTTCCCTAATTGAGCTACAAACATGTCAAATGAAGTGTTTGATGGAGGAACAACATGGCACCCGTCATGAGAAGCTCTGTTTGATGAAATGCCATCAGGGATTTGCTCATTCTGATCAAATCAGTTCTTCCATAAATCCACAGATTGAAGATCCTCAAAAGCAATACGAACGTTGTCAGAAGGGGTGCGAGAAATACAGAGGAGAAAAGCAGAGGGAACCAAAGCAATTATGCCAAGAAAGATGCAAAGAACAACTTGAAGAACTCAGAAGACAACAACAAGAAAGAGAGCAAGGTGAAGTGATTCCAGGGCCTGAGAAAGTGTATAAAGAGTGTTTAGGACAGTGCAATGAGGAAACTCAAACAGGGTCTCAGGGACAAGGAGAAGAAGAACAAAATAATCCATATGTCTTTCGGGGTCAGATGTTTAAGTCCAGAGTCAGGACAGAAGCTGGGGATTTTAAGGTTCTTCAGAGGTTTTCTAAACAATCTGAGCTTCTAAATGGGATTGATAATTACCGTTTAGCAATCTATGAATCCGATCCCAATACTTTCATCGTTCCTCATCACTGTGATGCTGATGTCATTGCTTTTGTAGCCAGAGGTAAGCTTTCGTATAATTTATTCTGGTTTTATTAGATAGACAATTCAGCTATGAAAATTTGATCAATTTTTTGTCTTATAATTTCTTCAGGAGAAGGGACTATAAGCTTTGTGCATCGGGAAAGAAGGGAAACTTTTGATTTGGAAAGAGGAGATGCAATTAGGATTCCAGCAGGATCAACTGCGTATTTAGTGAACAGGCACAACAATGAGAAGTTCAGAGTTTTTATGCTCCTTCGTCCTGTGAATACTCCAGGGCGATTTAAGGTATATTTTCATCACTAAGGGCATCCTTGATAAAATTAGTGTTTAATTTTGAATGCTTAATCTTGAATTAGAAATACTGAATTTATTAGGCAGCCGCGGGGTAAACAATAAATTAATTTTTATTACTTATATTTTGTACTACAGTTTCTTTTTCTTTTTTTTTTTGGTTCTTTTTGAAAAGGTGTACTGCAGTTTCAAACATGGTGAAATTGAAAAATGCTTAATCTAATAATTTTAAGCATTAAGTGGCCTTAGATCCTAACATATGCTATATCAAATTTAGTCAATTTTTAAGCACAATCCGACACGTAACATTGGTATTCTTTGTAGGGATTTTTTGGAGCTGGTGGAAAAGAGAAACAAAGCTACTATAATGTCTTCAGCAATGATATCTTAGAAGCTGCTTTTAATGTAATGTCTATCTTCTTTTAGATTTCTTTTCTTTTTTTTCGTCCCAATTCGATCGTATTTTGCTAATTTGATTGGGAATTTCTATACAATTAGACGCCCAGAGATCAGCTGGAGAGGCTATTTGGAGGACGGCAGGCAAAAGGGATAATAGTAAGAGCAAGCCAAGAGCAAATCAGAGCTCTGAGCCAAAAAGGTCATGAAGGTTCATCTAAACATCATCATGGAAGAAAATCCAGGGGACCTTTTAACTTGTTTAGCCAGAAACCAGCTTTCTGCAACAATTATGGTCAGCTTTTCAGGGCATCTCCAGATGATTACAAGCAATTAGAAGACTTGGATGTCTCAGTTGGTGTCATGAACATCGCACAAGTAAAAATTAACCAAATCCAACCTCCTCTGTTCTGGGATTTTTTTTCATTGTAATTGAATCAGAATTCTTAATATTTTTCATCGCTTCCAGGGAGCAATGGTGGCACCGTATTTCAATTCCAGGTCAACAATTCTGGTGTTTGTCAATGAAGGAAATGGATATTTTGAAATGGCTTGTCCTCATCTTGCTAGTCAAAGCCAGCCATCTGGAGGTCAACAACAACAACAAGAAGAAGAAGAACAAGGAATAAGTAGAAATTATCAGAAAGTTTCTGCACAGGTTTCGGCTGGTGATGTATTCATCATCCCTGCAGATCATCCGATTTCCATCGTCTCCACTGGAAATCAGAACTTGCAGCTAGTTGGGTTCGGAATCAATGCTCGAAATAACCACCACAACTTCCTTGCTGGTGGGTTTTTTTTTTTTTTTAAGTCACAATTTCCTTCATAAATGGTGGGATTTTTTTTTGTCTTTAATAATTTTTGTGATTTTTTTGTAGGGCAAGATAACATTTGGAACAATGTGGAATCAGAGGCAAAGGAGCTGACATTTGGAGTTCAATCAAGGGAGGTAGATGAGGTGTTAAGAAGGCAAGAATTGTCATATTTTGTGCCAGTAAAAACAGGGCAACAACAACAACGAGGAGAACAGAGAGGGCAAGGTGGAGGAGGAATGCCATTGCCTTCAATTTTGGATTTCGTGGGTTTTGTTTGAAAGCTTTATCATAATCAAGAATGATCTTTGTTTCTGAGTTCAGTTGGAGGAGCTTTTTTTGTATCTAAATAAAAATAAATGTACAAAAGAGAATAACACAGCTCACTTCATGCCTAATGTAAATTTGATCTTTAGCCCTTATTCTGCATTTTCTTCAAGAAAACTCAAAACATCCATTTTCTTCAAGTGAGCATTATCTTTTTTTAGTTAGACGTTTCACCATGTTGGTTCCAACGAGCTTTTGTCCCAAAATATAAGTCAAAATCAATAAAAAAGATAACTAAAATTTTCCTGATAAGTGCTTCGGTAGAATGGGATATTAGGCGCAATCAGTGACAAACTCTCTTTTTATATGTTACACGTTAAACTTTTGTTAACACAATGGGGCCAATCGAAGCCACTGCCCCCTTATCCCGAATCCAGTTTAGTACTCTTTCTGTCCCATAATTATTGTCCAATTTGAATTTTCATTAATTATGGGACATAGGGAGTACTAAACTGGATTGGGCAGTGGCTTCGATTGGCCCCATTGTGTTAATAAAAGTTATAAATGAAAATCCAAATTGGACAATAATTATAAGACGAAGGGAGTATATGTTTTTTCGAAAATAAAAACTTTTTTAACAAGAACTTTGTTACACTGACATCCATGAGAATTATCGTAATCTGATTGTTGAATGAGTACTCCAAATAGTGTCTCATAAGTCATAAATACAATTGAATAGAATGGCTTGCACTAATTTCTCAAAATCATCCATCTTTTGGGTACTCACTTCAAACGGAAATTGAAAAAAGAAAAGAAGAAAAAAAACGCAGGCTTGATGTTCTTAAGCAATCAATAATTGATTGATTGCAGGAAAAAACGGTCGACGAAAGAGTGAAGTGTGGAATCAATTTCTCCTTGTTTGAGCAGTCAATTTCTCCATCTTTATTGGGATTTCAATTATCAAGCTCTAATTTTGACCTATAATTGATTGGACCGAAAACTTCAAATTAGTTAGCTGGATGAAGCCATGGAGGAATATCCGATGCCTTCATATCTTTATTTATCTTGCCGGATTTTGCTAGTTCAATGCCGTTTCCTTCTTATAAAAACTACATCGCGTAGATTTACGGCATCTTAACCCCTTAGATCCTGTCTTAATTCCATTCTATCCTGTTCTCATACATCTTTCCCCCCCCTAATTTGTTAGATACGGTACCATTAATTAATGGAAGCTAAGAGAGACTGGTCGGGCCTAATGTACAAAATGTTAGTAGAGATAGCTAAAAGGATCCCTTCGGCAGAAGATTTCACATCATTCCGAGGGGTTTGTACTTCTTGGCGAGCCGCTGCTACCAAAGATAAGTTCGGCGATTCATGTTCTTCAAGGATTCCGTTACTCCTGCTCGCGGAAAAAGAAGGCGAAAGCGATGACGATCATGAACGCGAATTTTACAGCGTGTTGAGAAAGAAAATCTTCATGAAGTTGCCACTCCAGGAGGCAAAGGGTAAAATGTGTGTGGAAGTAAGATTCGGGTGGCTATTAACCGTGGTTAATTCAGGTGAAGTCAAACTGTTGAACCCTTTTACCCGTGCTCAAATCCAACTTCCCAACTTCAAAACCTTCCCTGGATACAATGATTCTTACTGGGATGGTTACCACGGTCTTACCAAGGTTAAATTCATGAACCGGGCGATTTTGTCGGCTGATCCATCCCATAACTCACGTTTCGTCCTCGTCGTGATTTGCGATTGTTTTAGGGTTATCGGTTTCTGGAGGCCTGATGACCTCGACCTTGACGGAAATGGAATCAACAAACGGTGTGCATTTCTGGGATGTTACTTACTTGGAAGGCAAGTTTTTCGCCGTCAGCCATTGTCGCCAACTTTGGGTTTGGGATGAATACGATTTGGTATCTGGTAATGCCGAAACTTGTGGTTACGTTCTAATGACAATCGATCAGCCTAGAATATTTGGTGTCTGTAAACAAGGATACCTAGTATCATTATCCAACAACGAGCTGTTACTTATAATAAGGCAACTTTGTGTCAAGAACAGTGATGACAATTTTGGCCGGGTTATTAACTTCCGAGTGATTCGATTGGATGTGACGAAACGTAAGTGGGAAGAAATCGAGAGCTTAAGAAATCATGCTTTTTGTTGGCCACAGTTACCGCTGCTGTTCCTATGGTTGACCTTTCATCAAATGATATAAAGCCTAATTGCATTTACTTCTCTGACGATTCCATAAAATCTTACGTCTCCGGAACGCATCCATTGTTAAATGGTGGCTTTGGTGGTCTCGGAGATATGGGAGTTTATAATGTTGAGAATCACAGTTTTGGACGATTTAGTAATGTCGAGTCTTTTCCAACAACATGTCCATGCCCACCGCTTTGGGTGACTCCATCATTGTGATCAATTCGATTATGAGAAGTTTATTTTTTAATGTACTGATTTATTATATTCACTCTGCACAAATCTCAAAACGTACTATTACTATTTTTTTGGGACAGCTACAATAGTTTCTTATAGAGTTTATTATGTGGTAAGGGGGTTTGTGTGCATGACTCCAAATGCAGAAGTTTACATTATTTTATTTTTTATTTTTTTGTTTAACAACAAGTTTTCAAACGACATATCAGACGTTTCCTTTAATTTAATAATTTTGTTTTTTTCTAAGTATGGACTGTTAATTGTCGCTCTCTTAATTAATCCTGAGGAGTTTTCCGTTTAGACAAATTTGACCCTGTCATAAAATTAAAATACAAAAATCCTTTTGTTCCTTCTCTCCAAATTCTCCCAAACTCCAAAAAAAAAAAAAACAAACATTCCTTTAATCCTATGACTGCAATAATGAAAAATCGAAAATGTGTTGGTCGATGTATAGGTGCATTAGTAAATCAAGTACTTTTCCAAAATTTTTAAAGTTTTTTTTTGAAATTTATAAGAAACAAAAAATTATTGTGGGAAGAGTGTTTTTTTTTATATATAAAAAAATTCAAGTTCTGATTTATAAAAAAAATAAAACAAACAAAAGGGATCAGGCCGGGTAGGGCACCCAGAGATCGCGCCATACCTGTGGTCACGACATCCACCACAAACGCTTCACCGTCAAAAGAGGCGTCTAATTCGGACGCCCTAGCATCCGATACGGTGCAATAGCCGGACGCTTCATCCGGCCTCAACCTCAGACGCCAATACTGACTAAAAGGCGTTCGGTATTTATGCCGAACCGGCGGTTTAAGTGTCTAATCTAGATGCTCCGCCGTACGTATTGGCGTCTAATCTGGACGCTCCTTCCGCCGTTGAGGCGCAATCTCCGGACGCTCTACCTGATCAAAATTTTTTTTTTGTTTTTTAATAAATTTTGAAATAAAAAAAATTAAAAAGGTTAGAAATGTTATTTTATTTGTTCATGGATTTTTGACTCCACCAAAACCCATTTAATCATTCGTTGTTGAGACTTCTGAATTGAAGAAATGTTTTTATTTTTTATTTAGAGTTGAGAGAATTCGGAGAGGTGGAAGAAAATAGTTTATATGTTTTAGTTTTATATCGAGGGCGAATTCGTCAAAAGGAGCGCTCTCTAAGATTTAAGGGAGCGACAATTAGCATAACCCTATCCTATTGGGGATGGTTCTTTCTATTCTATTTTTTCCTATTTTTTTAGTTGCGCATCCAAACGAAGAAGAAACCAAGAAAAAGTTAGAAATTGATATTTTCAATCCAAATCAACGTCATATTAAAACATAATAAATAATAATAAGTAAAACACAAATTTAGCTAGAATCATTATGAATGGCACAAAATTCAAGGAAAAATCATGGAGTAGTAACGCTTGCAATGCATGATCAAATATTTTTTTTAACTTAAAACCTAGATCATGAAATTCTTAACGTATATACGTTATCTGTAATCGTTAATTATTTATCGATTTTCGAATTGTTTAGTTCTATGTATATATTGGGGGAGGCTGGTCATTATCCCCTTTCCACAAATGGATTTTATTTTGTTGAGATGATGTAATAAATTAATCAGTTTTGTTACTCATTTTCGGTAACTGGGAGGTTTGGGGGGTCTATAATCATAATAATAACAACAATAAATTTTTTTTGTTACAATTGAAGAGGCAAAATTGCCTAATGCCAAACATCTACATTAAATCATACTCCAACCACGATTTAGCACCAGTTGTTGGAGTTACTAGCCTTTGCAACACTCCAGGTCCTTGTGCTGCTAGTGAAACCATAAAATTCGGCTCCCAAAATACATGTTTAATCACGATTATCGAGTCTCGCTTCAGTATCTCTCGAATCCCACGGACAATTCCCAGAGTAACTCATAGGACCTTCTTAGATCCCTGCACCATGGTAGTATTACTTGTATTGTCGACCTCTGCAATCACCTTCCGCCCTCCAAATGTCCATGCAAAGTGTCGATGCCTGAAAAAAGACCTCATAATTCCGCTCTTGTTATAGTACATAAGTCAATATTCATTGTTAACTCCATTGTTTAAACAATAAGAATATTTCATTTATTAAAATATGGAAAAACTAAGATATTATTTTCTTTTTTTTTCTCTCTCTGTTTTGCCTGTGAATGATGACCTTTATTAATGTCTGCTAGAAGTTCCTAAAAATTCAAAATAAAATAAAAGTTACTATCTCATAATTCAACAAATTCATCTAGATTAATAGGTAAAAAAACTTAAGGGACAAACTTATATTTTATGTTAATAAAGAAAAATATTCATTCATTCCGTTTGATATCCTACAACTACAATTGACAATAATTAAGAATTACAATGCATAAAATATTTTTATTTACGTCTCTCTGTCTCAAAATGATTATCTAAACTGCTAGAGAGAGTGTAAAACTTGAAACAAAGCTCTAATTTATCATAAAAAATCAAACGGGGCAGCCGTTTTTTTATGCGCACTATGCAGAAAACAATCCAAATGTTGTTTGAAGTTGTTCCAGAAGAAGTCGAGCCATCAACTTTGGGGTAAATGATTCACGCATTCCGTCCATATCTTGGAAAAACGGCAACCCTTCAATTCCTACCTCGTTGTTGAGACAACAGAGAAGGAACTCGACAAAATGGCGAGTCATGAATTTGTGCGCCTCAACTTCGATTTTCTGTTTCTTGAAACCCCTCGTAGCCTTGATAATTCTAGTACAATCCATTTCCAATGGAGCCTTGAGGAGCGACTCGAGACTGTCGGGAAATTCGACGAGTTCTCCTCTAAGCTACTGCTAAGAGCACTTGGAGATTCTGAAGCAGTGTGGTGACAGAAATGTTGGTTGCTGGTTAAAGGGCCGCCACCGTATGCGACGTTAAGGGCACTGGTTGCGAGTCCTGGAGCCCGACCTGAATCTCCTGAAATGATCCCCATGTTTCTGGTTGGAGATTACAGGCAAATTGTATCTTAAAGCGTTCAGTGAGAGTCAACGCAGCAGTGTTGAATTCTGCTCATATCCAATCAGTTGTCACCGGTGGTTGGGCGGCGGCGCCCCATCACATTAATCTCCCGGACGGGGTTAATGATTGGAAGGAGGCCTATTGCTATTCCATCCTCGGGTAATCCCTCAGGAAAATATTTCTCCACAATTGCTCTCAAGTTAAATTTGACTGGCACTTCTTGCACAACCCTAATGTTCTCCATGATGAAACAACTACTATTTTTTTTTTCTTGAAAATTGGAATGTAAGATTGAACTAATTTGTTGGGATACTTATAGTGTTTACTTTTTCATTTGATCCCAAACAAAATTTTCATTTGAGGATTAAGAATTAAGGTTTGTTATACTGTACATCCGTTTTTATTCTGGCAACTTTAATTTGGTGATCACGTTTTGATTCTGTATGAAAATTCAATCAAATAGATTGACTTGGCAGCTATATATCATTTTAATTTGTTAAGTTAATTTGTAAAACCTTAATGTATGTTTCGACGTACGTTTTGATGATACTGGATGCGTACTCTCAGCCTTTGGGAGATTTGATCAGTACACTGAAATGGATACTTTGGTGTATCGTTCATCAGAGAATATTCACGCTCTGTTTGTTTGGTTTTTTGGATAGTTTTTTTCATTATTATTTAATAATAAATGTTCCATCCCAACATATTTTTTTATATTTTCAATACATTTTTTTATATTTTCAATAACAAAAAAACACCTAAAAATCACACACTAAAAAACCGAAACAATAATACCAATGACACAAATGATTTTTGCGGGACATAGAGAATCTCAATTAAATTTCTTCATCTCAGTTCTTGTGTTAAAGATAACTTTTAGCAGAAAATTTTGGACAATCCCCAACGACTGCATACCATGAAGACAATCCTCACAGGTTTCTACTAACATGCATCTTCAGCCATCACATAAATTATCAAACGAAAATTGGAAATTTATTCTCAACAGCCCATAAAAGAAAATTAAAATTTCAGAAACCATTTAAATTACCAAAATATAATAAAAAAGAATGAAGCCAAAACCAAAAGTCAAAAACCTGCCATTTACGCTTCACCTAGTACGTATTTCCAATTTAAAATATTTTATAGAAGAACGGAAAGAATGGAAAAATAACTTTTTAAGGTTTTTTTTTTCTAATAACAACATACTAGGATGGATATTATAATTAATTAAAATGACTTATAACAAGGAACAGAGGGAGTCAGCGGCCGAAGCATGTAACCTCCAGACCGAGTTGAACAATGTCTTAATTCTTAAAGATATATTCTGGTTTCCGTGAATTTTGAGCTCCATCTGTATGCCCAGTTTTGAAGACACAATGGTACACTCTTATGGAGGGGAAAAGGGAAAAGACTTTGTCATATCTGTTCGAAAAGTCCATAAGTTTTCATTCAACTGATGCGTCTAAAATCTGAGAATTTTGACCTCCATATGCATGCCTATTTTCATCTAAGAGAATTGACATCTAAAGCTGTTCTGAGTGAAGCTTATCATAATCAAGAATGATCCTGTTCTGACTTCTTACTTCATTTGGAATGAGCTCTTTTGGTACCTAAATAAAATGTACAAAAGAGAATAACACTGCTCGCTTCATGCCTAATGTAAATTTTATCTTTAGCCCTTTTATGCATTTTCCGAATGAAAACTCAACGCCCATTTTCTTCATTACTAACATTAATTGAACATTATCTTTTTATTTAGACGTTTCACCATGTTGATTCCAACAGCTTTTGTCCCAAATATTAAGTCAAAATCAATAAAAAGATGACCAAAACTTTCCTGATAAGTGCTTCGATAGAATGGACATAAGGCGCAATCAGTTCCAAACTCTTTTTTATATGTTACATTTCACAATCGGGCCAATCGAAGCCACTACCCAATTGTCCCGAATAGAGTTTAATGTATACTTTTTCGAAAATAACAACTCGTTTAACAAGAACTTTAGTTACACTAACGTCCACGATAATTATCGCGATCTAAGTGTTGAATGAGTCCAAATAGTGTCTCATAAATACAATTGAGTAGTAGAATGGAGTAATTTGTGCTAATTTCTCAAAATCATCCATCTTTGGGGTAGTCACTTCAAACGGAAATTTAAAAAAAAAAAAGAAGAAAAAAAAAGGGTAGGCTTGATGTTGTTGCGCAAACAATAATTGATTGATTGCAAGAAAAAGGGTCGAACGAAGAGTGAAGTTAGGAACGTTTATGGGGGATTTCAAGCTCTAATATTAATTTGATCTATTAATTGGACCTCAAAATTTAAAATTCAAATTTATCTCTGCCGGAGTTGCTAGTTCACTTCCATTTCTTTCTTACAGAAACCCCCATTTGCTAATTAGATTTATCACTTTTTTTTAATTTCTTTAAACGGGTGTTGAGAATAAATTTCCAATTTTCGTTTGATAATTTACGTGGTGGCGCAGGATGCAATGCTACTAGAAAACCTGTAAGCATTGTAGAATGTAGATTAGGAACTAAAACTTGTCTCCGTTGGTCTTTGCAATTAATGGTTTGGGATTGTCCAAAAGTCTGTGCTAAAAGTCATCTTAACACAAGAACTGAGATGGAGAAATTTGATTTAGATTCTCTTTGTCCCACAAAGATCATTTGTCCACAAAGAATAAATATGTTAAAAATTTAATAAAATATTCAGTCATTAACAGAGGGAGTGTCAACTCCCGTTAATTTACTCCAAATTATGTTTAAAAAATTAAAAGTGATGAGAAAAATTGGTGACTAATCTTGGTGAGAGAAAATTTATGGTGACTTGATCTCGATTAAGTGAAAATAGCTAAAAATAGATTCGAATCGACTTTGATTGCTAGTTAGCTAGGCTTCGAGTCGATTACAATTTACTCCAAGTTTTTTAATAATATTGATAATTAAAACTCCCACGTTATATTTTCGCTTCGATTGCAAACTTGTCATCTTTTTTGTTCGTGCATTAAATTTTTGTAATTAATTTCTTACAGAAGTCATTGTATATTGAAACAAATAAATAAAAAAAGTTCCAATTGGATATTATCAGTGGCGGAACCCTTAAGGGGCTCGGGGGATACCGAGCCCCCCGACGGTCGGAGGGTTCCTTAGACGTACCCATAGTAGACTTGTCGTCATGTATGTTTGACGACTTTTTCTGGCCATAAACTCACTGTTAGGGTCCTAAATTTGTCACCCTGGTTCCGCCACTGGATATTATCATTACCAAGTACAGTAAGTAGTACAGTAGGACATGGCTGATTATCATTCATTTATTTGTTAGTAGTTTATAAATAGATTGCCACAACAAGAATCGAACAAGATATCTCGTAGTAATAACAATTTCTGATCAAAACCCTAAAAGAATAAAGACAAAAGAATAAACAAAAGGTTGGAATACGGACTTGGAAAAAAAAAACCCCAAGAAAACAGTAAACATATACTCCCTCCGATCTTTATATAAGACATTTAGATTTGTCATAATATTTATTTATATTTTTTTAATTTAAAAATCATACTAAGTGAATTTTATGATAAATTAAAATGTCTTATAATAAGGACGGGATGGAGTATATAATAAGTAAACGAAGAAACGTGATAAATATCAGCCCGCCAAAATTAACATAGTTCACACGTGGCACTTTGCAATATCTCATCCAGATGTTGCATGAAGATCCAAAACGAGCCTAGCAGCAAACTTTGCAATTAAGGGCTGGAGATTTGCAGCAACATTTTGGAAAAATGGCAATTCGGCAACTCCTGCGCCATCGTTATTGTTGAGACATTGAAGAAGAAAATTGACAAAATGCTTGCTCATCAACTTGTGTGCCTTCACTTCAATTTTTGCTTTTTTGGAGCCACCCGCGCATGAAGTTAATTTGCACGATTACAGATTTAATTCTATATAGAAGTTCAAGATGCGATGGATATATACGTGCTGCATGTAATACGTAATTCATTTGAAAACGTTTCGTCTTGCATGTTTCAACAGTTTTTGATTAATTGTGAAGGATTTGGGGCACATGTGTTGCCACAACGAGATATTCAATCAGCACTTCCTCCAATCATTAGTTTTAGGGATTAGGGATCCAGCTGCAGCATTGAACTCATTTTTCAGTTATAAAAATTTCAAAATTTATTTTCAAAACCAGAAAAGAAAAAGAAGAAAATTTTTATAGACTGTTGTTTTAGGTTATGTTTTGAAATTTCTGTGTTTGATGAATTACTGATTTGAGATTTATTTTGAAATAATTAAGTATTAAGAATAACTGAAAGAGTAGTGACACATATAAGGAATAATGTATCAATCATCAAAACTATTCTTTAACCTTAAATGTTTAAATCTAAAATAGAAAGTGTTAAAAATGAATAGCTATAATTCACTAACTGTTGACACAAATCATCCTTACTTAAATATATCTGGTGGCCCTAAGTGCCGGATCATATATAGCCAGTGTTTAAAGCTTGGCTCGCACCGGCAGGTTCAATCGATTAAATCGGGAACCAGACCACAAGTCGAGCCGAGTGACTTAAAAAATCGCCAGTTTGTGACTCGGTCAAAACTGGTCAAAATTCCGTGTGAACTGGGAACCGGCCAAACTCGAATCGACTTGGAGTTTTTGGTTTTTGCATGATTTGATCAAAATTTTTAAAATTTGCCCATGGTTTTCTGTGTTGTTCTTCCTCTTTCCTCCCCAGAAGTTTGTATTTTGATCTAAAATGCCCAACAACTTTTATTCATAAATTAATTTGTCATTTTAATTCCAAATTCTTTACTTCAAATTATTAACGACCATTTTAAAATCTTTTTATTATTTTTCTCATATATGAACCTCCATTATTTTATACAAAATTTAAAATACATCTCAAATAGGTTGAAATTTATTTCTTAGTATACATTTTATTAATAATAAAAGTTGATTATCTTGTAAATTTATATATTTTAATTATAAATAATTATTTATATTATTTGTTCAATTAATATACCTATCTAAAACTGTAATTAAATACTCTAAAATACTATTATTAACTATTACCATAAAAAATTTCCATAAATATTATTTCTTTTTAAATTATTAATATATTTTTAAATTATATATTATTTATTACATCGTAATGACATCACCGAATCGACCCCTGAGTCGACCCAAATCGATCCCTAAAATCTCTGACTCTTACCCTCACAGAGTCGGTGTCCGAGACGAGTTTGACAACTCTGTATATAACTACCATGTAGTAGTTTGATGGGAAATGACGGGTGAAGGTGACTTGATTGGTTAGAGGAGATGGAATTCCATAATAAAATATTTAAGTAAAAGGTACTACTACTGTGGCGTCATCATTCCAAAGTATGATAATTAATCATTGCATTATATGGTAAACATGATTTATTAGTTATCACTTGTGGTTTTGTTTTGGGATATATATTGAATTAATAAAGATGGAGGATGCAAGATTGAAAGTCTCCTATTGGACCCACCGTCAAACCCTAGCTAAGAATCCGAAAAAAAAGAGTTTTTAGAAAATTTCGTCGATTTGTAATACCACAACATTGCGTAAGTATAACCGTATAAAACACGTATTACATCATACACTAGTCATGATTTTACTGCACTCGGAAATTTAATCTGTATAATATAGAATTCTCAAGAATTGAAGGTCCACTTAACGCTATCCTTGGTAACTGGTATTTCCAATAACATTTCCGTTTCCTAAATGTGCAAATTAAATAGGCAGATCCTTTTTTATTTTGGGGTTTGTCATTGAGAAGCAGTACCAAACAAATTTCATTAAAAGGGTTTTGCTAATCCTTTTTTTAAAATTTTTTATTCGTCTTGTGCAAAATGCAAAGTTTTGATTTCGTTCTGGTCTTTTTTCTTTTAGTTCTTGTGGCTTTTTTCTTTTTCAGGAAAATTGAAGATAACGATGCAAATTAAAAGGACGAAATCTATGGCACCATTTAGTAGCTAAGGTTGTGAAACTGTCCTACTTCTTCTTTTTTCACGCTCTAATTAAGATTTGAAACATTAATGGGATTTATAATATTTACGTCCTAATTAATTCAAATTGAAGAATTCTATTTCTCCTCCCCCCCCCTACCCCACCCCCCCCCCCTTTTTCCTTCTGGCGACCCCAAGACATGATTTGGACGAAAATCAAATCACCAAATGGTGTGCATAATAACTCACAAACAAAGATAGTTTTCTGTCTCATTGAGATATTAGCGTAACAAAGTAAACTGACCAAAAGAGTATTAAGTACATGGTGGTACAAATTGATACAAAAACCAATACTCTGAGCAATTTTTGTATTGGTGTTCATTTAATTTTCTTGTTTCCTTTACATTTGATTTCCTATCACGTTTGCGGGTTGAATTAGTTTCAATCGCTTTAATAGGGAAAATAAAAAAAAAGAAAGGGAGAAGAAAACTATGATCAAGCGTGCATGAATATTGATCATGAATGACACAAAAATCAAGGAGGAATTTCATGGAATGAGAACGCTTGCAGTGCAAAATCAATAGGCTCAAATCATATAAAATGCATTTCCTGAGACCATCAGATATATATTACCATTATTATAAAAGGATTTCAGTAATAATAAATTTGTTATCCCAGCGTGATTAATTAAGTCATTCCCGGACTAGTGAGATATGTGGTTAGATACATCCTTTCTTTCTTTCAATCTTTTCTAAATTGGGGTTGGTTTTTTTTTTTTTGTAGTTTTTAATTTCTTACGTGTAAAATATATAGGCTTAATTAGTCGGTCTAAACAAATCAATTTCAATCATCAATCACCATTTAATCAACTCCATAAAATCCTCTTTCACGTTGATTAATTCATTAGGCTCAAGAGTGAATATTTATCTCTCCAATGGTTAGGCCCTCAACTTTCTTCCTTTTCTTCATCCTCCTTGTGATTGCAGGTATGACTGAATTCATATTACTTCACAGGCTTTTGTATTCAAATCGTTCTATCTGAGCAAACACTCATTTGGCCGCGAGAAAGAGTCATCTTTATTAAATTTATAGATAATATTCCCTCCGTCCCATAATTATTGTTCAGTTCATGTTTTCATTTCTAATTCAAATTCTATTAAAAGTGAAATCTCAAATTGAACAATAATTTTGGGGCAGAGGGAGTACTAGTTGTTGACAATGTAAAATAGATGGATGGAGTAAAATACCAAATACAATTACTTGCTCATATTTTCTTGATGTCTAATGTTGCAGGGAAGTTGATAGAGGCAAAGGATTCTTGCTCATATTTCGATACAATTGGTGGAGGATGCCCGGACTTACGTGCATGCGGTGAAACTTGTAAGCCGTGTTACCGCGGCATCGGCTTAGTTCAGTTTTCCTGCGTTGCTCCGGGCGGAGGAATACTCTTTTACAGATGCCGGTGTGAGTTCAAGAACGGGGCACCTTGTCCGCCCGTGGGACCGCCTACTTGTCCCGCCCCCGGCGGCGCTTATAGTCGGCCACATGTCACGTATTATTATCACCATGAGGATGAAAAGAAGAATGTCACGGTTGATCTTACGACACTGGCAACGCAATTTCCTTAATATAATCATCCATTTATAAATGTTACAAAATTAATGCTCAATAATATATTTTGAGTTTCATTTTATTTTTCATTTTTTTTCAGTCACTACAAATCCACACACAGTTTTTATTTATCTTTTATCAACAACTTACAAGTTGTTATGTGTTACAAGGAACGGAACAAAAATATTGAATCATTATTATACGTGTTTAAATTTTTTCAAATTTTTTTAATTGAAATTTACTTATATGAATTGAATTATCATAAATATTGATTGAAAAGAAATTTCAAAAACAACACTTCTTTTAACTTAAGGAAAAAGAATTATAAACAATATTTTGTAAACTGTCAACCGAGGCTCTTTTTCTGGTTAAATGTGAATGTTACCTATCCCTATTGAGAACATATACTTGTACATTTTATAAAGAAATGAAAATAATACAAAACTTATAATCAAAACTCAGAATTGTTTTGCGACATCTGTGTATGTAATTTATTTTTGAAAAATAAGTATTTCTAAACTAATGTCAATAATTTTATAATTGGATGGGTATTATAAATGGCCATAGGTGCTTTTTGCACTATTTGTATGCACTTTCATCAATGTGACCTTATGGACTAATTTGGTCAAAGGAAAACAATTTCAAACGTTAAGGAGTAATCAATAATTTAATAAAACATCGTGGGGGGTTTCAGTAATTAGTCTAGTCCTTTACAAAGAAGGACCCGGTTGAAGTTGAACTAACCCGTCTTGTTCCCCAAGACTTCAGTTCAGTCTATATTATTAATCTCCTCAGTTCAAAGCCGCCAAACACAATTTGAAACAAAAAGCTTGGGATTGAGGAAATTAGCGGATAGAGAATTAGGATGGAGTGTGTTTTCGGGCTCGTCGGAAAAGGGTTTGCTCTGGTGGTGGCGGACACATCAGCAGTCCATAGTATTCTGGTGCACAAATCGAATGAGGACAAAGTCATAATCCTTGATTCCCACAAGCTTATGGGTGCCAGCGGTGAAGCCGGTGATAGGTATTTTTTCTTTTCCCTTTTTTTTGGTTTTTTTTCGTTGGTGTAGATGGTTGTTTTGATGTTCAATTGAGCTTAGATTGATGTTTCGTTTGGCCCATTTACTGTAAAGTTGGGATTTTTTCCAGTATGCTTTTGGTGCTTGTTTGTGGTTTACAGTTTATTCCTTCTTTGTTTTTTTTCTGCCATAAAAAATTGTGCTATTACAATTGATGAAGTTCTGCTGTTTTTGCTAAAATTGGACCTTTTATTAGTCTTGAATTATTAGTTTGTGGGGATTTCCCTGTTCTGAAGCTGTCTTTTTCTTCATGATATGGTAGGCTCCTTCATGCCTTGATGATCTCTGACAGTATTCAATTTTTTGTGTTGCTTCTTAGTTATTTGTTGAAGGATTGTATTCAGTTAGTGGATATTGCTGCTTTGGGAATTCTTATGCCTGTCGTGTCATTGTTCTTTCTGGTCTTCGTTGACAACATCTGTGTGATTTCTATTTTCTTGTCGCGATTGCAGGGTTCAATTTACAGAGTATATTCAGAAAAATGTGGCCTTGTACCAGTTCCGTAATGGCATTCCGTTGACTACAGCCGCTACTGCAAATTTCACTAGAGGAGAGCTTGCGACTGCCTTGCGCAAGGTAAGAATTTTAAGATCATGAGCACCGCAGCAGCTTTTGCATTTTAATTAATGACGGGTTGAACTGTCTATGTAACTCAAGTTGTAGTTTCCTTGGCCTGTGATATATGTAGCTCATTTTAATAAACTAGACAGTTTGTGATGTGGATGTTAAGGCTAGACAATCAGTCATGTAGATGCCTTTGAATTTTTTTTAGTGTCCATAGATTAGATATAAGTTATTCTGATTTTCAGCGGGGCTTTAATTGAATGTGCTTAAAGTTGTAGTTTATTGAAGTTTGAAATTGGTACTAAACATTAGCATGATAACTGCTTATGGGGAACTTCTCTTCAGTTCTTGTTATTAATGAGTTTCTACAATTCGAGTGAAAAAGGTCTTGCCTTGATGATTGTTCTTTTTTTCTGCTAAAGTACTCATTATTATCATTGCTTTGGTTGAAGCTTTGTCACTTCTTGGTTTTTCTTTGGGTAGCCGTACACTTTATTACAGGTTGTAAACTTTATTTTCTAGTTAATTCTCTTTTACCTGTACATAAGAGAATCACAAGTGTAATATGGAAAGATTTGGCAATGAGCTTCTGCACCCCACTGCATTTTGCAGCTCTACCTCAAAGTGTATGCTTTTATCACAATTAATGGAAGATGAACTTAATATGCTGGATCTAGTGTTTCTCTTTGTCACCAGTGCAATGTTTAGACATAGGAGAATAACCACTCAAAACACAGCAGGTTCATGTCTAAACTTGTTTGCTCTATATAAGAGTGCAACAAAGTTGTGCTTGGTGGGAAACATAGCTTCTGAGCGTAATTGGCTCCTAGGGGAACCTTTATAGCTAGTTGAGCAATGCACTGCCTCCCACTAAATAGATTAAAAGAAAATGGTATATGGGGAATTCAACCTGAACTTGCACTCTTTCTTCACACTGAATGAAGAGGTGCTTCATTGTTTGATAGTTGAAATGTTTTCATCCATCTAATCTTACAGAGTTCGACGACCATGATAGGGTAGCTGTTGTCTGTGAATACTTAGAGAAGCATTTATTCACCTTAAGCTTGTTGAAAGCATTAGCAGCATCAAATACTGTCTTCACAGCAGAAATTATGCTCAGGGACAAATTTTTGTTTTATGTTTGGACAAGCCCACCTACGCAGATGTTTTGGCTGTCTTTTATTCTTATGCATGTTATGATTATAGCTGTTGTCCTCGGTTATTTTCCTTTGTTATGTGAATGTGGAAACATTCTAGTTTCCTTGGTTGTGGTATTTTACCCCGTTTCCATAACTGACTGGTTTCTTCCTGTCCCGTGTGCATTGCTTTGTGAATTTGGCTGATGGGCATTGCTTTTTTTTTTTTTCCTTTTTCAGAACCCATACTCTGTCAATATTGTTCTTGCTGGTTACGACAAGGAGACTGGTCCTTCGTTGTTCTACATTGATTACATTGCCAGTCTTCACAAGGTTGATAAGGTAGCTTTTGGCTATGGCTCCTACTTCTCACTCGCCTTGATGGATAGGCACTACCGGAAAGACATGACTGTTGACGAAGCAATTGAGCTGGTGGACAAGTGTATACTGGAGATTCGCTCTAGATTGGTTGTGGCGCCTCCGAATTTTGTGATCAAGATCGTTGATGAGAAAGGAGCAAGAGAATATGCATGGCGTGAAACTGTGAAGGAAGCCTCTGTTGCTTGAGAGCTTTTCTTTTTTGGTTAATGAGAACTGAAGCTTAGGGACTTTCATTTTAGGAGTTAAACTAAAGTCAGAGTTGAAATCTATAAACAAGTCTGAGATGTATAACATTCTTACTATTACTACTAAAAGTTACCAATACTCTCCAACTGAAACAAGTCCAAATGATTTTTCAAAAATTGGAAAAGAAAAGTCCAAATAAAAGTAAAATTCTAGCCTATGGTCCTTATGCCGACCCTGATCATTTTCGCATCATTGAATTCCCAATCGACCATGAACATCCAAATCCACGTAGTGGATCTGCTGAGTGGTTTTCTTTTGATTCCAAATGCGATGTTTGTCAAGGGCGACTTAAGTATACTTCAGAAGAATGAAGGAAAGGGTAGAGACAAGTCATGGTTGAAAATATGGGAACTTGAAGATGACGGCAACAGCTGGTGTCTTCAATTCAACATACAATCAAGATTTAATAAGTTAGATACACAAGACTTAGGGGAAAATTTTATAAATAGGATCACAAAATTTATGGACAATATAATAAGCACTTATGGGTATTAATTGAAAGAAATGGCAATCTAGGTAGTTTCATCATACGCTGATACACAACGTAATCAATCTACTACGAATATCTTGATGTAATCTGCCAATTGTCATTATATTAACATAACATGATTTTTCACAGCTTGATGCATTTCATATCTGGGATTTTTGAGCAATCCAAAAAGATCCAATGTAGCTATTACCCGAGCAAGATCTTTGCTTATTTTGGTCGGCAATCCACACATCATTTCTGAGGTAATTCTTCAGCATTTTCATTGCATAAATTGTTCTGATTCAGGTATTGTGACAGACATTTGAGTTAATTTTAAACTCATTTCCTGATCTTAGATGTACATGCATTTTTTGTTGATTACGAGGGAGGAAACAACTCTCAACCTTCTGGGGACCTCGAACGGGTTGATAATTCCTTGAACACGGCTCAAAAGATCCCAGAACTAGTTTACGATGAAGCTGAACGGTCTGATGGCTGGAAATGACTTATTGTCTTGACCCTGTTTTCATATTAAGTTCGTAACAAAAAATTTTAGAACAATTTTGATTTTATCTAAAGCTTCTTTATTGCAGAACGTTTGCTTTAAAGTGTAACTAAGAAGCAGGAACCTGCCGTTTAGCCTGTAGAATTACTCAGTTGATGGTTTCTTAGTAGTAGTTTTAGTGAGATGAATATAACAGATTCCATTCTAATTAGTTCTATCTTCTTTAGACATATTTGCTGCAGGACAACAGATATAGCATCTCACAGTTAGCTACCGAAGCAAACAAGAATCATTTTCTTCAATCCGTAAACGCCTATGTCGCTATTCAGATTCATCTGAGTTTCATTTCTGTTAGGTGGTTAATCACATTAGCTAGGCGATTCTCTTACTGCAATAAGGATTAAGATGGTTAAGAAAGTAAACCCAACAATTGAACAGAAAAGAAGGCCAAAAATGCAGAATTATAGAATCAATTATATGTGTAACTTTCATATCATTGTTGCACAAAGATCAGGAATCCCAATTGTACAAAGTCATATAACTCTGCCAGACCAACTTTTGCTCAGCAGAGCTTATGAAACCATACCTAGTACAGTATCTAGTACAGTAAGATTTTGGTAGAGGTAAGATTCAAAGTGCTGGTCTAATAAGCTACAGATAATGCTGTGAAAATGCTAGCAACAACATGACCAAAAAGGCACCATGAAAGGGGAAACCCGGCTGGATTTGCATCTGCTTTGTTGATACTAAATGTTCTCCATGCTGGGAAGACCTGGAAAGTCGGTGCTGGATGTGCCTCGTGATCAGCTTGTTGTGATTGATTGCTTACATCAGATTGGTTATCAGCATGTCCTTGAGTGCCTGAAGCAGCAGTAGACTCTTGAGTCAAGTTCATCCCAGGAGGTGGCGGAGAATGATTAACAGGACCTGCAAAATGAGACAATGTAAATCAAACCCCCACACTTCAATCCTGGATTTCTTGGTGAACAACCATGTGTATTGTTAGCAGTCTACATTTGAAGTAAAAGTGTAAATACTCGAACAAACTTAAAATTGACAATCTCTAGTGCAGATAATGATGCCTAATACATTTGAACACTGAAAAATGAGTGCACCAAGAACTTGCCTCGTAAAAAGATCAACCAGAACAACATATCTTATGCTTGTTTTTTATAGATTGTATCTAATATAGAACATTTAACACCAAAAGTTGAACGTCATATGCCAGAAAACAAGTATGTAGTTAAATTGATCAATTGATTCACTCTGATGAAGGCATGGTTCAGTAGATTACCAGAGATATGCGGGATTGTGGGTGTAGGTGGTACAGGGCCTGTTACAGAATGATAGAATAAAGCTTAAATCAGTCAATCTATAGGCCATAAAGAGAAGCACACATCGAAGTAGTTAATGGAAGAAAATGCTAACCTGAAATGCGTGGTTTTGGGCGATCGGAAATAGTAATGCTTGACAACGGAGGCAGAGTATGTATGCCTGAGTAAATTAGTTCAAACGAGAAATCATCAATAACTTCCCAAGAAAGAAGCAACCAAAAACTGACACAGGCGAAAGTAAGAAATTGAAACCATAACTACTTAATTTCTATTGGAAAACCTCATCCGTAACAAAATCCACAACCAAAGGCATTCATCATGAGTTATTTGTGAGCTTTCTGGATGAAATTGATTTTGGGAAAACACACCCACTCACAGTAATTTCTTAGAACACTCTGTGGGCACAATATTCTGATTCTTGGACGTTTCTTTATCAGAAATATTCGTCCTAATTCAGATTTAGGAACTACCACTTCAGTAACATTCATTTATTTAAATGAAAAAAAACTCAAAGAAGAACATAGAAGAATGCGATCCTAGATCCAGAACAATTACCCTAATTTTACATATAATTTGCGATTGAGCGTGTCAATTTCTGAAAACGTAATGAGTTGAATTGAAGAAATCTCCTTACCAGAACAGAGTGCTTTGATCGAGAAATTAGCCTTGGTTCCGTGGTCTACAACTGGGCACCGAGTGGAAAGAGAGAGGATCTTGGTGAAATTGACCGGAAATCCAAGAAGGTTGGGCTTCTGAACGAGGTAACAGAAACAGACGGCGGTGCCGGAGAGATATGCGGAAGCGACGTCGTGGCAGCAGTGGCGCGAGGGTACAGCAGTCGTGTTGTTTGGAGAAGAGGAAATGTACGAAAGGCAGTTCGAGAAGACAACCAATTCATCGGAACAGTTCGTCGGAGCTCCAGCTGCTACAGGCGGAGGAGGCGGAACAGTTGCGTTTCTTGGCGGCGGAGGAGGCGAAACAGAGCCGTTTCTTGGCGGCGGTGGAGGTGGTGAAAAAGTTCCGTTTCTTGACGGCGGCGACTTCGTTCTTGCTCCGGCAACGGTCAGCGCGAATAGAAGGAAGGTGATTATGACGAGTTTGATCGCCATCTCTCAGATCAGAATTTCTGGTTTACACTTCTTGTTGCAGAAAGCTTTACTACTGTGTGAGTGTGTGAGAGAGAAAAACCAGAGAGGGAAAACGGTTATTCGCAGTCTGTTACTGAGGCGGCGTTGGTTTGAAAAATTTATAGGGACGCTGGCGGGAAGAAATTTAGACGAATTTCCCTAAATACCCTCGTATTGATCTGTTAATTGTGCATACATTCTTGTATTTCCGGTTATCAATTTGGTTTTGAAACGTTTCTATAGGCCCCTAAAACACTCGACTCACGTCAATTTATAATATTTTGCTCGATTTTTCGCCTTCTGTATAGGAGTTTTGTGTTGAATGCATAAAGGGAGAAAAGAAATTGATTGTACTGATGATACTAACATTGTTCAAACTTTGAACTAATAGTTAAAGTGCAACAGTCATTTCTCCTTAGACATGATAATAAAGATTCGTTCGCGAAGTAACTTTGCTTTTTCGGCCTACTGCACTTCTTGATTTCCAAACACATAGTGCTACAAATGGTAAGATACATGGATATCACATTTTTACCAAGAGACAGTTATGTTTATGAGCTTGGGGATGCTGAAGCCGGGATGAGAATCGGGATAATCTATAGTAGGTTGGCTGGAAGCTATGGATGTATTGGTAGGCGTGAATTTAGAGGAATTTCGCCCCTTTTTGGAGGTAATAATGGCACCATGACACCATTTGGAGTAGAATGTTGAAGTAGCTGGTGCATTAGCATCGCTGATGCCAGTTCCATTGGTAATGCTGGATGGCCTATTGCAGGCGCCGGCAAGGAAGAATCCGGTCCAGGAAATACCGGCAATGTGTCTACATAAGTGAAAGAATAGCATCTTAGAAATCAGAACCAAAAGGATTCAGACAAAAAGAAGTGGAAGAAAAAAAAAAACAGCTTGTTATATTCAAAACTTAACTTTGACATTGAGTCAGTGGAGGCAGAGAAACATCACAATTTGGTAACTGGAAGGACAAAGCCATGCCCAACAGAGGACCAGATGATCTAATTAGCAAGCACATGCAATAATATCCGGCTTGAACTGCATGGTTCAGTGCTTTGCAGCAAGAATCAAATGAGGCCGAATTCGCTGCTTCATTCAAGCATTGCTGAATCTCTATCCCCTGAAATGAGCACCCCTGAATCTGTGCACTTGCAACATGGAATGACATACAAAGAAGGATAACTAAAGCCTTACAGAACCCGAATTTGTCCTCCATTCCCATAAATCACTTGTTGTTGTGCATTTTTACCTCTTGGAGAGCATAGGATTGAGCCTGTTTTAAGGTGATTATAGCATTTCGTGTAACTTGTTAAAGATGTGAGTTTGCTGCTTCTGACCTACCCATCGACGTCACACGATTAGCGCTAATTGCAGTTGTGAAAGAGCAAGACATTGCTGAAGCTGACTCAAAACATCACACTTATTTCACTCCTTTGAATACTGTTTGGTAAAACTTAACCACTTTTGATATTAGTGTTAAAATCCTGAAAATCCAAGTTGGAAATTTTGAATGAGCAGTGGAATTTATGCCTTGAGAGAAAACACGATTTATTACAAAACACTTAATCCTTGATCTCTCAATTAATGGACTGAAATGAAGGTAACTAAGAATCTAAGATTACCAGTACAGTATTATAAAATGGACAGCAAAACAACTCGGACCAGGTTCTCCAAAATGCTTATTTTGATTCCAAGAATCATACATGATCCAAAAATATGTCTGAACAAATATTAAAAAAAAAAAATGATAAATAAAGCATTTGTACATGGGAAAACCTATAATCTGCATATCTACTCAAAGAAAAGCTCATCAAAAGTATTTGAAAGCAATAGCTCCGAGTAAAACTATCAAATTCAGGCCTGAAAATCTTCGAGAAGTTGTGGCAGTTGATAAATCCGGCCGGACTCCTGGAGGTGTCATGGCTGGAAATCCACCAGTATTATCCGGTGGTGTAAATCCTGGAGTTGGTAATGTTCCACTTCCACCATCCCCTGCCCCTGATCCATCCCCTGATCCATCATTTCCCGGTGGTGTAAAAGCCGGTGGAGTTGGCTCCGGTAGCCAAGAAGGTGGAGGTGGATTCAAAATAGTTGGCCCTGCAATAACCTCAAAATGATCAGCCCCATAATCATGCTATACCAAGTACCAACCAAATATTCTTTTTCCCTTTTGTTCAAAAACACGACTACTATTATGGGACGGAAGAACTATTATACTTTGATTTAGATTGAAGAAAGTTGAAAAGATAGTAATTACATAGTAAGGTTACCTGGTGCTGGAATCGGAGAACCAGGACTGGCTGAAAATTGATCGACAATAATTTAAGTTAGTCATGAAGCTTAGAAAAAAGCTTTTTCTTAGTGAAATTTGGATGGTAGTTTACCTTTGCATTCAATTGGCACGCCGGACGTCTTACAAGCACGAGGAAGGGAAGCTGCGAGAGTTCTGTTTATCGGTATCTGAAAACCGACTCCTCCGGTGATAATGAGGCACAAACAATCTCTGCCATCGCTCATGACATCCTTAAGTGAGTCACAGCATTGTCTAGTTGGTGAACCTCCTGATCCACCACCAGAAATGAAACCTAAACAATTGTTGAAGCTTTGAAGCATCGAAGCCGAGCATAACGAGTTGTTGTTGTTGTTGTTGTTGTTGTTGTTGTTGTTGTCGTTCTGGCCGCAAACTGGCCTAATCAGAAGCAAAAGAGCTATGAATATGGCTGCAATTGAGTGCTGAAAACTTCGGCTTTCCTCCATTGATGCCTCTGTTAGAGCTGGCTTCCTGTTTATTGGTACGAGTATAATCCAATGGATTGGTTAGAAGTATATGAAGTTGGCAATTTGATCATAAGAATGGTGGTGGGATTTTTATATAGATGGATAATTTGACTGGAAATGAGGAGGAAAAAGGAGGGAAAGACACATAAGAAAGGAAGAGGGTTGAAGGCTCAACTACTTTTAACTACCTTTGTAAAAAGGAAGAGGTTTTTAGTCTTTTAGGTAAACTTGCTTGCTTGGCTTATTCTAGTGAAGCTTTGCTTAACACCTCAAAACTCTAAAGGTTGACTATTCTATTCATTCTGTTTTGTATTACAAATATCAATCCAGTCGTGTTTCGTGTTTCGTGATAAAAAGTGATAATTTTCGTGTTATGTATCAAAATTATTTTCACGAGATGAATCAAATAGTACATATTCAGAAGTTATAGTTTTTGTATCATATTAGTTGACTATAAAATGGAGGTTGATGAAAATAAAGGATGTCAGATTAGCCTCCTTTGCTGATTTGATTAATGGAGCCAAATGTGTGGCTAGGGTACCATGTTTTAGTTGAACTAGATTTTGGTAGCCATTCATAATGTCATGCTGTATAATTCTCAAATGCTGATCACCGAATCAATGAAAAGTTTATCAATGATTTAATATAATTTGAAAACCGTAAGAGTTGAAAAAACTACGTAAGTAATCTAACTACCATCTTAATTTTCATTATCAACTCCAGAAATTCCTTTATGCAGATTGACTACAAACAAACACTTGCAGAGCACCAATTCTCCATTTTGAGATAGAGAGAAATTTATTACAGATAAAAAGTGCAAAAATAATTACTGGGAACGATTTAAACTATTATGGTAAACTTTTGCTCCATGTCTCCCTAAAACATATGGATTCTGCGTTACAGGATGAAGTATTGACGATTTAGGAGAAAACCATCTCGTGCTAAACTCTTTATATTTCTTTAGAACGAACATCAATTTCATTTCTTAAAAGAAAAGGAGAAAAAAAAATACTTTGTTGAACCTATTTTATTATTTTGGGGAAAATGAAGCATGTCACCTGACATGTTGTTTATCTAGCGTGCCATTTCAACCAAAGCTAGCTACGAAAACTGCCACCTGGATGGCAAAAAAATCTTTTGTGACACTTTTGATTATCATCAAATCGCTAGTTTCACCTGTCCTTCTTTTGGCCGCACTTATTTTCTAAATTTAGTCTGATTAATAGAATTAGTGAAAAAACACTAACAAATTTAGCTAGTGTGTGTGTGTGTTCACAATATCCGTTCTTCTCTTAAAAGTGACCAGTTTAATACTAACAATCATGCATTTTGAGTTGGATTGAGATAACTATTTCGACGAGATGAGGTAAAGATTGCATTATTCATTCAGGAACATGTTTGAATTAAATTGCTTTTGGTTTGTTAATGAGAGTGAGTTTCAATTTTTGACCAACTAATTCGATTGGTTTAGATTGTATGCATTTGCAATCGAGTACTTTTTTAACAAGAAACATACAAGTTAATTAATCCATTCCTTGAAATTGAGGGACCAGAGTAATAGAAAAATCTGAAAATCTTAAGATATATTATACTATTATAATAATAAATTTCCATTACTTTTTTTTTTTGTTTAGGCCAAAAGGCATAAAAGTTAAGAAAATAGATAGACAGAAAATGAACTCATTCGAGGTTTTTCTAGTGAATAAGAATTAACCAAACGATAAATTATTTCAAAAAATAAAATAAAATAAAATATATGTACTACACCGCTAGCATAGTATGTACTATGAATTATCAAATACAAATAATATTCTTTTTATTTCCACCACCGCAAATAAGAATAAAATCAATATTACAGTAAAAACAAAATACAATAAACGGACTCAAACATCTTCTAGATATAATAAATAATAAATGATAGCCCCCAAGAAAAAAGAAATCGCTCTAACATTACATTGAAACGCATTAATCTATAACATGTCACATCAATAGTTCTTCAATGCAACGGCTCCAATCAGAGTGAGAACAAGCATTGGTGAAAAGCTCTTGGTTGAGGCAGATGATGGTGGATTCACAGATTGCCGGCTTCCGGCATTCGACGGCGGTGTTCCAGAAGGGGTGGTTGTAGTTGGTGGAGAAAGAGCTGGATTTGTGGTAGCGTCAGGAGCCAAAATCGGTGAACCATCCAGAGGACCATTGGAAGCTGAAAATAAAAATTTCCAAAAATTATGAATACGCATCGTATCACAAGGCACTTCCTAGAAATAATATAAGAAAAATCCCTTGTCTTGGTCGTAATTATGGTTTTTATCACATTAGAACATTATAATTAAGATCATCTGTCTCACATTTTGTGTGTCACTTGCGTGTGTATCATTTCTTTTAAACTCTACTGGTTTAATAACAATTGTGACATTTTTAATTCGTAGTCATGGAACTGAAATCATTTTGATTGATGCTGCAGAAATTGGATAGATTTTCCAATCTACGTACTACAGATTAGATTAGTAGTACCTGAAGGAGAAGGAGCTGAAACAGGGGAAGCTGCAGGGGAACTAGCCAGAGGAACTGTCCATTGTAAAAAATTATTAGTAACACGAAAAGCATAACAAAAAAAATCGATACAACATCAAAATTGTTTCAAGAAATACAATATTGTAGGTAATATATATACCTGGAGATGGAGCAGGAGCTACAGTAGCTGCAATTGAATATAACAGGACAGCACGATTAGAAAACGCGTTATATATGAAACGAAACAGAATGGAACTAAAATTATGGTTTCATGGAGATTGAACATACCTTTGCATTGGAGGGGCACATTAGGCATGTTACAGGCACTCGGGAGTGAAAGCGCGAGCGAGCGATTGATGGGAATGTTGAAGGGAACACTGCCGGTGGCGATGAGGCATAAACAGTTAGAACCATTGCCCATGACTGTCTGTAGTACATTGCAGCAATCTGCAGATGGTGAAATGCTGTTACTCCCGTTGTTGCTGCTGCTTGTGATGAAATTCATACAAGGGGTGAAGCTAGTGAGCATTGAAGTTGTGCAAGGAGTTGTGATCTGGGCATAAACTGGAAATGATGCTAGAAGCATCATGGCAAAAATGGACAAGGCAGAAATCATTGAAATGCTCTTTAAGGCCATTGTTGTTGATTCAGTTTTTTGACTTGATGTTAATGTAATCTGCTGTTTTTTGGGTGTCGAAAATCGGCTGAATGTTGATGATTTTGAGTTGAATGTTGTTTGGAAAACTTGTGGATTGGTGGGTGAATTTATAGGGGAGTGAGTTTTGGAAGAATTTGGAAGGGAAGATTTGTGTAGGTTTTGAGTTGTTCTGGAGCTCAACTACCTTAACTAATTCAGTGTAAGATAACGCTAGTTTAGGTAGGATTGGTTGTTTTAAAGAACATGTTTTTATCCCATTATAATCTCTTTCTGACTTTTCATATTACTTTTTCAATGCAAACCAATGGTTCTGATTGGCGAAATTTGGCTTCATCTTCATTGATGCAAACAACTAATTGGTCCAAGTGTCTATATTAGGAAGTTTGGTCAATTAAATTTTGTTCCACTTAGTGAATAGCAACAGGAAATGATCTTCAATTCAACAACAAGAAGATATTGTTATTGTCACATTGGGGGTCACTTTTTGCTCAATAGCTTTTGGATTAACTAGCAGGACCTCTCCTACAAGTTTAGAGTAATTCAATTGCAACTTGAGATGTGATATTTGCGATTGCTCTTGACCGGACCAAAAAATGATATTCTCTTCGTCCTAAAAAAAAATAAACATTACTAAAATTGAAAAAAAATAACCCAGAAATTAGCTTTTGGTCCAAAAGTCCCAAAGAGAAACTTTTATTTGTACCTAAAACAAATCAAACAACAACATTTCTCTGAGTATCATATCTCGTATTACATCATGATTAAACTACAGTCTAAGACCATCGGGACTTCCTATTATTGAAATCCCACAATAACGATGCTGCTAACGAAACCATAAAAAGATAATAATAAATAAATAAATTCAGCCTTGAGTCAACAGAGCATTGGCGTTTGTTCATATTATTGGCAAATGCTCTTTGCATGAGAGATTGAGCAAAAAATGCACCTCCCTTATATGTAGTATACATCCAATCCAATAATGTATCATCCATCCTTTATTGAGCCAATCCTATAAATCCCTCTATTATTCACAACAATATCACAGAAAGTTGTAACCTAAGTTCATCAAAATGTCAGCAAAATCTCTGCCCACAAGCCTACTTTTATTAACAGTCCTGGTGACCATTTTCTTAACCAGATCAAGTACATCGCAGACGACAGAAAACTGCGTTCGATTGGTTCAAAGTCTGGTTCCATGCCTGGATTATGTCACAGGAAGATCCACAGAACCAACAGGGAATTGTTGCTCTGCATTTGGGAATGCGATTTATAGCAGTATTGCTCCCAGCTGCCTTTGTCAAGCCTTTAGGGATGATACTGCTGGACAGTATGGTGTTAATACTACACTTGCTCTTTCACTTCCTTCTCAGTGCCATCTAAATTCAACTCCCCTTATCGGAGATTGCAACGGTAATAATTAATAAAAATAGTCTCGATTTTTTTTTTTCTGTATGTCTGTCTTGTTTTAATAGTACGCTTTGTTGAACTATTAAATAAAAAATATGGGACAGAAGGAGTATATATATTGTGATTACAAATCACAACGTTGATTACTCTGGTTAAGTTGCTAATCATAAACGTATATTTGTGTTTTCCAGATAAGACTTCGTTGGTTGGATCTTCAGCTTGACAGTTTCTATAAGTGTGGTACATGGTGGAAAAATAACAGTCTACTTTGAAATGTATTTTTAGGTTCTCTATATTTTGAGCAATAAATTAATTAAGGCGATTATGCAGTGTATTTTTAATTATTACAATCATGTTGATAGGGAAAGTGCTTTCCCTTTAAATTTAATGGTAGATACAATTATCTTCAAGTGATTAAAAAAAAGTCTAACAGGACCGTTAAATATCCTTATTACGCCAGAAAAACTCTTGAGAGATGGTTCATCTTTTAAAATGTTTCTTCGGAAAGTAACCAGCGAAAAACAAAGAAACTGGTCTGCCATTGATATCAAATTTGAAAATTAAAAATTCGTATTTTTATATAGTCAAATTAAGTGCTCCTCTGTCTTGAAAATTAATTGTTTAATTTGGAATTTTATTTTAAAAACAATTTATAATATTAAGTGAAAATTTCAAACTGAAAAATCATTTTGGAAGAAATCAGTATTGAGTGTAACCAATTTGATTATATTTGTGATTCATTTCCAATATATTACATGAACGCAATTGAAATTTCAGAACGTATTGTATCTCATCTGTAAACATTTCATATGAAATTAATCAGTCCTATGTGTATGTTCGAGAATGATGTTTTTTTTTTTTTTGGGCGGGGGAGGACTTAATTTGACGTCACGTCCCAAAGTAAAAAAAACCAAACAGAAATTTTTTTAAAAAAAAAGAAAATGAAAAAAGATTAGCTATTGTTAGAGAAAGGCAGGGTAACAATTATCATGGCAAAAAAATGGCTCGTTTAAGTGCGGATTTTACGAACGACTTTCTCTTGTGTACATCTTTCGGCCAGGTTGCGAGCAAAGGCTTTCCGCATGACATATCGATCGAGAATACAAAAATTTGCAATAAACACGACTCGATTATTATCTCCTACCAACTTTCCGATACCGTATTTATATAAATCACTCTAATTTACTTCAAGCAACTCACAACAAAGAATATAAACATGATCAGAAATTTGATCAAAGTGGTAGCAAGAACAAACGTTACAAGCCTAACAATACTAGTCATAGCCTTGGTGACCATTTTCGCAATGTTAAGAGGCGGTGCCTCCCAATCCGCGCCGCAATGCGATAGTGTGATTCAGAGTCTGGCTCCGTGCGTCGATTTTGTCACCGGAAAATCTCCGAAACCGTCGGAGATGTGTTGCTACGACTTTCGGGTGGCCGTCGATACCAATCTTGGCTGCCTCTGCGAAGCCGCCGGGAATGGTTCCGGTAATAAATATGGGATTAACACTACAATTGCACTTACACTTCCAGATCAATGCCTTGAAAATGGAGCTTCCCTTATTGGAGCTTGCAAGAGTAAGTCTTAATTTTCTACCGGAAAATATTGTGCACAACTGAATTGGATTATTAATTTGTTCGTTTGCATATCCTGAAGAATGGACGGTCTGTTCATTTTGGACCGTTCATATACTGAATTGGATTAATTTGTTCATTTTAGACCATCTGTTCTTATATCAAATAATGCTAAATTATTTCCAGTAATTTTAATAGAGTATGTTTTTCTTAAAAAAAAAAAAAGAATGGTGTGTGTTTTTGTAGAAATGACTCATATGGTTTGATCAGAGCAGACCAATTTCCATACATAAGTAAAGGCAGTACTAGAAGAAAATAAAATGCATCGTTCAATTTTGTACTTTCTGTTCCCAAAGTTCCCGTGCCATACTTATATACTACTCTTGTTTTTAGAATTGAGCGTCAGTTGCATAATAATTATAATTTTGAGACGAAAAGGGTAATATATGGTGCTATATGTATCTCGGCATGCATTATTAATTTTTGCTAAAGCAAGTTTGAGATGCATGGATTCATTCCTATGCCCAAAAATAAGTGTGCATTCTCTAGTATTATGGGAAGAGGGTTGGTTATATATACTGGTCGACTTGAGCTTAATTTGGTACCCAATTCATTCTAAAATTGTTGTCTGATAAAATAAATAGGACAATGATTTTAAAATTTTAAAAAAATATTTTATAGTGTCCTCATATCAGGGATTGAAATTAATTAAATTAGGTACATTTAATCGAAACTGTAACCAAGAAGAAACAAGAAGAAAGGTAGTCTTGCGTGTATCTTTTTGTACAACTCTTTTTTTCCGTCTCCTAATAATAGTATGTTTGGTTGAACTAAATTACTATAATAAAGTAAATGAATTGGGACGGACGAGTTTTAATATTATTATTATTATTATTATTATTATTATTATTATTATTATGGTATTAGAAGAGACAAAAAGTTAAATTCAAAACAAAACAATGATCAAGCAATTTCTACTTACTACATCATACTCCAGCCGATTCAACACCTAAAAATGAAAAGTCGAACATCACAACTTGCTTGAGAATGTTATTGTCCATGACGCCGAAATAATTTAGTATGAAATTAAAAGGCATGCATCTTGCAATTAATCTTGAAAATTTGAGTAGATGGTAAACAAACTATTGTGGAACACGGGTCTGAGACTCTGACTCGCGGAAATAAGCAACAAAGCCGAAATCGTTAGGATCCTAATGATGCAATGAACGCCGGCTTAAATATTTGATTTTTTGATTAATTCTGAAACCCCTTAAGGTACGATTGCTAAAGTGTACACCAACCTTTATACTAACTGTGATTAAACATGTATCAAATATTTAACGAGCGTTGTAATTGTTTAACTTGAAACTGTTACCACAGAACTTGAGATTCTCGATTCAACTGTCTGAAAAATAATCATGTTTAATTTGAAAATTGTCTGACAAACTAACAATTACTATTGATAATAACAATAATTGATGAAAAGAAATAGGACAGCAAATATACTGAATAAAATCGTTTCACATAGAATCGTTTTAGTATCAGCATCAAAGTAAAATAAATTTCATTAAAAAAGTAGGAAACTTTCGTTGATGAGTGTAAAATTTGTAGCGAAATGGACTTTATTCGATTGTAATATCTACAAAATTTGAGCTAGAAAAAAGCATACACAAAAAAGTACCCCAAGTTAAGAAGAACAATGGCAAGGTTTCCCCCTCCAGCTTCTGCCTCAACAACTGGTGGTAATTTGCTATTGGTTTGGTTTTGCAAGTCTTCCACTTAATCCTTTACTTCTTAATTATAAATATATAGTTTATTATACCTAACCTTTATTTTTCGTCCGACCCTGTTTCATATAACCTTTATTCTTTCATTTTATTTATTTGATTTTGTTTTTTTAGGTCTGCTAGTTGTTCAACAAATTAATTAATATTCATAAAATTGGCGGAACATAGTTCATTATCTTTATTTGTTCATTTAAATTGAGCAATCAAAATAGTCTAGTGGGCTCAATTTGACATTAGTTTTCCAGATCCTTTGACCACTTTTTATTCCTTTAATGCAGCTGTTTCTACTAGTTGGATCTTTGGCAACAGAGAATGCAACTAATCAAAATGAAAAAATATTGGAAGCAGCAAAGATTGAGAAAAATGAAATCATCATCCCGACACTAAAAGGGAAAAGAAGTACTAGCTCAATTAGCTAGGGAGGAGCTGGGACTACGATTATAACCCTGGAAGTGAGGAGGCTCCTTGCCTGTTAATCAATGAAAAACGTATTTTTAGCGTCACGTGTTTGTGGCGTTGGTGAAAGCACCGTGTCTACGATTTCAATTTCTAAAAAATCTCCCGTCCTTATTATAAGGTATTTTGATTCTTCTACGTTTCACTTAGTATGTTTTCCAAATGAAAAAAAAAAAAAATCTTTCATATATTTTTTAATAATTAGGACACAATTAATGAGAATATGTACTTTTACGGTTTTTTGTTTTTCAATCGAAAAAACATATTAAGTGAAATTTAAGACAAATTAAAATAGTTTATAATAAGGACCGAAGGGAGTATGTATTCGGGATATGGGACGTACAAGCTTGTGTATAACTGTATTCGCATAAGTTCAAACAATTTTTCACCATAAATTACTGTTTGTTATAAGGGGGAAAAAATCAACATCGTAATGTTGCGCAAATTGAATTTATTGTATTTTTTCTTCTTCTTTATGTGTGTGGAATTCGGCGTTTTTGCTTCAGATTGAAGGCCACTTTGGTGTCAGGCCAAAACGAATGATATTGATAAGAAGTTGGAGCAATGGGAAAAAATATAGTTATGGAATCATAAGTTAATGAAGGATGATTTTGGTATAAGAAGAAAAAGATTTAAGAATAAATTAGATCGAGAGATCAGAAATTTGCGAAGGAGGAAAAGATTGCTCGTTTAAAAGCGAAGAAAGAGACTTGATCACACACCCAAAGCATACGATAATCATCGTGAATGTGTACTAGCTCATGAAATTGCTCTTAGTGCGGATCTTGCGAAAAAGACTTTCCTTGTGTGTAAACGTATTTTGGCTAGGTTACTAGCAATGCTCTTCCCATGACATATTGAGCATTCGAAAATTCACTATGCATAAACACGGCCTGATTATCACCTCTCACCAAACATTTTTTAGAGGTCTATAAATTCTTTCTTTCGTCATTTCAACTTGTAAGCACACTCATAATTAGTACACTTGTCCAGCTTATTTTTAACAAAGACTATACACACAGTTTTACTTAGTTATTACAAAATTTGATCAAAATGGCAGCAACAACAATGAGCCTAATGCTAGCCCTAGTCTTGGCAACCATCTTCTCGATGTTAAGTGGCGTACCGTCTCAAGTGACACCGGAATGCGACAGTGTGCTTCACACTTTGGCTCCGTGCGTTGATTTTGTCACCGGAAATTCTTCAAAGCCGACGGAAACTTGTTGCAACGAATTTCATCTTGCAGTTCAGACCAATCTCACTTGCATCTGCCAAGCCTTGAACGATCCTGATATTGGTCCTAGATATGGGATTAACGGTACAATTGCCCTTACACTCCCAGATCAATGCAATCAAAATGAAGGATCATCCCCTATTGGAGATTGCAACCGTAAGTCTTTTTTCCTTCCTAGATTAGGAAAAAAAAAAAAAAAAAGGGATATGCATTTTGGGACTGGTGGAGTATCTATATATAGGGTTAAAGTATTTTCTTTTTTTGGTTGTTTCATAATCATGAAGTATAAGTTGTGTATTGATTTTGCAGTTGACTTCCATTCTGGATCCTCTAAATACCGACTTCCGTAACTACTTACTGAAGGTAAATGGTAGAAATATTTTTTTTTATTTTTTTATTTTTGAGGATTCTCAATTATAACTTGAATGTGAAAGGCGTATTACAGGTATATTGTTTTCATAATTGTAATGATTTGGCTGCTAGCTTGGGACAACTTTCCCATCAAATTTTCCATTACACGAATTAATGTACACATGTTGTTGCTGGTGGTGCATGCAGGGCCTGAAGGCAGTGCAAAAAAGCGTCTAATAAAGCAGTGCTCGAAGAAAATAAAATGCACCTTTTCAACTTGTTCTTGTGCTCCGTGGTTTCCTTCACTTTCCAATATGATTGTCATTTTCGGACAGAAGGAATCTATGTATACACGGAGTAATTAGTATAATCCTTATGCCAATGTTTTATATATATATATATATATATATATATATATATATGTGTGTGTGTGTGTGTACTCTTGTGTTGTGGTGTAATACAACTATATATAAATTATTCATGGAAAAGGGTTTTACTTAGTCTACTTGAGCTTAATTTGTTATTACTTTCTTCTTCTTTTCTTAATCTTTTGGTATTGGCTTCACCCGGAATTGTACTTATCAGATATTTGTATATCTTTAAACGAAAAATGCAATCAAATAAAACAAATTATGAAATAGACACTAATATTTTTTCCGAACAGAAATATAGCCAACTTGTAATGTTGAAAATTTAAATGGATGCTTGGCCACTTGTGGACCATGAATAACCTATATATCGTTCCGGTCTGAATCAACTCATCAATTTCGCCCATTTTCAATTCACCGCTCCTTGAGCCATTGGGGTATTCCAATGTTTTGTAAATGGAGATTATGATTTGGATTTTATTTTAGCTTCTCGTTGAGAAACGGAAGTAATTTGATTGCTTTCTTTATCTAATAAATCACGGTTAATTTACTTAACCGTGGCCGTGGTCTTACAGTAGTAACAACAACCCATTTTTGTGAACTTGGTGATGGTATGATATGTAAGCAATATCATATTATATATACAAGGAAATGCCAGTTTTTCCCAAAAAAAAAAAAAAAATTGATTAAAATATACATCCAGATTATATATAGTTGAGAACTGGCCGAAGAAAAATTAGCAAATCCGCATTTTAATATGCTGTGGTGAAAATTATGGCGATGTGCTTAAATTATGATGCTTCAGGAGTTCAGGTTATCTACAAGTATCATGGAGATGTGATTTCTCTTTTGAGTTTTTCCAAAATCAGAACTAGATTAAGAGATTGAAGTTCTAACCTATAAAAGAAACTCACATCTAACCTATAACATATTTTTTCTTTTTGAGAATTAACCTATAACATATGATTATCATGAGTAATGTATCCTGCTCAAAGTGTGGCTTTGTGACATCAACAATTGTTGTGATGGCATGATTTGTGATATGAATGAAAAGATTATCGTATATGGGACGCACAAGTTTGTATATCACTGTACTCGCCTTAAGTTACTAACAAATTTTCACCATGATTAAATTCCAGTTTGTGTCAATTTTAAATTAACATCAACATGGTACGCAATTTCGCGCTCACGTCAATTGGATTTATTGCTTTTTCTTTTTCTTCTTCTTAGGCCTTGTTTTTTTTAGGGGAAAGTAAACTTCATTAAAATCACTGAAAATAGTACAGGACCATTTGATATAAGAACAAACCATCCAAAATGACGTACTGGAACCGTCTTAATGACGTACTTACGGTATTAGTCACTGCATCAGTGACTAGACCAATACAACTGTCAAAAGGGTTATCACTCCTATAATGATATAATTCTATTGTTGAACAAATCACGGAACAGAATAAAATTCTAAACTTTAATATATCACTTATCACCAGAATTAGGTACAAATTTATCGTCATTAACGACGAACAACACACACCAAATTTGGACTCGACCAACGGACTCGGTTCCATTGACGCACTGAATTCGCTCAGTAAAGAATCAATCCGAGATCTATATTGAAGGTGGATTATCCCACTTAATTGAATTAAAACACAACAATAAAAAAAAAAAAAAACCAAATTTGGTCCGTCAGTAAACAGTGAGATATTACCGTTGGCGGCCAAAAATTCGGCGGATCTGATAAAGAGCAGATCCAGCGACAGCAATCCATGAAGGAGTGTCTGTAAGCTGAGATCCCGCCGGATCTGTGAGGCCAGATTTGGTAACAACACTTACTGATTAAAATTACTTTATTAAGTATTTTTCTATTTTAGCATATTTGATTAAAAAAGATCTAAAAATCTTAATAAATTAAGTATTGTTGAAACTGACGTACAAAATATAGGTGATAAAAATTAGATTATTGCTTATTCCGTAACTATTTAATAAATTCAAATATTTATAATTCAGTATTAACCATTCGAAACTAAGCACTCAATTTTATCAATCAGACCCTTAATTATGTGTGTAAATTAATTTAAACGCTTTTGCGGATATGGATCAATAGGAAAAGAAAACAATTAAAAGAAAAGGGAATTATAAGTTAAAGAAGGCCGTGTATTGAGATAGAAGAACGATGACTTTGATATGAGACAGAGAAAAGAAAAGTTAAATTAATTAGATTTGATAAGTCAGAAATTTGTGAAGGAGGAACATTCGTCCAAAGGCGAAAAGAGGACTCAGATCACGCCCTAAGTATACGATAGTCATGGTTATTGTGTTGTGCTCATGAAATTGCTCTTTCAGTGCCGATCTTGCAATAAGACGGTTACTAGCAGTACTCTTCGCATGACTTATCGAGCATAAATACGACTTGATTATCATCTCTTACTGACCTTTCTAAAATTTATAAATTCTTTTTTCTTCATTTCAAGCGCCTCATGATTAGTATATGTATCCAACTTATTTTGAATAACCACAAAGACTACTATACACACAATTTGTTCTCAATCAGTGGCAAAATTTGATCAAATTGGCAGCTAGAACAATGACTAAAAGCCTAATGCTAGCCCTAGTTTTGGTGACCATCTTCTCAATGTTAAGTGGCGTACCGCCTCAAGTTATCACGCCGGAATGCGACAGTGTGCTTCACACTTTCGCTCCCTGCATCGATTTTATCACTGGAAATTCTTCAAAGCCGACGGAAACATGTTGCAACGCATTTGAGCTTGCAGTTTATACCAATCTTAATTGCATCTGCTAAGCCTTGAGGAATCCTGATATTGGTAGAAGATATGAGATTAACACTACAATTGCCTATACACTCCCAGATCAATGCGATGATGAAAATGCTGGACCATCCCCTATTGGAGATTGCTACAGTAAGTCTTTTTTTTTTCCTTAGATAAATAAAACTAGATATATATGCATTTTGAGACGGACTGAGTATATATAATTATAACATTTTTATTTATTTATTTTGGTTTGTTTGCTAAACTCTTGAAGTGTGTTGTGTATTGATTTTGCAGTTGGCTCCCATTCTGGATCCTCTAAATACCGACTTCCGTAACTACTTATTGAAGGTAAATGGTAGAAATAAACTTTTCTTTTCTTTTCTTTCGAGGATTCTCAATTATAACTTGAATGTGAAAGACGTTTTACAGGTATATCTTTTTGTAATTGTAATGATTTAGCTATTAGCTTGGGACAATTTTCCCATCAAATTTTCCATTACACGAATTTATGTACACATATTGTTACTGGTGGTGCATGCAGGACCTGAAGGCAGTGCAACCAAAAAAAAAAAAGTGTCGAATAAAGCAATGCTAGAAGAAAATAAAATACATCTTTAAACAACTTGTTATTATGCTCCGCAGTTTTCTTCAGTTCCAATATGATTGTGATTTTAGAACAGAAGGAATATATGCCTACACGCATTAATCCTTATGTCAATATTACATGTACTCTTGGCGTAGTACAACTATACATAAATTATTAACGGACAAGGGTTCTACTTAATCTATTTGAGCTTAATTTGTTATTACTTTCTTCTTCTTCTTCTTTTCTTTTCTGGTATTGGCTTCACCAGAATCTTCCTTAATTATTAGAGATTTGTATATATGAAACGAAAAATGCCCTCAAAGAAAACAAATCAATAAAAAGGCGGCAAAGTTCATACTAATATTTTTTTTCCAAAAAGAAACATAGCCAACTTGTAATGTTGAAAATTTAAATGGATGCTTGGCCACTTGTGGAGCTTGAATAATAACCTATCGTTCTGGTCTGAGTCTAATTCAATTTCGCCGATTTTCATTTCGCCGCTTAATGAGCCATTGGGGTATTCCACTGGCCACCGACATAAGATTACTAGTAGGATTCGTAATGTCTAATATGAATAATTCCACGATTTATTGAGACAAGTCGAACAATACGACTATTTAACATCACATAAAATCACACAGAATATGTAAATTACACAACCAAACCAACAGCCGAATTGAAAGGTAATTTTCGTTTCATCGTTGAGACTCTCACACCTTTCTTTGAAGTTTGAAGATCATGTTTTATAAATGGAGATTTGGATTTAATTTTTAGCCTCTCGTTGAGAAACGGAAGTAATTGAATGCTTTCTTTATCTTATTCATGGTTGATTTACATATTTTAGCTTATAATAAAATAAGATATAATGGTCTATATATCTTTAATTAATACACACATGTATCATTTAAAAAAAAAAAAAAAAACCGTGGCCTTGGCCTTACAGTAGTAACGACAACGATTGTTGTGAAGTTGTGATGGTATGATTTGTAAGCATTTAATATCATACTTCCTCCGTCGCATAATTATTGTCCAGTTTTACTAAAATGAAAGATTTTATTTTTGGTCAAACTTAACTATATTTTACCTTAAACAACCGGATATACCCCTACATAAGTAATTGTTTAACCACTAAGATTTTATAGATAATGTTTTTTACTAAGGACAAATGTGTAACTTGATCCATAAAAAGTCAAATTGGACAATAATTTTAGGACAAAATTTTTTAGGCAAAGTGGACAATAATTATGGGACGGAGGGAGTATTATATATACAAGGAAATGCCAGTTTTAAAGAATGATTAAAATATACATCCAGATATATATAGTTGAAAAATGGATGAAGAAGGGTGAAAATTACGGCGATGTGACTAAAATATGATGATGCTTCAGGTTATCTACAAGTATCATCATTAACTAGAGAATGTGATTTCTTTTTCCAAAATCAAAACTATATTTAAGGTTTTGAAGTTCTAACCTGCTCCTCCGGTCCTTATTATAAGGCATTTTGATTTCATCCTAAGATTAATCCAGAATATTTTTTTAATGAAAAAAAACTTTAAAAATATATTTTCACATTCGTTATGTTCTTCTAATGATTGTGAGTCGAAGTCCAACAGGAATGCCATTCTCATGTGAGTCGAAGTCCGACTTCATGCGATGATTATGTCGCAGGGGAAATTCCAAAACCAACAGAGACTTGTTGCAACGAAATTGATGCACTAGTTAAAAACACTTGCTTCTGCCAAGCATTTGGGGAAGGTGAAAGATCTGGGGTTGACATCACAGCAGTGTTTACGCTTCTTGCCATGGATCGATGCCAACAAAATGGACTACTATATTTTCTCAGATATCAGTACTGCATGCAGCCGTAAGTCGTTTCTTGTTATAAATATGATAGTTCTTTTGGGACGGGAAGAGTA